CCTTTGGTTTTAAATATTTTATTTATAAATAAAAAAACATATACTCTTTTGAAGTCTTATGTCATATCTATATACAATATTTAATATATTTTTTTCAAGCATAAAATGTTTGGAATGTGTCCTTGCTTGTCTTACTGCTTGATCAAGATGGTTGGAAATGTACGTACTTGGCAGATGCCTTTTTCCAAATGCAATTGAAAATCCACTTTCCTTGCACTATATAAAACAAAACCTACACTCTCGGATTTTCTCACTTCTCATCTGCAATTTCTACACTATGAAGTCTCCTAGGATAATATCTCTATTTTGCTCTTGTATGCTTTTGTCACACGATATCACCACTTCGAGCCCGGCCTTAGCTTTGGAAGACTGTGAGTTTCCAGCCATCTTTAACTTTGGAGATTCAAACTCAGATACTGGTGGATTGTCCTCATCCCTTTATCAAGCACCCCCACCTTATGGTGAGACCTATTTTCATAAGCCGGCCGGAAGATTCTCAGATGGCCGGCTCATAGTCGATTTTCTCGGTATGTATATGTTCCTTATCACCTTTATTTTTCTCGTTATTTCTAGCAGTTAGTTAAGAGTATTTTTTGCAATTATTGTCTGATAGAACTCATGTGGTTCAGCAAAGAGTCTTGGTCACCCCTATCTAAGCGCATATCTAGATTCACTTGGGACCAACTTCTCCTGTGGTGCAAACTTTGCCACTGCAACTTCTCCTGATATAATGAGTAAGTTTTCAACAAATATTAAGGTAATAATCCTTCTTAAACATTTTTAAAAAAAAGTACATAATAATATGTTCATGAAAAAATAATATTCACTTTTCATAATGTTCAATGTGGTCATGCCGTGAATTAGGATCATACATTCAAATATGAACAATAGTCTTGATTGACAGTTTGATAACATAGTATATTAGATTATTTAACCCTAGATTATTTGACAAAATAACATTTTCTGATGCTGCTTAATTTTTTGTATATTGATAATGCAAATTTCCTGACGATGTAGAAAATTTATGATTTGGGGGCAAGATCGTTTTGGATCCACAACACTGGCCCAATTGGTTGTCTCCCTTACGTTTTAGCCACTTACCTATCAGCTCAAAAGGACGAGGTTGGTTGTGCTAAGTCTTACAATGAAGTAGCTCAGCATTTTAACCACAAGCTAAGGGAGGCCATAGTTCAACTTAGGAAGGATCTGCCTTTGGCTACGTTCACTTATGTAGACGTTTATTCTGTCAAATACTCTCTTTACAAGGAACCTAAAAGATATGGTAAGCCACTCAACCTTTTGATTAAAAAAAAAAAGATACCTCAAAATTCCTTTGATATTTTTGTGTACTTTAACTTGATGGCACAAATCGAAAACTACGATATTAAATACCTCATTAGTAATTAAAAATAAATAAATGGAGGAAGTATATTAAATGTCTCATCAATTTTTTTTGACATAAGAACATTAAAAGTTGAACAATTCTAACTTTTCACTTTCTTTTTTTAACGAAAACCATTTATTTAACATGGTAAATTTGTACGTTCGATTCTTTATTCGACCCGAAATTTATCATAATAATACATAGTTCATTAATTTGGTTTGAACTTTGAAATGTGATCCTTTAAGCATCATTATGGGTGAAATTTACTTTAAATTGTATTGTTTATTGCTTGTAAATTTTTCAGGGTTTGAGCTCCCACTTGTTGCTTGTTGTGGGTATGGTGGCAAGTACAACTTTAACAGTAGTGCTGAATGTGGAGGAACAGTTGCAGTTAATGGAAGCCAAATATTTGTGGGTTCATGCAAACGGCCATCGGCTAGAGTGAATTGGGATGGGATTCATTATACTGAGGCAGCTGCCAAGTTTGTCTTTGATAAAATTTCAACTGGAGCATTTTCAGATCCACCCTTCCCTTTGAAACAAGCATGTCACAGGAGTTTAGACTAATAACTTAATCAATATACTTAAGTACTGCAGACACATGCATGCAGGTGGAAATGTTTTCGTACTGCAATGATAGTGTTGTACTTTCTAGCAGAAATGGCAATGGCATTAGCATTCTACAAAAATAAAGGTTTCAAAACTTAGTTATAAGTTATAAGTTGACTATCTAGTTTCTGAATTATGATTTTATTTTCTCTTATGGTTATGGATGAAGTTCAATAATTTTCATAAAAAACGACGAACTGAGCACACGACCTCAAGTGCAATTATAAATACCTTTAAATACTTAAACTACAAATACTAATTGCCTCTGAACAATCATCAAGAAAAATGAAATTGAATTAACTTTTTTTTTTTTTTTTTTTTTTTTTTTTTTTTTTTTTAGGATTAAGATTAACATTACTTTGATCTATTGTACTCCACATGAAAATGCTTACTAACATGTTTAAGAGGCTTCTTGACTAGACATTATGTAAAGAATAATGGGTCAATTGAGTTCTAGTCCAAAACATGCAAATCCTCACAAGTCCAACTTGACGTCTAGAGATAGCGGGCCTAGGGCCCAATCTACATATGATTTAAAATTGAGTGTTGCTACTCACACACCCAAGGATTTGCTCGCTACAGACTTCATCAGCCACCTACGTCGACCTCCCAGCAGCCCTACAATAAGAACAATCCAGCAATCAACACACCAAGCTGATGCACATGCACACGCCCTTTAAATCACAAAACACATCTTTTGTGTCTTTAAAATTCTAAAACTAGTGTATGCATACGTACATAAGTACATGTGATTCATAAATAAACACTCTAAAGAAAACTAGAGTTCGTTTTTTTTTTCTCCCTACACTTGTGCAGCAAAGGAGACGTGTTAAAGTCTTAAAGACACGTGCCTCCAAAATCAATAATTTTATCGGGTCATGGAAACACACACAGCCAAGGATCAGTGTCGGCTATTAACCAAAAAAATATATTTAAGGATCAGTGTCGGCATGTACATATTGGATGATACTTTGTCAGTACTGGATGCATTCAGCCAACAAAATCATGTCCACTTTGTTAAAAGCTGTCCAAGTAATTGTGTCTCCATTTTTAGAGCGACGCACGTTGCAAGTTCTAGTGCCCTTCATCTCCACACACACACACACACACACACAAAAGTGAAGGAAAAAACTAAGACATGATCCACCTTTTCAGAATGGCTGTTGGTCGCAACTCGCAACCATCTAATTAACACCAAAATAATAATGTCACTTGAATTTGATGGGTTTCTTGACCCTCAAGTTTCAAGAACCCGCATTACTTAAATAGTAGATGGCTTAGTACTCGAAATGTGAAAGTGGCTTTTCAGAAACTTGCTCGGAAATCAATTAACTTTGTAAAAGATGATGTGATAACTTGAGATAAGAGATCATGTCATGTGGGCGCTGTTCCAGCTTGAAGTGAAATAAAGAGGAAAAAGAAGGAATTTTAGGCCACAAATGCTATATATATACCTAAAAACTGGAAAGTTTGTTCGGCCTAGCAAGCTAGATACCTTTTTTTTTTTTGTCAAACAGCTACCTACCTACCTTGAGAAAATGTCCTTCAAAATTATGGCTTTATTAAAGCAAACTTATAAAGGTTGCTTTGGTGTTCTGGCCAAGTTCGTGATTTGATTTTTTTGGTGGGTATTCATGACATGAGGGTTGAGGGGTCCTCAAAACTCATAAGTCATTGCGTTCCCCTTTCCTGCTATAGATACGTACACGTGAGCACTTATGTCTTATTACTACAAACATTGATACTGTTCTTAACTTAATTTCCTGCATAATCTAGTTAGTGCGATGTTATTAATGAGGAAACCACTCACTTATATTTTATTTTATTTTATTTTATTTTATCATGTTTCTAATAATATTTTTACATTCTTGAGCAGTAAGTTCTTTGGCAACAATGTCATGAAGTAAAATTTTCCAGATGCAAATGCACATAAATAAATTCATATTTACTATATTGCAAATGCAGCCACACAACACATGAATCAAAATTTCTTTTAATATCGTTGTAATTGTAGGGGGCCCTCGACATTTTCGTCCACATAATTTGAAGTCTTTCTCAAGCTACCACGTATGTCCTAAAGAAAATATCAATCAAGCTCCCATTGGCTAGAGCAATGACAATGGCATTAGCATTCTGGGACCTTGCGTATCCAATTATCTGTTTGATCAATCAATGACCTGCAAAGCCTTGGAGAAAATATTATAGAGTACGAAACTATTTTTCACACTTACTTACTACATTGTTGGACACTATATTTCCTATTGTGAATAAATCTTACATACGTGACATATGAGGTACAAAAAACAACTTTAATGTCACCTTTAATGAATTTTACCTTTACACGAAAAAAAAAAAAAAAAAAAAAAAAAAAAAAAAAAATAGTCTAATCTAATGGATAAAGCGATATTATTTGTATCATATTTATCGACTACATTGTTGACATATCTCTCCCACTAGTGAGGTACATTTGATTTGTCTGTTGCCACCTCTATATGTGAGGTACATGTGACAAGAAAAATGTCAAGGTTGATATGGAATTAATGGTTTGGATGGAAATTGCCTATATTTATGTGCCCTTTGTTGCCACCTCTACACATAGTGAAAAATCACAGAACAAGTACCTTTTGGTTGGAAACATCTGCAAGTGAAAACAATGCCAGAAGCTTCATAGAAACCTTCTAGTAAGTTAGATTAACATCTAAAATACCAGATAGAACAAATCAATTTAATTGTCTGGGACCAGTTTCCATGCCTAATGTTTCAAACCTGTCTCTTTCACCAGAGAAGAACAAGAATGGGAGAGAAGAAACAAACGTCTTCCTCTTATCCTTCACACAAATTCATTGGCTCCAGAAGAATCATCACAACCATGGCAGTTTCTCCACCTCAGAAATTTCACAGCCAATCTAACAAAAACCCTTATCTAATTCCCCTTAGTTTCAATCTCCTTCCCACCCATTGCACCAATTTCAACTTACCCTTTTTATTTTCTTCTCTTTCTTCAGCAATGGCAGCTGAAAATTCATCAGGCACCAGGAGAAATTCCAACACTCAGCTTCTGGAAGAGCTGGAAGCGCTCAGCGAGTCGCTTTACCAATCCCACACTTCCAGTACTAGCACCCGAAGAACTGCCTCCCTTGTTCTTCCTCGAAGCTCAGTTCCTGCGATACCATCGAAAGATGAAACTGTTCCGACAAGTGCTGAGGAGATTAGGCTCAATAACAAACCCCGAAGGCGCATGTCTTTGTCCCCGTGGCGCTCCCGCCCAAAGCTTATCAATGATGATGATGAGAATAAGCAAAAAGATCGAGGCAAGAAGGCGACGAATAATAATTTGCCGGGGTTGAGAAGCTTGGATGACAAGGCGACTGCCACCACAGAGAAAAAGGGTATCTGGAACTGGAAGCCGATTCGCGCTATCTCCCACATTGGAATGAATAAGGTCAGCTGCTTGTTCTCTGTTGAGGTGGTCGCTGCACAAGGCCTTCCAGCTTCAATGAATGGCCTTCGGCTTTCTGTCTGCATTCGGAAGAAGGAAACAAAAGATGGAGCTGTTCAAACAATGCCGTCAAGGGTTACACAAGGAGCTGCTGATTTCGAAGAGACCCTTTTCCTTCGGTGCCATGTGTATTCCAGTAATGGCCATGGGAAGCAGCAGAAGTTTGAGCCAAGACCCTTTTGGATATATGTGTTTGCAGTTGATGCTGAAGAGCTTGATTTTGGGAGGAGTTCTGTGGATTTGAGTCAGCTTATTCAGGAGTCCATTGAGAGGAACAATGAAGGTCAACGAATTCGACAATGGGATACGAGTTTTAAGCTGTTAGGGAAGGCAAAAGGAGGAGAGCTTGTTTTGAAATTGGGGTTTCAGATTATGGAGAAAGATGGAGGAATTGGAATTTACAGCCAGGCTGATGATTTAAAGTCTGTTAAGTCCAAGAATTTCTCATCTTCTTTTGCTAGGAAGCAGTCAAAAACATCATTTAGTGTGTCCAGTCCAAAATTGTCAAGCAGAGGAGAAGCTTGGACTCCTTCACAAGCAGGAAAAGCAGCTGATCTTCAGGGGATTGATGAACTGGACCTTGATGAACCGAACCCAGTTCCAATATCATCTTCTTCATCTTCTTCAGCTCCGAAGCCAAAAGAACCAGAAGTACCAAAGACAGAGGATCTTGATCTGCCAGACTTTGAAGTAGTGGATAAAGGAGTTGAATTCCAAGACAAGGAAGAGGAATATAGGGAAGAGCAATCAGAAAAGTCTGTTGGGGAAAAATCAGCAGCATCACGTGAGGTTGTGAAGGAAATTGTGCAAGATCAAGTGCATATAACAAGACTGACAGAGCTTGATTCTATTGCTCAGCAGATTAAAGCTCTTGAGTCTTTGATGGGAGAAGAAAAAACCGACGACAAGGATAATGAAATTGAATCACAGAGATTGGAGGCTAATGAGGAAAATGTAACAAAGGAGTTTCTTCAAATGCTTGAGGAGGAGGAGATCATCATGAATGAATATAAACTGAGCCAAAATGATGTTCCTCCTTTGGAGCTTGAAGGAGCAGAGGAATCTGCAGAAGCTGAATCAGAGGTGTACCTTCCTGATCTTGGGAAGAGCTTAGGCTGTGTGGTTCAAACCAGGGATGGAGGGTACTTGGCAGCCATGAACCCATTAGATACTTTGGTAGCAAGGAAAGACACTCCAAAACTTGCCATGCAGATATCAAAACCATTTGTTCTACCATGGGATCAGTCCATGAGTGGATTTGAATTGTTTCAGAGAATTGCAGCTATTGGACTTGATGAACTGAATTCTCAGCTTCTAAATTTGATGGCCTTGGATGAACTGATGGATAAAACCGCAGAGCAGATTGCTTTCGAAGGCATTGCTTCGGCGATCATCCAAGGGAGAAACAAAGAAGGTGCTAGTTCAACTGCTGCCAGAACCATTGCTGCTGTTAAAACCATGGCAAATGCAATGAGCACAGGTAGGAAAGAGAGGATTTCAACTGGGATTTGGAATGTGAATGAGAACCCCTTGACAGCAGAGGAGATTCTGGCATTCTCCGTGCAGAAAATTGAGGCCATGGCTCTTGAAGCCTTGAAAATTCAGGCTGAAATAGCGGATGAAGAAGCCCCATTTGATGTTTCTCCATCGAACGGTACAACAAGTGGTGCAAAAATTCAAAATCACCCACTTGCTTCTTCTATATCACTGGAGGATTGGATCAAAAACCACAGCTTGGCCAATTCAGATGGTTTACAAGATGGGGATCAAGATCATCCAGAAACAATCACACTGGCAGTTATTGTTCAGCTGAGGGATCCGGTAAGGCGGTATGAGGCAGTTGGAGGCCCTATGATTGCACTGATTTATGCAACAAGAGCTGATGACACCATTGAAGTAAATAAGTATGAGGAGGAAAAGAAATTCAAAGTGACAAGTTTGCATGTGGGAGGCTTAAAGGTGAGGACAAGAGGGAAGAGGAATGCATGGGATAGTGAGAAGCAGAGGCTAACTGCAATGCAGTGGCTGGTTGCTTATGGATTGGCAAAAGCTGCAGGGAAGAGAGGCAAGCATGTGACATCCAAAGGTCAAGATTTGTTGTGGAGCATTTCATCAAGAGTAATGGCTGCTATGTGGCTCAAGTACATGAGAAACCCAGATGTAAAGTTTACCAAATGAACTACATGTATTGTAATATTTGAGTGACATCATTTATTTTTGTAATTTATTTGCAGCAATAACAGATACAAGGAGTAAACAGTGTCAGATTGTAACAGCTCCAAATAGTAAAATATGTGGCACTTGTGAATAACTTCTAAGAAAAATATTAGAAGTCTCGCAAAACAAAACAAGAGAAAGTAACGCAGTTACTGTTCAAATTCAACATATATTGGAACAGCGCAATTGCAGGATTCGAACTCGCAATCTCTTCTCTTATTCGAATAATTATTTCATACTATAGCAAGTCATGTGTTTTACCACTTCCTGACAAATTTGTCTGAATACTTCGAGAAAAATCCTAAGATGATGATTAGAACTTGAAAGAGGAAAGTCTAAATTGCAGGATTGTAAGTAATGTAATCCAATGTGATCCTTGATTTGTAGGGAATATTGTCATTCACTCATGTTATTTTAACCAAGTCCAACACGAACGACCCGTTAATCATATGTTTCCTAGCTTATGTTAGGCAACATCTATTAGACATATCATATATGGTATAGTATATGTCCTCATCGTATATCATACTTTATATTGGACCATTTTAAACATACTCCTTGCCATGTTTATGTCAATCCGGCTCAACTTATACCTTTAATTATTGATGAAGTTTGAGGGAGATTCATGTCTTGTCATTTTCATCCACCGCATTAGAAAACTTTTCAAAACCTACATGGTGGTCCTAACCCTAAACAAAGATCAATGGTCCAATTGATTTGAGCAAGCCAGAACTTGGGACAAATTGAACCAACGAAGGAGACAAGTAAAGAAATTTGGCCTAGTGGCTCTCTTGCCAGGTACATCACATGGATGATGACTTGCACATGGGAAGAATAACTGAGACTCACGACATTTTTAATCCGTCATTAAAAACATGTTAAAAGACATTTATTTTATTTTACAATTCCATTTTGAGTTTTCTTTACTGGAGGGAACAAGGTCGTATTCAACCATCAAGACAAGTGTTAGACAAGTTCCAGATCCACAAGAATGGGCCCTTTGCTCCATTGTTTCCCACTTTGTGAACCTAACGTGGGTCTAGCTTTCAAATGTTTGGTATGGAGAGGAACTACAAATGAATTTTTTCTTTTTTTTTTTCTTTTTATATGACAATGAGAAACCAAAGCATATATTTCAAGAACCCTTTTACAACCTGTACTGTTTAAAGAAATCAAGGAAAAACAAAAGAAAAGAAGGCTGAGAGTTGAAAGCCAGATAAAAGCACATTTTTTAGGGGAATGATAAAGTAAAGAATTTGACTCTACCACCCTCAATAATATATGACTTTATGGAGCTTCTACCCACAGATGAGTATGGTGGAGGAAAAGACTTGTGTCACTTTCTGTACAACCCCCTTTATTCCATGGCCCCCCTTCTCTTTGTCAGGGTTCTTATCCAACCCTTCCTTACTTTGACTCCTTCCACCTTGCTGCTCACATGGCACACATTGCCCTTGTTGGACCTCTTCCATCTGATGAGCTGGAACAAGTGCCCTATCCTCTTCCGCCACCTAAGTGGCGCATGGGATTTCCCATGCTCTATCACACTCTTGGTGTCCTTAGCCTCCTTGACCTCCTTAGCTTCCTTAGCTTCCTTGCTGAAGTTGTGATTCCAGGACATGTTGCAATGCTCTAGAGAGACCTTAGACACTCTGTTCTTCTCCCATGAGGCAACTCCATTCTCTTCAAACTTGATTGATATGAACGAGTCTGCAAAAGCCATTTGCATTGTGAATTTGTGATTATGGATGCCAACAAAAATCACAAACACATACTTTATAACATTCTTTTTTTTTTTTTTTTTTTTTTTTGTTTTTTTTAGAAAAAACTCCCATGACCTACTATCTCATTGAGTATTGAGTATGAGGTCTTAGGATAAACCCCAAATACGCAAACCACATGTACTTAATACTAACATGATTAATCAGCGAGTTACTACATTACAATGGTTACAAAAATGGCCCAAAGGGTCCCTCCTACATTCTAATTTGCCCTAATCTGCATGACCAAAATCAACAGCAAATGTAGTTCAATTACAAAAACAAAAAAAAAAAATGTAACTAGAGTGACTTCTGCGTAAATCTATGCAATTAGAATATGTTACTCAATGTAAATCTATGCAATTAAAAAATGGCGCTAATGATTCTAATTTTCTCTGTTTAAATTATGTGAATATTTGCAAATAGAATATGTTACTCAAATGTAACAACTGCGTTTTCATTCCCTCCAAACTTTACCTTCATTATTATTAATTATTAAACGTTGGTTGGGATGGAAGGAGAGAGGGTTGAGTGCAAGCAAAGAGAGAGGAAAACAAATGGAGGTTAGAACTAAAGAAATAAGGTAATATATAATGATCATACCACCTTTTTCTCTTTAAAATATTTAAAATATCAAATTGAGTTACTTAAAATAATGGAAGTATGGTGAATATTTCGGATATTTCTAAAGGGGGTTTTTTTTTCCAAAAATAATATAGATTAGAAGGAGTAGTGCCCCTCACTTATTTTGAAGTGAACAAATGCAATTGCACAAAATCTCATAAAGGAAACTACCATTTACTTCTAAAACCAAAAAAGGATGCATCTTGGTACAAAAGGATGAAGCTTTCTTACACATTCGTCAAACTCACCTGCTTATGGTTTAAACTCAGTGATGGTTTCTTCATAAACACCGTAAAAAATTGTGAATTGATTATTAAACCCCAAAACCCAACTATTTTTTTGCCCTCTGACAACCGATTTTTTTCTTTTTCATGCTGTTATTAACCAATTTAATTAAGAAAAAAAAAAGGAATATTGCATCTCCAATCTGCCCATTAATATTCCTGTATGAACATATATATACTTTGACCCTAATTTTGTCATTATTACCCAAAAAGCAACTAATTATGCAAACATAATAAACCAGACCGCCACAAACAAACACACATACAAATCCAAGCACAATGTTTAGGCTTTAACTTTGTTTATATCACCCGGAATTAATATCTCATTATCATTAAAAGCTGCAAGACAAAAAATAAAGCTAAAAAGATTAAAACTTTACCACTCACCCAAAAGAAAAACTTACCTTCTTGGCTGGTGGAGGCCTCTTGATCCAAGTAATTTGGTTTCCACTGTCGATTGAGGAAAGAGCTGAAAGCAAAGATCTTGGGGAGGCTAATGGGTGGCTTCTTGTGCATGCCACTTGGAGTTCTATGAGCACTAGCTCTGCCTCTGGCTGAAGAAACATGGTGGCCCTTTTTTGCAGCCAAGATGAGAAGCCTCTCGGTCAAGCACAGAGAGCAAACACCCACAACCACCTCCTTTGGGTGGAAATAGCAATAGGAGTTGTCTTCTCTATGCCCATTCATGTTAAGGCTGGGAGAATTGGTTTGTTGAGAAGAGTTGAGGGTTTGATTGATGAGAAAGGTGAAAAAGAAAAGCGAAAGGGAAAGGGAAAAAAATTTTGTGACTTGAAAAGAAAGAATAGGTTCTGTTCTGTTCTCTGTTCTGCTCTGCTCCGTGTCCGAGAAGTGGGAATACGTGTTGTGTGTATATATTGTGGAAGTCGTCATTTATAGTTGGGGAAAATTTTAGATCAACGGAGGTGATCATGTGGTTGGCCCACAGATCAATTTGGCCAATATAAAATGTAGGAATTGGAAGTACTATGACATATACAGTACTACTAAGCAAACATCTTTCCTTGCTAGGTTTTAAGTAGAGGTGGCATTTTAAACCGAAAAATCGAAAAATCGAAAAACCGCAAAAACCAACCGATAATTTACCGCAATGAAACCACAATCGCGGTAAACCGAACCGCATTTGTGGTATTAAGAACCGAACCGCATTTGCGGTTGCGGTTGCGGTATTTGATTTTCAAAACTTGCGGTTACCGCAAACCGCAAAGTATAGCCGCACGGATGATGAAGTTTAATTATACAAGGAAATGAAACATATGACAACTTGTAAGTAATTAGTTTATTTATGCTTCTTCTTATAATAAAATGTACTAAACTATGTTGTTTTATTTGTAGATAACATTGGTGCTCAAACAACACAACGGGGTTCTTCAAATCCACTCACCACCAACACTTGAGTTTGTAACATTAGTGCATTGCATTTTCCTTTTAATTTGTAACTTTAATTAATTTTGAATTGAATTTTTCTTTTTGGTTGTAACTTTAATTCATTTTGCTTTGCATTTTCCTTTTGATTTGTAACTGTAAAGGATTTGGAATTGGAATGCTTGAGAAGTTTAACTTTAATTGGAATGCTTGGAATTGTAACTTTAATTTTCTTAGGTTGTGAATGCTTGAGAAGTTGAGGAAATTGTGAATTTATATATGCTTGAGAAATTAAGGTTGTGTATTTATTTATTTAGGTTGTGAATTTATATTTTTGTGAATGATTGAGAACTTGCGGTAAACCGCAAAACGTGGTCGGTTTGCGGTTTCAAAAATCACCAAACCGCAAATAGTCGGTCGGTTTGCGGTTTGAGTAAAAATTCGCGATTACCGAACCGCAACCACCCCTAGTTTTAAGTGTAAAACTGGCCAAACATGTAAAGTCCTTGAGTTCTTTTATTATTTTTTAATACAAGAGATAGTCTAAACTATAAATGTGACGGAAATTTCTCACACACACATTACTAATGTGTTATAGGAATTCAAATCTGAGACCACTCATCTACGTGTCAAAGTCTTTTTCCACTAAGTTAGATCTCGTTGGTAGTTCTTTTATTGTTTTTGTATAAAATAGATTTGAATGAAGTGTGAATTTTGGTATTTTGAGATTTCAAGTGTGAATTTTCACATTTTGAGTTCGTAAAACAAATTTCATTGTAGGATTTGAGGTACAAAATCTCCACTCAAAGTTCAAAATACCAAAACTCACGCCCCAAACTTATAACTGCCTAAGTCCAAACCAATGCCCCTAAATTCCAAACATAATTTTAAAATTCACACCGAAATCCTAAATCTAAAAATTGTCATATCTAATCCCAAAATGTCAAAATCCACACTTCAAACCTTGAAACTCTAAAATGCAAAATTCAAACCCTACACTACCAAATCCAAAATCCACACTTGAAGATTAAAAATAATGTAAACCCCAGAAAGTAAAAATTCCTCCAAAACTCAAAAGATTCACATCTCAAACTTAAAATAACAAAGTTCACACCTGAAACCTCAAAATGTCTCCAATTCACACCTCAAGCCCAAAAGTAATTCTTCTATGCGCATCTACTTGAGCTAGTGGATTCCCAACAGACTTTTAATCCACATCTAATCCAATGTGGCTTTTTAAAGTAAACTGTTAAACTTGTGACTTAAAGTTTGGATTGGGTGCTTCTGTTTTTAATCTTTTCTGTTCTGGTAATTAGTCTCTTTCGCTTCAATTACTAAAGTTTCTTATTTTGTTAATAATTTCAACAAAAGCATGGAGAAAATTACTGGCAATGTGGCCTAAGACCATTCTGCTCCCTAGCCTAGAGGAAAAATAAGAACAAAACTATGCAGTCATGCAGTCAACTGATGCTGGTGCCCACACGTTCAGTTGAATGATTATATATTTATTTATGGCTAATCGTAATCATGGTACGTATTTTTCCCAAAAGTGAAGACTTAATGCCTAGAATTTGACAAAACCAACCCAAGAAACCCTATAAAAAACAATTGGATTGGGATGTGAAGTTGGCCACTGGCATGTGAGGTTCAAGTCAAAAAGTGCGACTTCCACTTTATTTCTAACTTTATAAAGGCGCACAGCGCAGCAAAACTGGCATAGGATGTAACTAAAGCGGGGGAAGAGTGCAAAGTGGAGCTGTTTTTAGGTCTTGGTAGGTGTTTCGTAGATGCTCAAAGGAAGCTCACAAGATTTGGCAATTAATTTTTGGTAGTGTTTTTTCTTTTTTCATCACGTCTTGGAAAAGGCTGTGGTGTTGTGCATGCCTATCTCCAAGAAGGTTATTTTATCTACAAATGTAGTCAAGGCCTTGGTATTGCAAATTCCCTTGGAAGACCAGAGAATGTACTTCCAGAATTTGTGAAAAACAGACATGTTTTTTCTTTTTCAAGATCTTGGGGCCATTTATGCACGCCCCCAATCTCCAAAAGCTCACATTCATATGTCGATCCTTACAAGTTTAATTTTGTCCATTTTTTGTGTTTCAAGATAAAGATCTCTCATGTACTTTAACAAAACATGTTTACCTTATTGTTCTTAGAAAACCACGCTCTAAAACCTTAAGCTATATATACACCCTCCCTCGTATGGAGAAACAAATCAACAAGAGGAGAGAGACAAACATATAAATGAGAGCAAGTTGAAATTCGCATAATTTAGTACTTTGAAGAAATACACGTCTGATTATTGATTGGATATAACGTCTTTGGTCATTGAAGGAAGAATTGCAAATAATCGTTAGATTGTCCATGCGAAGTAGAAATACCCAACCCTAAGAAAGTGGCATGCGTAAAAAGTGAGATTTTAATCTAGAAATTACGTACACTATGCCTTAATTTTTATTTTTATTTTTGTTTTTTGGTTGTGAGATTGAAAGATTTGTTATGAAATCCTTAAAGGCTTGAAGCTTATACCTTGTAAGGTCGTCGTTTTGCTCTTAGCCTATGGAAAATCCTAACAGGTTTAGAAGGTGAAGTAAACAAGAAAAGTAAACAAATTTGTAGAAATTTGGAAAAAATAATAATAATAATAATAATAAAAAGTAAACAACCAAAGTACTGGGCACATGGGGAGCGGGAAGTGGAGTGGGGCTGCTTCTAGTTTGGATGCCTCAACTCTCAAGTTGGGTTCAAATCATGGACGGTGGACCAGATGTTGGATTAACAGGCCTCCTTCTAAGCCACGTGAGATAACATCATTGGCCGAAGATAGCACTACACGACTGGGATATCAAAACAATGTTATCTTTGTTGCAACTAAGTTTTTTTCCCCTTTCTAAGGCATTTTTCATTTTCCATTATTTTTTGTCTGATCCTTCGAGCCCATTTAGACCTCTTATTAAATCTCAATGTCACTTTCCAAACTGAAAAATCTCTTTTCAACTCTGCCTTTATTTTTCTCTGTACTAATTGAAATGAGACAATTCAAGCAAGGTCCATAGAGAGTGAATATCGACTCTAACAAGATTCAATGGATCATTGTTGTGAATTTTAGACAACCTGAAAAATGAAATATTAGTCTAAACACAAATTATACTTGCAAGTGCACAAGGTCAATCGTAATATAGTATAGCAAATACGAGATCATTCCCACGAGGATTGAGTTCAACTACCAATTAGTCTAACCTAATTTACTCCACAAAATACTTTAACTACTCTAATTATATAAACAAGAAATTAAACACGTAGCATACTCACGTAAACACAAAAGGGGTTTTTGAAAGAATGATTTAATTACCAACGAAATTAAAAGACAAAACAAGTAGAAAGTCACGAAACACAAGGATGAGAAATTCAAATTGATAAAAGCACTAGGACAATGAATTCATCACTAGTAATCCGATCTAGCCTCTTATTCACTTACCTATTAACTAACCATTTGATGTCGCCGCTTAGTTTTCATTTTTCATGAATTACCTATGGTATTTAGGTAACTCGTATATTCCTACATGCAATTCGCCTATGGTATTTAGGTCAAATATCAACACATAGAAACTTATTAAGATCAGTGAAAACCTCCAACAAGCATGTAAACCCTAGGAGTATGGTATTAAACCTAAACGAATTACAAATCCTAATCACAAGAAGCAAGCCTCAAATTAAGTATGGTATTTACTCTAATTTTTATCCGATTAACTCAATTAAAAGTCTAGATGGTGATCAAACATCAAGATAATCAACCAATTTATTAAGCATAATGATTAAGAATCCAACATCAAACAGCAATCAATAGATAGGTAAAATAAGTAAACTAGATTATCATACTAGGGCTACATCATGCACTAGCAAAAGAAAATTAGTTACACATAATCATAGAATTCGACATAAGCAAAAACATAAGGAAGAAACAATAAAACTTAGCCAATTGCGGTACTCTTCCGATGTCTCCAATTTCTCCTAGTCTTTGCGTGTCTACCTCTAAATGAGTTGTTTCTCATGCTTAAATAAAACACCTCACGTCTATCCCTACCCTAGCTTGGGCTTTTACAGCAGCCCAAAAATAAAGAAAAACCTAATTAAAACATAAATCCAAAATGGGTAAGTAATTGACTCCTCTTCCTATTTGGACTGGGATAACACGTCAGTTACTTTGCACGCAGGTTTGAAGTTGTTCCTCCTCCAAGAAAATTGGGGAAAATATATAAATTGTAGATTTTTGTCTTATCTTTCCAGCCATATATCGTACGCCTTGAGGAAAAATCAGGAAAGTCTTCAAATAGTCATTCTTCCACAGAAGCACAGATTTGACGGGATTGCACCTTATGCTGAATTAACCTCAAAGACTGCTTTCACTGGCTGCTCTGAAAATTCTAGAAAAATTCCACAATCATCTTCAAGATCTTGCCTTTCATCTCCAACTTGTCTTGTACTAAAACTTCACCAAAAAGTCGTATTTCCGTTGAAAACAAATTTCTTACTCTGGAAAGCTAAAAATTGAGAAAATAAAGTAATAAGTCCTTTTTAAATCAAATTCTCCTACAAAAACTAAGTACAAAGAGTATATAAATGTGTAAATTTATGGACTTATCAATCATCAAAATGTTTTCCAAGTTGCTTGAATTTCCAAATTCTTCGAAAACCAAATTTCACAACCAAAGAGATTAATTGGTTTATTTTCCCCGTTCTTTAACAATATATGAAATCCCATCTAATTCCTTTTCATAAATAGTGTGTAAAGAAAATTTTGATTATAAAAAATAGTATAAAATAACTCAATGCATTCAAAAGCTACCCAAGTATACTTGGCCAAAACAAAAAAAGGCTACCCAAGTATCAACATTCTTCCTCTAAATTCACAAGCTATCCAAGTGTCAACAAATTCAAATCTAAGTCTAGACATACATCTCTCTCGAAACAAACCTAGACGACTAGTGTCTGCAACCCAACCTAGATGTCAACTGATCCCAGAAACATAAAAATAAAATTCATCACTAGTAGACTGTCTGCGACCCTATGCTCTTCTGGTGGCAACTTCAACGGTAACCATATTGTCCATCTGCAAGCACTTACCACCCTTGTGAGTGAATCGCTCCGATGAGCATTTAGGAAACACACCATATGGGTTACATACGCGCTAACCTTGGCTGCACCATGGGCTGCCAAAAGTTCCTCCAAAATAAAAAAGACACAAAAGGAATGGTTAAGGAAGATTTCAAGTTTCAAGTTGTGAAAGCATAACATAAATGTTTAAAATCCTTTTATGTTGCTGATGTACTCATAACAATTATAAATACAAAGGCTTCATTGGTATATAAAGAGTAGGGAAGAAAGAAGCACTATGAGACACATGGAAGATAGTGTAGCACACTCACCGTATCAGAGTCGGGAAGCTGGTTTCTTATCTGATTCTCATCTCTACGCCCCTCCTGATCTTTTCTCTGATTTAAAAATCAAAGTGTTCACACAAAACTCCCAAATGAATCACATTCACATTTTATATGGCTTATAAATGTACGTCTGTTAACAATGGGATTCTTATATATCTTTGCTGCAAGAGATTAAGGTTTCATTATGAGGACTTGATAAATACTTAGAGACAATATATACACTAATAACGCAAACACCAGAAAATGTGAAGCAACTGTGGGAACTCAGAGTCTCCGGGGAACAGAGTCTGCCTCTTCCTCACCATCTCGACTGCAATTCAAAAATCCTTAATTTGGTAATTCAAAGTAGTGATGAAATCACACACACTAAACATTTTGATTTCACATAACTCACCATAATGAATATTGAATATCAAACACTAACACAGAAACTCTATTTTCTTTTCCCCTCAAAGTTTGAAGTATCAACATCACGAATTGGAGAAAGGACTTTTTAATTCATTTTCTCTTGTTTGTATGTCAGTATCAATAAAGTTATACGTAAAGAATTTGGATATATTTATTTTATTAGGTATGGCCTTCATTCTTCAATTGCATGCCGCTTCATATGAATTCCATCAGCTTCGATCTCATGTTGCCCTTGTTCCCCTTCTTCTCAATATCTTCAGGGTAGATTATATCGCGGCCCATGTCACGCTTGTCACTTATGTTGCCGGAGTGGGTAAATCCCATCGTGTAGCTGCTCTTGTCTCTCATAGCCACCCCTTTAATTTTCATATCATTGCTGTTGGGATTTCCAGCATTGCCATGCGTGGATTGCTCTTGACCCATATTGTATCACTGATTGATTTTTAGTTGGGATCTGGGTGTTTGCTTTGATGATGAACTCATTGCCTCATGGTCTCCTTTTATAGTTGTTGGCATGCACATATGCAGATGATATCCTTTTTCTATGGATGGTCGATACCCTCTGATCATGATCTATATTGATCATAATATTCTTCACATATATTTACATTACATTTATATCTGCTTGGAATAATATACTCGAGTGTAAAGGTTGCTAATTTGCCTCGTCCGATAGCTTTATCTTGAGAATATATAAACATGCATGTCACATTTGCAGTAACCTTACCTTGCTTGCCAAGCTACTCTCTATGCCAGCCTTCAGAACCTCAAATTATGGCGAAGCAATTCAGTTTTCTCCTCTAAGGATTGAAAATGACAGCCTATACTAGAGAATAATATAGTTTACACTTGTCTTCTTGGAATAATATACTACAGTACTGCCGTAGTGGCCTTCCTTTTTCTCTTTTTAGCTAGCTAGTAATAGTTCAACACAGTTAAAACTAACAAGGAAAGTAATTAGCTAATTACAAGGAATCCTAACTAAGTAACTTGCACCTACTCTAATCAAGTAACATGACTCACGCCAACACTCCCCTCAAGTTGGTGCATAGATATCTCCTATGCCCAACTTGTCAAGTAAGTCATGAAAAACCTTTGCAGACACCGCATGTGATAAGACATCTGCTAGATATTCTCCTGACCTTACAAACGGTATATCAATTAGCTTTTTTAACAACTTCTCCTTGATAAAATGCTTATCCACTTCAACATGCTTAGTTCTATCATGTGAAACTGGATTATTTGCTATCTCCCTACTAGCTTGATTGTCATAGTAAAGCTTCATGGCCTTCTATGGTGGAAACCCAATTTCAAATAAGAGTATCCTTAGCCAAATAAGCTCACAAACTCCCTGCCACACCCATGTACTCTGCTTCAGGTGCAGATCGAACCACTACATTCTGCTTCTTACTGTGCCATATAACAAAATTACTCAAATGAAAGTGAAGTAACCTAATGTAGAACGTCTATCTATTATATTGTATGCACAATCTGCATCTGCATCTGTATAACCCTTGACATCTAAATGCCCTAGTTTTCTCAATATCAAACTTCTTCCTAGAGATTTCTTCAAATAACTCAATATTCTCATAAATGCTGCTAAGTGATCCTCACAAGGGGAATGCATGACCTAGCTAACAACACTAATTGCATATGCAATGTCTGGTGTAGTGTGTGAGAGATAAATTAGTCTTCCCACTAACCTCTTTTATATATATATATATATATATATATTTTCTTGTTGGTTGGCACTTGATCAGGACATATTACTAAGTGATGATTCTGCACAATGAGGGAAAGTAACCAAGAAATACTACTTTATTTCCTTTCACATATTTGGTTTGTGTAGGAATGTAAAACAAAGTTTGTTTAATTTTCCAATTATATCCATATGAAATCAAATAATAAAAAGAATGTATTTTATACTATATTGTTAATTGAGACAATATGGTCATGAAAAATGTGTGTTTAATGTTGGCTAATTTTCTCAAACTTTCCCATGATGAGGAAAACAAAACTCAAGGGGGGAGGAGAGCTTCACTTTCCCCCTACTTTCACATGTGCAAGGTAACGATTTCCCATGCCTGGACTTACCAAACATGGGAAAGCAATTGATTTCTCATCACCAAGCCTCCTTTCCCATGAACCAAACAGGACCTACAAGTTATTAACTTCAAGCCTTCAAGGATTTTCATACCAAATCTTCCAATCTCACACTAAAATAAAAAGGCATCCATTTATGTAATTTCTAGATTAGAATCTCACTTTTTAGGCATGCCATTATCTTAGGATTAGTATTACTACGCACGGACAATCTTAAGATTATTTGCAGTTCGTCCTTCAATGGCTAAGAACGTTATATCAAATCAACAATAAGACGTTCATTTCTTCAAAGAACTAAATTATGCGAATGTCAATTTGCTCTCACTTACCTGTTTGTCTCTCCATACAAGGAAGGGTGTTTAGCTTAAGGTTTTAGGGTGTGGTTGTCTAAGAACAATAAGGTAAACATGTTTTGTCAAAGTACATGAGAGACCTTTATCTTCAAACACAAAAAATGGACAAAACTAAATTAGCAAGGATCGACATATGAATGTGAGGTTTTACACATTGCCACTAATTTTCTCCATATGTTTTTGTTGAAATTATTTACAAAATAAGAAAACTTTAGTACTGCAGTATATTATTCCAAGAAGACAACTGTATATACGTGAATAATCTCTAGTATTGGAACCAATGAGGCAATGAGTTGATCATCAAAGCAAACACACAGATATCCCAACTAAAAATCAATCACTGAGACAATGGCTGGAACCAATGATGTTAAAATTAAAGGGTTCGATTTGAGCAACAACAGCGGCAACGCGTCGGGATTAACCCACTTCGCCAACAGAGCTGACAGAGGCGACAAGGGCGACAATAAAATCGAGGTTGAGGATGCTAAAGCGCAAGGGAACACGGGAAACTTGAAAGTACTTACCGACTTCGCCCAACGCGGTAATGTGGCCAAGTCGGATCGCCAAGAAATACTCAAACCTCAGGCATGAAATTGAAGAAGGCCATACCATAATAACTTATCTGCTTGATAGATATATGTGCTAAATTATCTACACAAAAATAAGAGCTGACGTTTTATCTGAGGCTCCTACCTTGGTTAGGCCTCGTTATCATGTGTAATATTAATATTATTATTCTAATAAAATAATGGTAGCTTATTATTAAATATATATCAAAATTCTATACGTATAACTTTTAGATTATTGATACTGATGTCAACAAGAGAAAATGATTAAAAATTTCATTCTCCAATTCGTGATGTTTCAAAATGAGACTTCAAATTTTAAAACTGAAGTTGCATGCGAGTATAAAACTGAACCAAGCAATGTATGGGCCAGAGTGACCAAGGATGTACGCCAGTGAACTAATGGCAATCTCTCGTCGCATGCACGCATATGCAATTGAAGAAGGCCATAATAATATGTGTGTTTATTAAATTATCTACACTAAAATAAGAACTGAGGCATTATCTGAGGCTCCTTCCTTGGCCAGGTCTCATTTTCCATTTTGATTTCAACTTTGATTTCGCTTGAAGTTTGATTTTGAGCTAGACCGTGATTTCGACTTTGATTCTGATTCTCTCCAATTCGTGCCTTAAGAATCAGTTTCTCCCAACTCTATTTACCAAAACCAAAAACTCTTAAACTTTTCAATTCGTCTGGCTACTCTCAGGATTTCATGCCCTAGTTTCCTCTCGCCAAAAAGACTTGGCTTTCATGTAATGCTATACTCCTCGATTGAACAAGCCGCGTATTGAAGTTTAGCTTTCTCGCTTCCTTTCTCTTTACTTTCTTTTCTTTTGTTTTCCGGCCGGGAAAATCATGGAAGCATTACAAATTTAAGAGAATATTCTAGTATTAGGGTCCAAACTGTACTATTTAGGTATTTTCATTCTGATTAAGAGTTCTTTTCTAGAAATTTGGGGAAGAAAAAATAGAGTTTCTGTTTTAGTGTTTGATTTTCATTATAGTGAGTTATGTGAAATCGAAATCTTTCTTGTGTGATTTCATCACTGCTTTCAAATTGCAAATTAAGGACTTAAGGTTACAAACTATTATGCAGATAAATTTTGGGAATTTAAGAGGCAGTACAGTGTTTGTATAAGTCTTGAGATAGACCAATTTATTACCATTCTCGATTTCTATATATATACATTTTTTTTAAATCATTCTTCTGTTATATTTTTTTTTTGTTAATTTGTCATCATGGGTAATATGATAGCTTCTAATTCCTTCTTCCTATTTCTTCTTTTTTTGTTATTCTCTCCCAAATAAAATGAAGACCTAACTTATATCAAGAAGAAGAGGATGGGTCCTTACATATAAAGTTTTTAAAATTAACATTATTGGAACACAGTAGGAGTATCGGCATATTTGATACGAGTATCGGAGCATCGGAGTATCAGATACGAGCATGCCCGTCTTTAACAATATCTCATTTCAATTAGAACAGAAAAAAAATAAAGGCAGAGTTGAAAATAGATTTTTAAGTTTGGAAAGTGACATTGAGATTTAAAAAGACTAGACATTAAGATGCCAAGAGAGGTCTAAAAGGATCAGACAAAAAAAAATTGAATGAAAAATAGAAAATGCCCTAGAAAGGGAGGAAAACTTAGTTGCAATGGGGATAATAGTGTTTTGCTATCCCCGATCAATAATTTTATACCATGTGGCCCAGAAGGAGACATGTTAATCCAACTCATTTGGTCCACCGTCCATGATATGAACCTGACTTGAGAGGTTTTTTGTTTTTTTTGGTGGGTTGAAGTAGAACAACCCGACTTGAGAGTTAAGGCAGCCAAACTAGAAGGGAAGCAACCCCAATCCACTCCCGCTCCCCATGTGCCTAGTACTTTGCTTGTTTACTTAAACCTTTTAGGATTTTCCATAGGCTAAGAGGAGAACGACCACATTAGGGTCCCGTTTGGTTCACGAACAGATTTGAAGGAAAATCACTTTTCATGTCATTTCTCAAGGGATGGGAAATGGAGATTCCTTTCCTATATTTGGTAATCTTGGGAAAATAACCAAGAAATATCAATTTATTTCCTTTCACATGTTTGGTTTGTGTAGGAATGTAAAACAAAGTTTGTTTAATTTTCCAATTATACCCTAAGAGGGGAGGAGCGCTTCAATTTCCCCCTTAATTTCCAATGTGCAAGACAACGATTTCTCAAGCCTGGACTTATCAAACATGGGAAATCAATTAATTTCTCATCCCCAAGCCTCATTTCTCATTAACCAAACAGGGCCTACAAGTTAATAGCCTTCAAGCCTTTAAGGATTTCATAACATAATCTTAATCTCATCCAACCCAAAAAAAAAAAAAAAAAAAAAAAAAAAAAAAAAAAAAAAAAAAAAAAAAGGATCCATGTAATTTCTAGATTAAAATCTCACTTTTTACGCATGCCATTATCTTAGGATTAGGTATTACTAGACACGGACAATCTTACGATTAATTCGTCCTTCAATGGCCAAAGACATTATATGTGAAGAATATTATGATCATTATCAATATAGAATCTGTATCATGATCAGAGGGTGTCGATCGACCATCCAAAGAAAAAGGATGTCCTCTGCATGCGTGCATGCCAACAACTATAAAAGGAGACCATGAGGCAATGAGTTGATCATCAAAGCAAACACACAGATATCCCAACTAAAAATCAATCAGTGTGACAATGGCTGGAACCAATGATATTAAAATTAAAGGGTTCGATTTGGGCAACAACAGCGGCAACGCGTCGGGATTAACCCACTTCGCCAACAGAGCTGACAGAGGCGACAAGGGCGACAATAAAATCGAGGTTGAGAATGCTAAAGCGCAAGAGAACAAGGGAAACTTGAAAGTACTTACCGACTTCGCCCAACGCGGTAATGTGGCCAAGTCGGATCGCCAAGAACTACTCAAACCTCAGGCATGAAATTGAAGAAGGCCATACCATAATAACTTGTCTGCTTGATAGATATATGTGCTAAATTATCTACACAAAAATAAGAGCTGATTTTTTATCTGAGGCTCCTACCTTGGTTAGGCCTCGTTATCATGTGTAATATTAATATTATTATTCTAATAAAATAATGGTAGCTTATTATTAAATATATCCAAATTCTATACGTATAACTTTTAGATTATTGATATTGATGACATACGAAGAAGAGAAAACGATTAAAAAGTCCCTTCTCCCATTCGTGATGTTAGAAAAAGATACTTCAATTTCAAAACTATAATTGCACACGAGTACAAAACTGAACCAAATATAAAGTAATGTATCAGAAACTTGACTAAATAGAATACAACATATGTGGAAGGCTTTTGATCATAAATGGTCTTTGAGATTCATGAAATTATCAGTTTTAGTCCTTCATGTTTTTTGTGACATTATTGGTTCTTTATGTTACTTCTCCTCGCACATCAATTTGGTCTTACCGTTAGGATCCGTCAAATTTTCTGTTAAATTAATGACGTGGCACGTATGTGGTCCTCACATATCCAATGAGATAATGACCTGTGGATCTAAGTAAAAAATTTGTTTTTAAAAAATAGTTTCATGTTTAAAATTGTTAAAAGGGAGAAGACTCATTAGGTAACCCGAAGTTTGGGTTGTTGAAGCCTTCAAGCATGGTTTTGCTCACAAAAGATTGGAACGCAATGTGTTGAGTTCAGCACTGAAAACCAAAGAATGTCGAAAATGTAATAGGAAGAGAGAGAGAGAGAGAGAGAGAGAGAAGAGGGGGGGGTGGGGGGGGCAGCAGAGAGTGGGTTGGGGAGGTGGGGCTGGGGGTTGAGTCGAGCATAAGGCTTGGGAATGGGGGTGAGAGAAGGGTTGGTTGCGGCTGGGGATGGGGTGGGGGCAGGGTGTGGGTTGCTGCTAGGGCAGACGGAAGGGAGGGGAACGAAGGAGAAGGGGAGGGATGGCTGTAGGTTTTATTTATTTTATATTTATAAATTTAAAATTTGATGTTTTATTCTTAATTTTTTTTTAATGGATTTTATGTTTAAAATTATTATATTTTATTTAAAGACACATGGCTCTAAATGGATTGTGATGTGTGGATTCTGCATATATGCCACATCAGCAACTTAACATAAAATTTGACAGATCCTAACGGCAAGGACCAAATTGATGTATAAAAAAAAAAAAAACAAAATAAATCATCAAAAAAAAAAAAAAAAAAAAAAAAAAAAAAAAAAAAAAAAAAAGACCTAAGTTGATAATTTTGCGAACCTTAGGGACCATTTGTGATAAAAACTCGATATTGAATAATTTCAGTACTACTACTAGTGTTTTTCCCCTAAATGCTATTGAGAAGAGGTTTTATAAAACTGCTATAAAACAATAGTAGATTATGGCTCCCAAATGTTTTCATCATCTTCTTCCTCCAAGCAGATCGATAACATATGGTCACTACTGACTTTTTCTTATAGTTCTCAATATCTATCTTTCAAGCTATCAACCAAGTTGTTGCATTGCTCCTCACTGGTAGAAGAGCCTTCCTTCCCTCATTTCATATGAATTCAAGCAAACTCTCTATCCTCTTTCTTTTTCTTTCCTTTCCTTCTCTCTTATCTCTCTATTTCCTTTTTCTTTTCTTTTTTATCCCCTCTCTCTCTCTCTCTCTCTCTCTCTCTCTGCCCCAGTTTTTTTCTTCCTCTTTATTTCCTTATCTCTTCTCTCTATGTTTCTTCTTCTTTCTCTGCGCCATGTTCGGTTACAACCACACTACTGGCAAAAAATTTGGATTTAACTCATATCTATGTCCCTTACTGCTAAACTTTTCTGGGTCCGCCACTGACCCCCGCCTTTGATATTCCCACTCCAACCCGCCACCTCCGCTTACAAAACCCAAAATAGAAGATGATGACCATGTCATCTAATTTTTTTTTCTTGTACAGAAACCCAAATTGCAGGGAGGGTGGTGGGGTTGATGGGTGTGCTAAGAAATTACGAGGAGGGTGTGTGGGGTATGATGGCAGGGACGATGGAGAAGGAAGGAAGGGATGGTGGGTTTGGATTTCGAACAAAAAATAAAAAATAAATACGGATGTGGGTGTGGGTGAGAGAGACAGAGAGAGTTGTAAATTTGTCTTTAGAAGTCATTTTGTAAATGGATAAATTTGTCTATAAAATTTTTAAAATAAGGTGAGTGAGGAAATAGAATAGGTAGGTGCAAATAGTAGCACTCTAATATATTCACTAGTAGAATACAGGGAAGTAATAAAAGTCATATTACGCATATGCAAGAATATAAAATACCTAGAATATATGTTTGGAAGGCAAAATAATAAACCTAGAACTAGACCTAGGTTGAAAAACATGGGATCTACCTACAATATATCTATGTCGTGGGAACACTTGTGTATATTTCATCACCTCCAAAACTGATGCAGGAGTATAAGGGTAGATCAAGATAGATATTTACCATTTAATTAGTTATTTCATGATATATTGTTATTTTCTTATTTAGATAGTTTTAGGATATCTTTTATTTTTTATGTGTAATTTTTATAATTAATTAGTTTACTTTTGGACCAAGTAGTCTTGGTGCCCAAGTTTTATAAAGCCCATAAATAAGGCTAATGTAATAGTTGTAGGGGAGTTTATGTTGATGATTAACGAAATAGTTTATTTGAGGCATGAATTTGCTACGATATATATGAGTTTGCACTAGCCCTACATTTCCGTACTCATGCATGTTGTTGGTGACTTGTGTCCTGACCTCGATCCCCATCAAAAACCTATACGCTAAGAACAACAAATATAATGCACCACATAATATTGTAGGGTGAGAAAACTCGTACATCTGATCTACCTACAACATAGGATTAAAAAAATTATACGAACATACTCATACCGTTGGAACACTCGTGTATATTTCATCACCTTCACAATAGGTATCAAAACCCACCATGAGAACACTCGTGTACTTACAACAGACCTACACCTTGGGAACACTCGTGTACATACATTTACCTATATTTACAACATCTACATACACCATGAGAACACTCATATGCATACAACTTACTTATATTTACAACATAAACCTACACCATAAGAACACTCGTACATACGACATACCTATACTTACAAATTACAATGCACCTATCCTTACAACATATATACCTACATCATGGGAATACTCCTGTATATTTGAACACATGAACATGATTCATGTGAAGCAAAAGGATATAGAGGAAAAGAAAAGACGAAGAAGAAGACAAGAAAAAAAAGCGACCGAATACACAAAATGAAAAGTTACCAAAGTGACAATTATATATCTATAGTTGACATTAGAACTAATATTAAATTATTTAAAAGGTGAAATCTAATAATTATTTACCTAAAATAAATATTCAATGAAATAATAATTAAGGAATTGACAATATAAAGTTAATTGAGGGTAAAAAAGGCATTAAAAGTTTCAAAAACGGGAACCATAAATCTTGGTTGACTCGTCTCAATATAGTAAATTTGCTGTCGTGGAAAAATACTCAATGAGCTTACATCAAAAAATGAAATCACAAGGATTACAAGGATTATTCCTAATAAACATACTTTTGGGTTTGTATCTAATTTTCCTAATAAACCCTAATACTTTGGGTTTGTATCTAATTATCTCTAGGTAGTTGTTGACTGCGTGTGGATCTTAGTTTTCTTGAGTTAGTCATTTTTAATTAATGCACCTACTCAACACACTTAGTGAAATCTGAAAAATCTAAGGAATGAAGAATTTCTTATTGGATCAGTCTTTGCATTCTTTTCTTAGACACATGCCGTAATCTTTTGTGCCATAGTTTTGTAGACTTCTCATTATCTAGTGGTTGTTTTTGGCCTATTCAATGGTAAAAGCCACATTGTTAATTTCAAAGTTTAAGCAAAAACAAACCATCAACCAAAGAGCCATTGTCCACTGAACTTTTATTGAATATCAAATAAAATTCTATTTCAGAGAATGCAAAACTGAAAAGTTCCGTAGTTCATCTAGAAACTGAAATCAAACTCCTTCTCGTAGAAGGGACATAAGCAACATCTTTCAAAATTAAAGTAAAGCCTGAAACTAATTGAAGCCTAACTGAGCCTATTGCTTGAACTGGTAATCTCTTTCCATTCTCCAACAACACATGGTCTTGGTCTTTACTTGTTCTTCTGGCTTATGAAGTCCTGCGTTTAATTGACTTTATCATTTGGATACCATGTCTATGCAGTCCTATGTGTTGATCACATTTGACACAAAGTTTGATATAGATATCTTTATCAAGTGAGTTTTCCAAACTGTGCACATAAGAGCACCTCCACCCCAAAAGGCAAGGGCAATTATATTCACTTTAATTTATTTTCTATTTTTATCCTTAAACCATGAATTTTGATAAGTTTTTCGGTTGCCACGTGTCACTATTTATTATACAATTCTTACCTAAAATTTCAGATAACATTTTCTGTTGCCATGTGTCCATATTTATTATAAAATTCATATCTCACTCATCATACAATTGAAATACCTACTCACTCATCATATAATTGAAATACTTCTGGTCCTCATAGTCCGACACAATCGAGTACAAGGATGACTCAATTATTGGCGGAGGTGGTTTCACTAGATCACGACGTGGGGAAGTATTTTCCTTCGGAGGACGTAATAATGCCATTATTTCTTACACAAAACACATCACTAGAACCAACTGTGGGCATTGTTCACTTGAGGAGCCATGTGTAATGGTTTTCTTCTTTTTTGTTTTGCCTTGAATTGTCACATCCTGGGATCGGCTCCGTCGTAGCACGATATTGTCCGCTTTGGGCCCCCCTCTCTGCCCTCACGATTTTGTTTCTGGGAACTCAAGAGCAACTGCCCAGTGAGTCACCCATTCTGGGATTGCTCTAGCCCCAACTCGCTTAACTTCGGAGTTCCCATGACTCTGAAGCTAATGAGCTCCCAAAATGCCTCGTGCTAGATGCAGGTGGGCATGTGCATATAAGACATCACCCTCTCTCCGTTGGTCAATGCGGGATGTTACAATTCAACCCCCTCAAGGGCCCGATATCCTTATCGGCACACTTGCACCACATGGCAAAGTGGCTCTGATGCCAAATTGTCACATGCCGAGATCGGCTCCACTGTAGCACGATATTGTCTGCTTTGGGCCCCCCTCTTTGCCCTCACGATTTTGTTTCTGGGAACTCACGAGCAACTACCTAGTGGGTCACCCATCTTGGAATTGCTCTAGCCCCAACTCGCTTAACTTCAGAGTTCTCATGATTCCAAAGCTAGTGAGCTCCCAAAAGGCCTCGTGCTAGATGGAGGTGGGCATGTACATATAAGGCACATTACCCCCTATCCGTTGGTCAATGCGGGATGTTACAATGGCCAAAACTTCTATCTCTTATTTAACTACCAAAACACAGAAATTTCTCCTAACTACCACCACCAACAGGTAGAACACCTTGAGAGGTTGAGAAAACATACCTGGATCGTAAAATTTGGCCGTCGGAAACACCCAAACGAGCTTCCGAAAAATCTATCAAAAACTGTCCAAAAACAGCTCGGATTTCTGTAATTTCCAGCCAGCACTGGTGGAGCCAACGGCTGAAGTTGGTCAGGATGGGGAGAGGAAGGCTGCCTTGTTCTTTAGGGTCCAGCCCCGTGGCTGGAGGTTGAGTGTGGTGGCGGCGATAGCTCTTGGAAGCCACCAGCTGTTTAAAAAAAATGAAGGGGGAGGGGCTGGTTCGCAAGAGAGAGAGAGAGAGATATATATATATATATATATATATTTAAAAATCTGACATTTGAAAATTACTGTTTTACCCCTCATCGTATTTTGATCGTATTTTCTTTAATACTACTCGGATTTGAGTCCACCACGTGTCTACGGACTCATTTCAAAGTGCTCTACGCAACGGTACAAGCAAAATCTCCAAATTCCTCCCCGGTCAAAAAGTCAACTTTTATCCTAATAAATTATTCTAGGGGCAAAATAGTATTTTTTTTCATAATAAATTAATAATTAAAAATTAATTAAGGATCGGGTTATTACATGAATAATCTATTAAAAAAATGAAATTGAAAATGCAAGAAATATATATATTTTTTTTAAATACATTAAATTGAATAAAACGGCAATTTATTTTTTTCTACCTCATCGCCAAGATTTTGACCTCTTCGAACGTTTTTCCACAACCCTCCGGCTTCGATGGAAGAGGTCATTTGTTTTTTTATACAAATGGAAAGTTGTATAAAAATATGAGGGGAAAGTAAAAAATATTGAAAGGAGAAGAGTTTGTATGAAGATTTGGTGTGGAAAGTGAATAAATTTGTTAGGTATTTGTAGGGAAAAAAATCCATAATTTTTTGGTATATTTTTAACCCAAAAAATCACAGCCGTCAGATTTCTGGAAAAAAATCTATTGGAGTGTCCGGAAAGCACCACACGTGGCTTCTTCCCGTTGGTGGTTGTCAGTCGTGACGTCAGCAACTGAGATCAAATTTTTTTTACACACCAACAGTATAAAAAAAAATGATTTGCACTGCTGACATCAGCACCTTTGGGCAATAACTCAGTCCAGATTTGCCCGTGGGCTTGCCCGGGTTGGTGGTTCCCACACCTATCCCAAGCTGGATTGTGCTCGCTGGAGCTGGATTTCAGGCTTGGGGCAGCCTTTTGCCCGGGCCAGGCTTGAGCGCTGGAGGTGGCCTAAGGAATCGATTCTAAGGCAATAAGAAAGTGTTTTACATAGATGTTGCTCTCAAGTGGGAGAATATATATCCTCTGCATATATGCATGCCAACAACTATAAAAGGAGACTATGAGGCAATGAGTTCATCATCAAAGCAAACACACAAATCCCAACTAAACATCAATCAGTGAGACAATGGGTCAAGATCAAACCAAGCCAGCCAATGCTGGAAGCAATGATATTAAATTTAGAGGGGTGGAGGTGACCGACAACACCGGCACCGAGACAGGATTTACCCACTTCGCCAACAGAAGTGACGGGGCCGGCAAGGGCAACAATAAAATCGAAGTTGACGATTTTAAAGCGAGGGGGAACAAGTCACACGTGAACGTACTTACCGACTTCGCCCAGCGCGGTCAGGTGGGCGAGTCAGGCAAACAAGAAAACAAGGAGAACAAGCAACTTCAGCAGGCAAGCAATTGAAGAAGGCCATTCCATAATAAGTTTTCTGCTTGATAGATATGTACTAAAATATTTACACTAAAATAGGAGCTGATGCAATATCTGAGGCTGCTTCCTTGGTTAGGCCTCGTTTTCATGTGTAATATTAATATTATTATTATAATCTAAAATAATGGTTGCTTATTATTAAATATCAAAATTCTTTACGTATAACTTTTAGATTATCTACATATATAAAGCAAACGGTAGAGAATGGTGCTGATATACCAACAAGAGAAAATGATTAAGTATATCAAAATCCTTTCTCCAATTCGTGAAGTTCGAAAATGATACTTCCAATTTCACAACTATAGTTGCACGCGAGTATAAAACTGAACCAAATATGAAGCAATGCTTGGGCCAGTCTGACCAAAGCTCTCAAACGATGCACTTGAGAAGAAGGTACTAAATTAAAGGATGTACGCCTATTTCCAGCCTTCGAAGTCGCATATCTCTATATGGTTCCACTGAGCGATTGGGTTTGAACGGTGGCGGTTCAATTTGGGTTTGAGCGGTCGGTGGTGGTTCAATTGGGTTCAATTGGGTGGTGATTGTGGTTCGAGTGACCAATATTATGGCAACTTAAATCAGAAACATACAGAAAATATGGCAACTTTCTCAAAAATTGGTACAATGCTGTAAACCAATAAATAACTCAAAAAACCAATACAAAAAGCTAACCATTTGCCTCGAGTAGCTAATAAAATTTGACAACTATTATCATCATCTTCTTATTTGCTTGGAGTAGCTAATATAAGTAAACTTCCGACGTGCTTAATTTCTCTATATCTGACCTTTTCCTAACACTAACCCTTGGTTTGCATCATCTCTAGCAAGGCCACAAATTAAGGGACAAAAAGGAAATCCAGCAGGGCCCCTCAACTTATCAAGATTTTGCACAGCAAATAACAAGCCCATGTTTTCTGAAGAATCATGAAGCATATAACTTGGAGAGGTCTTCAGAGAAAGCCTTCTTAATGACATCTCTCTTGAGCTTGAGAGCTGCAGTGACCAGGCCAGATTCTGGAGTCCATGGTTCAGAAAGCAATTTGATTTTGGCAGGGATCTCAAACTTCTCCAAACGTGCCTTCTTTGCTTCCTATAATAGGTGAAACATAAATATTCGAAACAGAACAAAACAAAGTAAATTGAACCAAGTTAGTTTACAAAGGAATGAAAGCTTTTCATAAGGAGAGGAAGTTGAATAAGTAGCAAGTTCATTCGATAGTCGAGAAGGAAGCTTGGTGAATGACTGGATGATTGTTTGTTTTTAGACAAAAGAAAGAATATTTTTTATAGGACAATAACTGACATAGGCTGGCCATCAAGGATAACAGACATTACGTCCATTAGATGCATAATGTATAAGATAAATAAACATCAGGGTAATCAATCTGCCTGAAGAAACTACTAGGCAGGAAGGCCAAGATTGTATATTGAGCTTAGATCAGAGAATCCAATAGAAATTCAAAAAACTAAAAATACATATATATAATTTATCATAGTGCAGCAAGCCAAGACCAAATGTGATTAAATTTTATCAGAGATCTTGGCTACAGGCAAGACTTTGTACCTTGATAAATGACAAGAAGAGCTCATGAGATGCATACACTCCTTGAGTTCAAAGATTTCTTTCTTTTCTTTTTTCTTTTTCTCTTTTTGTGGGGGAGTGGTTGCAATATTTGAGCTCAAAGTTCAAATCCCTAGACTCAAGCTAAGTTCAAAATAATGGAAATTTACCCAGAAGATATACATACCTTTATAAGCGATGCTTGCACTTCTTTTATGGTTTCTTCTTTCACACACAAGTCTGAAAAATCACTAAAAGCAATTCCTTGCTTTGCAGCCCAATCTTCCACAGTGATTCGAGAAGCCACCACTATAGCCACACAGTAACTATGAAAAGGATCAGCATGCAACATGATATTGTCAACATAGGGGCACACTGAAAGAGCAGCCTCAACCTGTAAAGGAAACATTAGTTCCTCAGGAAAATCTGATGAAAAGTTGCATTCATCTTGCAACACACATACCTTTCCTAAGGAGACATACTCTCCATGCTGAAGTTTAACTATATCTTTCTTACGGTCAATTATCTCAAGACAACCATCAGCGTGAAATTGCCCAATGTCACCTGTATAGAACCACCTCATTCCTTTCTCATCAACCTTTCCACAAAAAAACCAAAAACAAAACCCCCAAAGTTAGGATCTATTGAACATTTTTCTTTGGTGGGTAGTTGCAACCAAAAGAATATCGGTACGAAATATTTGAAAAGACACCTTGTATGACTCTCTTGTTTTTTCTTCATTTTTGAAATAACCAAGTGTAACATTTGGACCACCGATGACTATCTCTCCACGCGGCATTGGGGAATCAGTTTTTAGATATCCTCCTTCGGGCCAATCAATTAACTGGAGACAGAAGTTTAGAAAGTCAATATCACCTTCATGCCTTGGAAACAGCGTACAGAACTCTTCTTAAGACATTTTCCTTAAAAGATATGAATTTGAAACAGATAATTCAACACAGAAATGGAAAAATGAACACCTCCAAGAAACTGCAAGTCATGATTAGGATTTCAAAACTTTCTTTCTTCCTTTTTGGAAGAATTACTTTAAGAAAATTATCAGTTATACACATGTAACTAAAATATCCATTGTCACCTCTTACCTTTATAAATGAGCATGGAAGCGGAGCTCCAACACGAGCAACAGATGTATCATCAAACTCTGAGAATGTCCCGCCAGCACAAGTTTCAGTTAGACCATACCCTTGACCAATTGGAGAACTGTCAATAGCACGAATGTGGTATGTTGAGAATAGAGCAAAAGAAAAAAGCATTAAAAAGCATTAAAAATTATAGGCAGGACAAAGTCATGGTTCACAATTTGTTATGTTGTAGGCGCTAAAAGTACTAACCCAATGCAAATGTTGATGAATCTTTGAGTATCACCCGAAAGAGGAGCACCACCAGAAAGGATAAAACGGATGCTACCTCCTAAAACTGCACGAACCTTTCTAAACACAAGAAAGTTCCACAGAAACTTTTCCAGGCCCCAGGCCCCAAACCAACTACCATTCACAGCAGACAACCTACGAGCATATGCCAAGTGAAACAATCTCTTGGATAGACCACCCTTTGCATTTACCTGAACCATTATGAAGATACAACGTTGACAAAACTGGCGTAATTTCAAAACCAGGTTTTACACAAACACATGCACAAATGATCTATATGTGGACAGGCATAGGTATCTAAATATGTAAAAATCATGACCCTGCCAAGATTCAAAAACCTTATTCAGCACTCCATCTCGAACACGATCAAGAATTGCAGGGACTGCTGTCAATACAGTTGGCGCAAGCACAGTTGCATCCCCCTTTGTTCCCTTCTTTATTTTACTTGAAGTATCAATAAGAGTCAATGGAGATCCATACCCTATGGCACTTCCCACAGCAACCATGACATTCTTCAATACAGATAATAAAAGTTGTTAAATCAAGTAGCACAGAGATATGAGAACATAACAAGATAAGAATCATAAATATAAAAAAATGCTCATTGAATTACTGTAGCCATGCAATATAGCCAGCTTACATATTCCCCATACCTCCGCTGCTAATTCAAGGATATGAGCAAGGGGAAGGTATGCCAGATAAACATCCTTGCTTCCAAGGCCAGGAACAATAGTCATGACAGCAGAAGCTACAGCTAGCACATTAGCATGTGTCATCATTACACCCTGTACAAAGTGGAAGCTGGAGGTGAATAATGTGTTCGTTGACTAACTTTTTAATACATTTGGAAAGATAAATGTCTATACTTGCATTAGATGCCACCCCAAAACAAATAAAAAAGAAAGGGCACAGATAAAGTAGAAAACAAAAATCGCCATAGATATGAAGGGAAGTTGATAATGTAGAGAAATGTGACGCAACACGTGCTCATTCTGTTTACACATAGGACATAAATCGAACATATATGATCATTCGTCATAAATCACAATCACCCACAATGTACCCATCCAAAGGAAGAACTTTAAGTGAACCCAACCCATATCATATTCCCCACCCATTGTACCCTACTCCATACAACCATGCAAGGTATTTCATATAAGCAAACAGCAATCCCATGAGCAAAATATTTCCATACATATTGATACATATACAACATTTTTGTTCGGAAAATGTGGATGCAACAAAGAGACTTTCATTATTGTCTCCTATTTTTAATTTCAAGATGGTATATTAATAATGGGATATTTATCAAATGAAAATGAAAGAGTATAGTAGCAGTAAACTAGTGACATTTATAATACTGCAGTAGTTTCATACTAACAAAAACTAGGAGAATGCATTTTCTCCAACAAGATTCAAGACTAAGATTAGCTTATCTGATGTAACTAGAAGAATATGTCTCAGATCTACCAGCATCAAGAAAAGGGATCACTTGTTTCTTGAAAAAATCTTTAAAATCATCTATGTGATTGATGGGCATTTGTTTGAGTTCATAGATTTATGTAACTAGGTCAGGTTAAAGACATAAATGTCTTTTTTCCTGAGTTCAATGTCAAACCACCCATAAAAAATGTCACTATCAAGCATCTGTGTCTTTTGAAAACTTTAACAGTGTAACAAAAGCACTTTGCAAGTGTAATTTTTAAGCCTAAAACTCATTAAAGATCAACAGTCGATGATGCGAAGGTCAAAGGAAAAAAATAACAATATTGATACAAATGTCACACAATGCTTCAAAAACAATCAACAATTAAAAACCAATTGGAATGACTATCATGTAAAATAACAAGAAGATATAATAGAGGCTTTAAACCTTGGGTAACCCAGTACTTCCACTTGTATACATAATGACCGCAACATCTGCAGGAAGAGGTAGATCAGGTTCAACAGGGCTCTCTCGCCCAAGTCTCTCAACAACATCGAATGAAGTGATTCTCCATCTACTTTCAACAGATGAGGCACTAGATGGGATCTCATCATCCATACATATGATGCGCTTCACTGTGTCTAGTTGTCCACTTATATCTAGCAGTTTCTTCAGTTCTTTGTGCCCACATATCACAGTTGTAACTTCTGTCTGGAAATATAAAATGAAAACAATGCTGGTTATGCACTAAGAACAAACACTGCAAGGACAAATGATAAACATTAATCCTAATCTAGTACTAACATATCAATATCACAAGGAATTTTTTTTTTTTCCTTTTTTTTTCTTTTATTTGAAGAGAAAGAAACCTAACATCTCAAATGCATCTCCCTTCACCCTCCGTTTGGATGGAGGAAAATAACTCAGGATATAGATAAAAGTCGGGAATTGAAGAGGAGAAATTGATATTTCCATTGTTTGGCAACTTAAGCATGGAACTTATTAAATGACACACAGAAAAAATTGTGGAAATTGGGGCATCATTTCGCAATTTCTATTGAACATGAACTCATTTTTCACTGTAATTTCTGTCATTTACAAAATTCGACATACATAAATCCAAACACATAAATTATTAATTGCCAGAAATTTAAACGATGGAGATCTAAATTCCGTCATTTAAGAATTCTATGCAATTTTCAATTCCTTCGTCCAAATGGACTAGGTTGCAACATTTTGGATGAGTTACACAAAAGTCACAACATATAAAATTGGAAACAAATTTCTTGAGTTTACTACCTTGTTTAAAGTTTTTTTTTAAAGACAAATGAACATAGATGAACTCTAATCAATAAAAAAAATGTACAGAAAGAAACCTATTCTGCAATAGTAGCATACTGTGCGAAACAACAGGAATATGAGCAAGTCTATGAGAGAGAGAGAGAGAGAGAGAGAAAGAGAGAGAGAGAGAACCTCATTTAATGAGTGACATAGAGCCTCCTCCCCAAGAGACGCATATATGGTAACAACAGTGACATTGCGCCTAAAACAACCCTGATATAAGAAAACATATTAAGGAATCAGCAATTTGTGTCTTTGTTATACTGGGACTAGACTACCCAAAACACATAGCATTCATGCAAACATGAAACTCAATTGATTTATCATTGCTCACAAACACTGCCGTTTAAAACTCTAGTTTAGTGACAGAATAGATGAATAAAAATCACATCATACATGCAACAACATGAAGATCGCAAGAAGAATGTTAGCTGGAAAAATTATCATGAAATGTCAAAAGAAGGATTAAATTTTTATGTGCAAAGACCACATAAGATACGCACCTGCAATGCAATAAACCACTCTTCTCTTGTGTCAGCAAAGATCGCTACTCGTTCTTCCTTTTTATGCCCAAGTTGGGCTAAACCAGAAGCAAAGTTGCACACAACTTCAAATGCTTTCCCGTAGGTTAGCCATTCATAGTCTCCCAAATGAAGCTTCTCAAAGGATCTTCCATCCTTTGATATTTCAACCTCCCTTGCAATCAATGCCCGGGTTCCAAGAAAGCGTCTATCTTGGAACCGCTTGGATGACTGCTCAAAAAGTTCAGCAAGAGTTGAAATACCTTCCCATAATGTTTCCACTGGGGAAGTAAACCGACGGTTTCGGATTGTAAACCCAGGTTCCCCACCACCATTAACAGGCAAACCTCGTTTTGTTGCTTTCTTAGATTTCTGAAGTATAAGAGTTAGTACAAGAGGAACAAGGGCACCAACAAGGTAGAGACCCATCTTTCAAAGGCTGTATATTCCCAGAAGAATGTACTAAATTCAATCCTGAAAATGGAACAATATCCAATCAATTGTAAATTTCAGAATCTGAAGTCATGTCTCTCACTCATACAAAATAATAATTAACTAAGTACTGTCTATAAAAATATATAGTGGTAGCTAGCACTTCCTCCCCCTGAAGAATAAGTGTGGAGGATAATTTTTTACTGTTTTAGACATTTGTCACCAAATTACAATAGAAACTAGAAATCAGAAAGAAATGGTAATACAAAAGAATTCTTCAATATCTGAAAACAGAGCAAACTTCTTGTCAAAATGCCTAAGGAGGGGCCTAGGAGCTAGCTAGCATAAGGGTTTTGCAGCTACCCAATCAACCAGCTGACGCATGTTATTTTATTGTTGATTAATTCAATTACTTGAGACTTTAAAATTGAGCTCCCAGTTATTTTTCATTCTTCACTTTCATAAATCTCTCTTTTATCTATGTTCAAACAATCATGAAAACAGAGCAGTACAACAAAAATGGCATTCAAAATTTTTTTAAAAAAATGCACATTGTAATTCAAAATCAAACGAATTTCAGAAAATAGATTGATGCTGATTGTGTGTTTGGGTACCTTGTTGTTGAAGCCAAAGCACCGAAGCCGAAAACGAAAACGAATTCAACTTAAGCTCATCAGCATTGCGAGAATGCAAGCAAGGAATCAGAAGCAAAAGGCTCGCAAAATGTCATGGGGAGTGATGAGATTAAACGAAGCGTTTAATAGCAGAGAGAGAGAGAGAGAGAGAGAGAGAGCGTGAGCAAAAAGCCGAGCGGAGAGATCGAGAAGAAGGAACTTGGAGTCTCAGACTGACAGAAAGACAGAGTCTGAAGTGGTTTGAGTTTTGGAGTTTATTTATTTATTTATTTTAATAATAAAATTAAAGGCGCGGAATCGGGCTCATATGGGCCGTACGATGTGGGTATTGAACAACGGTGGATATGGTGCTTGCGGCCCAAATGGGTTTAGACTCTTTTTGTCTTCAATTTTACTATCAAATAAAACAAAGAAGTTGTTACATTTGATTTGAGTGAATGATTTTTGTGGCTTATATTTACATAATTGGTCTAACCGCGTGGCACGACGTGAAAGATGAGGATAAGGACCAGGATGGTGATACTAGGCCACAAATTAGTAGGTGAACCAATCTTGTCATTAATTAATTTAGAAAAGGATGTTAAGGTTTCGTAGCCGTTCTTTTAAGTGATTTTTAGGGCTCGTTTGGGACTGTTTCTCTAGAAAGCACTTCTACTTATAAGTGCTTCTACCAAAAGCGCTTTTATTATAAAGAAGTTGAAATTTTCATAAAATATCAAAGTGCTTCTTAGAAAAGCACTTGCGAGTGCTTCCTGAAGAAGCACATGGCAGGTGATTCTCCAGAAAACGCTTCTAAACTTTTTTGCTAAATGTTGTTAGAAGCACTTTTAGTTGTCAGAAAGCGCTTTTAACTGTTTCAGAATCACTCCCAAACAAACCCTTAATTCATGTGTACGTAAGTGATTCATAATTAATTATTGACCATTGATGCATGTAGCATAACGCATTAATGTACATAATGCATCAACATTTATTGTCTTGCACTGTGTAGCACTTTTAGGAAAACACAACACTCCGACTTACATATCTAAATTTTGTAGTACTTCCAATGTACCAAAATAGTCATTGTCGGCAAATGGATGGGGATTCTATTAAGCATGTGAATTTGACAAACTACCCTTTTAGTCATCATTTGTTAAGGTTGTGATGCCGTCTAAACATTCTGAGGATGGAGAAAGTTGAAAGAAATTTTCTATAAAATAAACAAAAACCATAGCAATGATACAAAAAGGTGTCGAGACTATTTATACAGTTCCAACATGTTCCAATTGTTTAGTTCGGCCTTGGTCTTTCATTTGTAGTATCTTGTGAATTTCCCTGAGATGCTGTTGTTCCGGAAAACATTTCCATCACTGATCTCAAAGCTCCGCTTAGTTCCTCGGGCATTTGTTCTCCGAAATTGAAATTGATGTTACCCCCAATCCTTATTCCTGGTTCATCAAATCCCTCGGTACTGCTATCATCTCCTTGGTTATCTGGAGAATGTTGTCCTTGGTACGCATTTGCAGCCATGTTCATAAACATATTTGCAAATTCAGCAGGAAGAGCACCTGTGTTAAACGGCATAGAACCAAACGGAGGAGGTGCAGCATGGCTTCTCGACCCTCCTGTAGACTGGTTGGGGTGTTCTGAAGCACTGCTACTACTAAACGAACTTGTGTTCTGTATAAGATGAGGGAAAAAGAAAAATATTACATAAAAATGACAAATTATACTTGTCAATAAATCATATCCTTCTCCCTCAAGAAAAGTATCATGCTACTTAAGGTCGCCTTCTATTTCTTAAAAGTTAAAACAGTAGAGATGAAAGGGAAAGTAGAGAAAGAAATTAGTCAAACAGCGAAAAGCATGCTAACTGGTGTCACCCCCAGCAGAGTATTGTGGACCTGTCTTCTAGTAGACGGGCACTTTTTCCTTAATATCAATGTATTACCTGACCAGATTCTGCTCGTTGTTGTTCCTCTCTCAATTTCTGAACAGCCACCTATTGGGTTCAAATAACAAAGTGATCAAAGAAGTAGTCATAAGAAATAAAGAAAAGAAGAAAGCACACAAGAACCAACCCGTATATTTTCTTTGACAGCTTCATTGCCCGGATCCAATAGCAATGCTGAAAGATTAAAACCCCCAATTATGAAATGTTAAATACTACCTTTATATAAATCTGCTTCCCCATTTTTTGTATCCTATATTAGCTTGGCATTGGCATAGGTACTTTAAAAAGATTCTCTTACTAACCTTTCTTGAATCCTTTCTCAATAGCATCACTGTAGTTCCCTTGTGCATAATAAGCTAATCCCAGACGACTGTATGCCTTGCTATAATTGGGGTCGATTTCAATGGATTTAAGGCAATCTCTGATTGCTTCAGTATATTTGTGCATCTGAGTGTAAGCCGCTGCCCTGAATGTACCTCATATATATCAATTAAAATTTCCAGTTTCAAGAAACAATAAAGGTGGCAATTTGCTGCAACTAGACAAAATGAATCAAAATTTTACCAGAGTGCTTACTAAAATAATACTAACTTGACATCAAACATTTGAAGAATAGTTTATCCATATTGTCTTTGAGAAAACAATAATTGTTTTCCTTCTTTGACAATTCTCATTACTTTTTATCTTCTTTTGGACAATTGAAATATGTGAAGGAAATATGTCACATTATTTTCTCACTGTTCACTATGAAAACTACCATTTCCTAGAATCAAGTAATCTGAAAATGTTGAGAATTTTCTGATGTAGCAATTTGTTGTTTTAACATAAAGATTAATTCACAACAGATATCTTTATGTGCCATTCCTTCTGGGAAAACTGAGAAAAGGTAGAAGACTATAACTGTAATTGAAAAATTCCTAGTACCAAAAATGTAAGCACAAGTTGGTAGTGCACCTGTTACAGTAGTAAACAGCATTACTTTCACAAAGTGCAATGGCACAGTCATACAACTCAATTGCCTTGGGGTACAGCGTTGATTGCATGGCCTTATTACCTAACAAAATGAAAATCACATAACAGAATTAGCCTCTGCACAGAATGTTGATACTCCGTGTAGAGTGACATATTTAATGAAGCATAAGGTAAGATGCAGATATTTACCAATGCCGTTGATGCATTTTTTCATTTCCACGGATATGGAAAAAAGATATTGTCATGTATAACAGGACAGTGAGTGAGTGAACTCACAGAGAGATAGAAATGAATTGGCTTTCTGATAAGAAACAAGAATTTCGTGGAAAAGAAAAAATAAATACAAAACAAGATGGACACGGAGTCCATCAGGAGCAAAAACCTAGATAACCAAAATGAATGAGCTTTAAACTGCATTTCCTCAATTTGACAATGTAAAGTTAGTTCAAAAGTGACATACTAACAACACAACCAAAGCCATATGAGCTTTAAATACCTTGTGATTTCAAGGTCTCTGCCAGATTTTTAGGACTGAATTCCCAGCATCCAGATCTTTCCATCTCCTGAAGCAGCAAATGATTTTCTTCTTATTAATAAGACTTTTAAAGGTGAAACAGCAGCAAGAACATTCCATTTAAGCACAATCTTGGGGTTAAACTCCTGGGGAGTACAATATCAATCACAATGAAGATCAAGCAACAAAAGTTCCAAAATGGAAGCAATAATTCAAATGTAAATATAACAAGGGTCATGAACTAAAACCAGAAAGGAAAATGGATAATGTCTAACACAATAGTTTGTGTAGCTGGAAGTTTAAAACCATTTGGATTGATGTTAAACTTCGAGTGAATCAGTTGTCCAATCCCTTCACATCACTCCCAATCCTCAACTTTTAGCTTTCCCCAAGAATCGCAAATCCTGGATGCTATACATCAAGAGTGTGCACCACACACATTGCCTCATGTATAAATGGTGGTTACATTATCAAATCTCACAACAAACTACAGAATCATTGGGAATTACAATACCCTGATCTGATGTATGGGGCCACACCGATACATTTATTACAATTAAGTGTATAGTTGGTTTCCCTTACCCAGTTTCATAATTCACTTCTGATATACAGTTTAATCTGCTATTATAATGGGACCTTAGGCCTTCTATTAAAATCCTCTCAATCACAAAAGAGAACATTAACTCTAATCCGATATGTTTCAAATATCTGAATTCAGCAATTTAGCATGTACCTAAGCTGCAAAGCATGACACTCTTTAAAGATGCTAGATGAGGCTAGAGGATAATTCATCAGCAAACCAAATTTAAGCAACATTAATAAAATTATGAGGATGAGGAGGATAAATTTCTAGGATTTATTTTGATGGACATCTTATTCATCCTTCATGTAGATTTTCTTTCTTTTTAACAGAAGTAGTTTTCTATGGTGGAAAAAAATCATGCAACTATAAAGATACATTTTTTATGGAATTCACATGTAACCCAAAGAAAAAAGGGAGGGGAGAGAGAGAGAGAGAGAGAGAGAGAGAGCATACAGCTAAAGCATCATGGAATAAATTAGTCGCTTTGTCTAATCTGACTGGGTCATCATTACCATCAGGCAAGGTCTTAAAATAGAGACTTCTCTCAAGGGCAGAAAAGAATTGCCCAAAGAGTGCATCTTTGGACTCCCCTGCCAATAACACGATCATCAAATGCAAATTTAACATGTACTTATACTCAATTATTAAAATGCAGAAAGAACTCTAAACTGCAAAAACTTTCATTTCATGCTGTCAATGGTATTCCATTTATAATATGAGATTCATGTGCACATTAAATGAATAGATCAACAAAGTTCAAATCTAATTAGACTATTTTTTGTTTCTTTTGAGAAAGATCCTTCTAAAACAACTTAATAATAATCATGTTTGGCATCATCCTCTTGCCAGGACATTTTAATTTATAAAATAACAATGTCAACAGCAATTAGAGCATAACTACAATCCAATTCATTGAGGCTAGGTGTTTTTGGTCTCGCAAGGCGAGGCATAAGCCCTGTAGTGTTGAGGCATAAACCTTTCGGGACATAAATTTTTTTAATCAAAATATATAAAGTTAAAACAAAAATAAAAACAAAGAATGAAAGTATTGGGTCATTTATCAATAAAGAGCACAAAACAGCACCTTCGGTATAGCTACTAAGGATTTGATATAGGATTGAGGCTAGGAGAACCATATACACACAAAAAACATGGGAAAAGATAGAAGAGAGCTACTTACGAGCTGTGCTGGCCTTCTTCAGAGTAGAAAAGAGAAATAGAGAGTGAGGTATGCAGATGGAGCGAACTAGAAATGGAGGCTAGTTCACATCTTTTGGGAGAAGAATTAAGGTTTAGAAAACTCAATTAGGGGCTGGGTTGTATTGAGTTTGGAGAGGAGGAGAAGAAGCTGGGTTCATTAATTAGACAACCAAGTTGTTTAAAAAATTAACCACCCCTTAAAAAAAAAAAAAAAAAAAAAAAAAAAAAAAATTCATTGCAAGGATGCCAATGCATGACAAAACGACATTGTTTTGTCTAAAACTATCCAAAAAATTAAGGAACAACAAATTGTCTTCTTCTTCACTAACCCCTCAGCCTCCATTCATGCTGCCTCTGCAACTGAGCATGTGCCTAACACCAACTAATAATCAAACGCATACACCTTCCATGAAAAGAGCTAAACAACCCTATCCCTCAAGCAATTCACAAACACCTTGCCCATATGCATGCCTTGAGGCACAGCTCCAAAACTGTTTTGAAAAACACTGGTTCAATCCCTAAAGATGATTTAAATAATTGTTGATGCAACAGATAATGTTCCCTTTAAGGAAATGCACCCAATGACAAGATTCATGTACAAAGTGGAAGCAAACTAGCCACACTCAATAAATGCTCCAACAAGGCAATGACACATGTAAAGGAAAGTATGAACTACAATTAGAGAAAAAAACAACGATACTGAAAACGTAATACCTAATGCATGGTCTTTACTTGTCAAATCTTCACCCTGATTAAAGTGTAACACAAGACAGAGTCAAACTCAAGACTAAAAATCAAATCTTGTAGTAAAAGCATTATTAAGAAATATCCATGTTCATGCAACTATAAAAGCATAGTTCAATTAATGATCTTAAAGAGAACAAAAATAAACAAAACCATCAAGAAGAATATAAAAGGACATGTTCTCAAATCAGGAAAGAACAGTGGTTTTGTGAATTAATCTGATTTCTAATCTTTTATTAAAAAACCAAACCTAACACAATCATATAAGTCCATTCAAGAATTAACACCACAATGAAACAACCAAATAATACAAAGTTAGCACAAAAGAAATCTCATATTCGCTTCTCCTCATCTGGTCACATATTCCTCTTCTTTTCCTACTGCTATAAGATAGCTTCCAACTTAATTATAACCAACATAATACACCCAAGATCCGACCGTTAGCTACATTGCAAATTATAATATTAATCACTATATCAGTCCTGATATTTAGAGCATATTCCATTTATGTCTCTAAATATTCACTTTCCTGCGCTTTTATAACCTTCAACTCGCATAGTCAAAAGATAAAAAAAAACCCCAACTAGATCCTTTTCCTTCCTTTTCTTCCATTTTCCTGATCACATACTAGTGGTTTAACACTAAGCATCCCTTTACGTCCTCATTTCCTTCCCTTGAAACAAAGGACAAGGCCTACTAGCCCACAGCTCCCATTAATTTATTATACCCAAATCCCAATATCCGCCTGTTAGCAAGCTGACATTTTCATTGTCCATATTAACTTACAGATAAATTCAAAATTAATATATTCAATGCATTACACCCACATGATGATTTACATAATAATTATTTTAAATAATGAAGAAGATAACAGCCAAACACCAGAGATTTTGATGCCTTTGAAAGATTGGCATCGGCAGAACCCTGAGCGGCTGATGAACTAGGAGCATCAACTGAGCTCGATCCATGACCATGATCAGAATTATTCTCCTGAAGCTTGTTCAACTCCAGTGAACTAAAAATATCAACCAACGAAACGGGTTTAATCCAATCATCAGTAGCAGGTATATTAAGCTTAAAAGTCTCCTGCAAGCATTCCTTTGCAACCTCAAGGCTTTCAAGATCAACACCAGAAGCTGGTTCAACTGTCCCAAAGGAAACAACCCATAATTGTAATTAAAAAAGCATAATCAACAAGCACATTAAACTGATCCATAAAAAACAAACAAACAAGCAAATTAATGGTATTGAATCAAAAAGAGATACTGAAGAGAGAGGCAGAGAGCTGAACATGCAGCCTAAAAGAATGTAAAGTCTACAGCTTTAAGTATAAAAGTGCATCAATACATGAGGCATTCAAAATCCAAAATAATCAAACAATCAATACAATTTTCATATCACCACAAAAAGAAAACAAAAAACTATGAAGCAGCTTCAAACCCTAAATATAATTTCACTATATAATCACATTTAACAATCACATAGAGAGAGAGAGAGAGAGAGAGAGACCTGAGTTGAGGAAATCCAAGAAGGAACGTACGATGCGACGAGAGATGGGAGAATCGCTCTTCAATGGAGCCATGGACAGTGGACTAACGAAGAGAGGTAAGAGGAGGAGTGCGCATGATAAAAACGTGCGCTACCACGGCGTCTGTTAGTCTGGAAGCGACCTAACTTGTCTGAGTCTTGCGAGAACTCTCACGACTGACTGACACTTTGGGGCTTTGTTGGCTACAGGATCTTTGCTGTTCCTTGCTGGTGTTTCGTTTAGGTTCTACATAATTACTGTGATTAGCTTTAACAATACAAAATAAATTTTTTTTAATCTCAATTGTTCGTTTCGTCCGATGTAAGAAACTAATCCTCCATTTCGAGCGACAATGACGTCACATAAATAAAAGATTAAAATGCTCAACTTTCAAATTTTCACAGAATAAAATAAAAAAATTATTTATGATCTAAACAGTGTGTTTGGATGTTAAAATTTAGAAATATTAAGAAATTCACAAACGAGTATAGCTATTTCTTAAAAAAATTCAAACGTGTTTGGTGAAATTTCTATCACCAAAGCAGTCCGACTATATATTTTTTTTGAAAGGATGCACCGAGAGCCTGTGCTACCTACATATTAAAATAGTACAGCCGAGCGGCTATACTATTGTTTAAAAAAAAGGAAAAGCGTATAGCCGAACGGCTATAATATTTCTTTAAAAAATTCAAAAAACTCTAGTATAGCCGGGCGGCTATACTATTCATAGACCCGCTCTATGCGCCACATGTCAAAACTGTAAAGCCGTGCGGCTGTACCATGTTTAACTAAATTTAGGAGAAACAAGTATAGCCGCACGGCTATACGATTTTTTGAAAAACAATTAGGAAAAACAAGGACGTTCCCAGCGCCTATGTGTCACGTGTTAAAACAATAAAGACGAGCGGCTATATGTTTTTTTAAAATTAGAAAAATGCATATAGCCGCACAGCTATTGCTTAAAAATTTGAAAAAATCTAGGGTAAACTACAATAAACCTCCCAACTTATAGGGTCATTTACAAGTTCATACCCGATTTTGGGGACGTTTATGAGTACATACTTAACGTCGCGGAAAACCTACAATTTGCCCCCTCCGTTAGCGAGATCGTCAGAAAATCCGTTATCTACCTATGTGACATTTGTGGGACTCATTTTTAATTGACTTGGGATTCCACGTGAACAAAAAATAATAAAAAATTTACTTTTTATATTATTTTAAAAAATTAAACATATTAAAATTAAAAATTAAAAATTAAAAAAAAAATAAACCTTACCTAGATTCTCTCTCTCTCTCTCTCTCCCGATTTCTCCCCTCTTCCTCCCGATTTCTTCTTCCCATCCCAAATTTCTTCAACTCCAGATTTCTTCTTCCCATCCCAAATTTCTTCAACCCCAGATTTCTTCCCTCCACCCAGATTTCTTCAACCCTATATAACTCAGACATATAGTGATGATTGGAAATGCGCTCTTTTTTGGTTTTTTTCTTAATCCAGAAATTCAAGTTAGATTGGAAGTTCTCTCCTTTGTATTTTGTAACTATAAACAATGGTACGTCATCTAGAACTTCTAAATCGGGTTGGGTCATTAATCATAACCAATGCAACGATTATGGATTTGCCGAAAAACCTAACTTTGAAATCTGAATTCTCACTTTTTCTTTCCCACAAAAGGTGTCAGAAACAAGAAAATTTAGACCATGATCGTTCTTTAATTTTGAATTGGTAAGCAAACAACTGCTGATCTTACAATTACTGAACCATATTACCAGCAACAATCTGATCCGTAACCTTACCAGCAAATTAGAAATGGTTGTCCTTCTTCTCTTGTTTCACTTAGCCCCCTGTGCGACCTCATTAAACTTCAGTTTCCCCACCTTCACAACTGACATCACCACCTTATCGGCTCCCTCTTCGACTCGCTCGCTGATTTAGTCCACCTCGATCTCGGCATGAACCGTCTCAGTGGACCCCTCCCTCAAACTATGTTCCGTACCACACTCCAGTCGTTGTTGTTGCAACAGAACAATCTCTCCGGGTGGGTCTTGCCCATGGGGTCCCAGCCCCCATCCTACGGTGAGGGCTCGATTGCGGATTTGAGCCACAACTCCATAACGGGTGAGCTGTCGCCGATCCTGGCTGGTGTGGAGAGCTTGTTTTTGAATAACAATCGTCTGATTGGGAGGGAAATGCTGTCATCGACGACGTTGGTGAATTCCTTCAACTTGCTGCTCAACTCCAAAGCTTCAGTCGAGTTATTTACAACCAACCCTTCCTCCTCCGTGACAACGTCACTAGAAAACTCAGGGGGAAGAAATCTGGGGGGGGGGTAGGGAGGTCGGAGGAGAGCAGAGATTTTTTGTTTTTTTTTAATTTTCCTTTTGATTTTTAAAATGTAATGATTTTAATTTTTTTTAAACATAGTTTTTAAAAAGTATATAATTTTTTATTAGTTTTTGGTCCACATGGAAGTCCACCTTATTAAAAAAATGAAACCCACATTCGCCACGTCAACATTTAACAAATTCAATAACGGTTTGACTAACGGAGAGGGCAAATTATAGGTTTTCCGCAACGATGAGTATTTACTCGTAAATGTCCCTAAAATCGGATATGAACTTGTAAATAACCATATATAGGTTGGGAGATTTATTGTAGTTTACCCAAAAATCTATTATAGCCGTACAACTATACTATATATATCTAGACCCGCTCAGCCACGTGTCGAAACGGTACAGTCGTGCGGCAATACTATTTTTAAAAACAATTATGAGATTGTTTCCTAATTATTTTTTTAAAACGGCTATACTCGTTTTCTATCACCGAAGCATTTTGTTCTCCTCTTTCTCTTCATCAACACTCTCTACTGAACTCTTTTTTTTTATCAGACCAAAAAAAACTTCTTGATATTTCTCTCATTTTGTTCTCCTCAGCAGCACCTCCTGTAGCATGAACAATTTTCTCTTAATCAATCTCTGATTCTCATTCTCCCTTTTGTTGTTAGAGTTACTGCTGATAAGTTGTTAATTAAGTTATGTTAATCCATTATTATTTCTCATAACACATTTCCATCACAACAACTACCATTACCTGACAGAGAGAGAAAACATAGAGAATGAATGAATGTCTATTCTGAATGAAGCGAGAGAACCAAAGCATCAAGATTTTATTTTATTTTCTTTCTTTTTTTGAATTAAAACTCTAATCTCAATTGATCAGAGAAAGATTGTCAAGAACAATTCGATATTTAACAGAACAACTAAGAATAAGGACTTGTCTACAACACAAACTACAAACCTGACCAGTGAACTTAGAAAAGAAAGGTCCCATTCCCCTTCTTTTCTCCGCCACCTCTTGATTGGGTGCTGGGCAGTAAGGCTATCATTTCCTTTCTTGTATTGGTGACCTTGTGTAAGGTGTGGTGCAGTGCTTGGGAGCGTTCACCATGGCAGCTGCCTCGTCTAGAGATGATTAGCAGAGAATGGTTAGGGAAGAGAGAGTGGAGAGAGAAAAATATTTTAATTTATTTTTTATGTCAAAAATTCATGTCATATTTAATCTCATCCATTAAAAGTGAAGTATTCTAATGGCTCAAAAATTATGTCAAAAGTTGTGTATAAAATATGATGTCACAAATCCGCCTAGGGGTGGCATTTTAGACCGAAAAACCGCAAAAACCAACCGATAATTTACCGCAATGAAACCGCGATCGCGGTAAACCGAACCGCATTTGCGGTTGCAGTTGTGGTATTTGATTTTCAAAAATTGTGGTTACCGCAAACCGCAAAGTATAGCCGCACGGCTATACTCTATAATTAAGTATGTAGCCTTATGTCTGTAGTCACATGTCTGCAGCCGTTAGATGCAAACCCTAAACCCTTCTCTCCTTACGTGATCTCACTCTCTCCTCTCAACTCTCTGATTCTCTTTCGTCTCTCTCTCTCTCAACTCTCAAAATCAGCTTCTCTCTCACAGACCGAATCGAAGTCATCTCCTCCTCTCTCTCTCGATCCTCTCTCTCTCTCTCGATCTCAATTCTATCTCTTCTCTACTCGAATTGAACTCACCGAATCGAACTCATCTCCTCCTCTCTCTCTATCTCAATTATGTCCCTTCTCTACTCGAATCGAACTCATCTCCTTCTCTCTCTCTCGACTCAACCTCCACCACGCTCTCTCAACTTAAGCTCTCTCTCTTTGTCTCTCTCTGTGTCTCAAGCTCAACTCAAACCCGTCAGCCACCATTGTCAACAGCCGCTCCCAACCTTTGATTTGGAGGTAAATTATGGTGTTTCTGATTTTCTGGAATTGATTGTTTCAAAGATAGGGTTTCGAAATTTAGGTTTTAATTGGGAATTTCTAATGTCAAATTTGATTTTTGCAGGGATTGTTGCTGAAGTGAATTAATTGTTTGGAGATTTTTGTTTTGAGCTTGGAGCATTTGGTTTTGTAGAGGTAAGTTCTGTATTTTTGCATTTGGTTTCAGCTTGGAGCATTTGGTTTTGAATTAAGTTCTGTTTTTTTGTATGTTAATGTTTTGAGCTTGATTTGGAATCTGTTAATGTTAATTCTGGAATCTATTAATGTTTTGAGCTTGGTTTTAAATCTGTTAATGTTAATTCTGGAATCTGTTAATGCTGTTTTGAATCTGTTAATGTTAATTCTGGAATCTGTTAATGTTGTTTTGAATCTGTTTTTTTTTATATATAAAAAGCTTCATTTCGTGTTGTGTTTTAATTTCTTGTTATTAATATTCTTTTATGTTGTTGCTTTTGTGTTATGTTGTGTTATAGATGGAGTCTAGCCACTCTAACACACATAATGCCTCTAATCCCCAAACACAAACCGATACACCCAAAACACAATTTCCAACTCAAACACAAAATCACACAAGTGAGGGGTTTATGGTGGGGGATAGGAGTAAAGTGTTTGAATGAATTCTATAATTAGTATAAAGAGGTTGGAGGGGGTGTGAGCCAAATTGATGAGGATGAGATTGATGATGAGGTTGCACAAATTGGTGATGATGTTGATGTCACATTTCAACTAATGCAACAACTTGTGCAAAAGAGGAAGGATGAACAATCCGTTGAGATTTCCAATGAAATGGATAAGTACTTGACAGATCCTTTTGAGAGCCCCTTGAGCAAACAATTCAATCTCTTGAATTTGTGGAAAGGGAACCAAACAAGATATCATATTCTTTCACAAGTTGCCAAGGATATCTTTGCAATTTCAAGTTCTACGGTTGCTAGTGAAAATGTTTTTAGCCTAGGCAAGAGGATTGTGGATCCTTTTAGAAGCTCTTTGCATCCTAAAATGGTAGAGGCATTAGTGTGTACTAGTGATTGGCTTAGAGCGGACGAATTTTCCTTTTACAAGGAACCAACGGATGATGAGGTTGAATTCTATAAGGAAATGGAACATATGACAACTTGTAAGTAATTAGTTTATTTATGCTTCTTCTTATAATAAAATGTACTAAACTATGTTGTTTTATTTGTAGATAGCATTGGTACTCAAACAACACAACGGGGGTTCTTCAAATCCACTCACCACCAACACTTGAGTTTGTAAGTTTGTAACTTTAATTAACTTTAAATTGAATTTTTCTTTTTGGTTGTAACTTTAATTCATTTTGCTTTGCATTTTGCTTTTGATTTGTAACTTTAAAGGATTTGGAACTGGAATGCTTGAGAAGTTTTACTTTAATTGAAATGCTTGGAATTGTAACTTTAATTTTCTTTAGGTTGTGAATTTATAATATGCTTAAGGAGATGGTGAATTTATAATATGCTTGAGAAGTTGAGGTTGTGTATTTATTTATTTAGGTTGTGAATTTATATTTTTGTGAATGCTTGAGAACTTGCGGTTTTAAACTGCTAATTCGTAATAACCGACCGCTTCGGTTCGCAATTTGGAAAATCACCAAACCACAAATAGTCGGTCGGTTTGCGGTTTGGGCAAAAATTCGCGGTTACCGAACTACAACCACCCCTAGATCCGCCCCAATGAGAGATTATATTAACAGGGAGTTTCAGTTTATTTTAGGGACATCCTTATTGGACAACCATGCATTGCATTTCAATTATCCGTACCGTCTAGTTTTTAGATATTATATCAAAGATCATTTATGCAAAAAAAATCACTTGAATCGGAAACCATTTGACTACTTAATTAGATGGTCATTATTATAGTCTTTTCTTGAAGCACTGTATTCGTCTTATTTTGGTGGTCTCAATTTAATACCTTAATGATTTTCAATTTGCATGAGTTTTTGCAAGAATGATCTATGAATGAAGATTTGAAAAATAGACAGTTTAGATCGTTAAAAAATTCGTAAGATACCCTAAAAGGTGTCCCTCAAATAAAATTTGAGTGATCCCTTAATAGAAGGGGACTGATTAATTATATTAATATGTTGTTTAAGTCTTTTTCCCTCGTCAACTGATAAAAAAAATATTGTATTTTTTTTTCCACAGACTAAAAAAAAGAACTGTTTTAAGTCTTTTTCCGGGAAATTGTAGACAATTAAACGAATCGTATAGAAAAGTACTACTGAAATTGAAAATTTGTGAATGTGATTGCGATTGCAGACTCTTTAGTTTTTAGTCTTGGTCTTAGTTTTTACTTTTCAGTAAAATAAAACCAAAATTGTTAAGAAACAGACAACTACGGCTACACCAACTTTTTGTTTCTTCTCTGTTTTCTACATCAACCATTGCCAGGAAATTAATTGGATCCAGAACACTATTTAGCTGACGTATGTGCTTGCTATATAGCATGGCGTGGTAACCATAGCTAAAAAGATAGTTAACAACGTAATTAAGTTAAGAGATCTAATAACGAAAGGGTAAACATCATTACGATTAATTTTGTATTGAGTTTGAATTGATTATCATCTGAGTGTATGGATGAAACTTAGCATTCATTCTCAAGTGATTGAGTTCAAATCGTATTATCATTTCATCGCGTTTAGCTCGCTAATACTCTGCCCTTAGAGAAGTAATTATATAGATTATTATCGAAAACTCCTTCATTACCTTTTTCCTTTTATTAGGTGAACAACATGTTAATGTGGTATAACAAAATGACAATAACATCACACGGTTTACCTAAATTGGGATGATTTTCTGTGTTTTTGGTGTCTGATTTTAAGAGAGTTTATATTTTGTCTTTATGGATTAAAAAAAAAAGAAAAAAAAAGTAGTATAAAAGATGAGTCAGCATGCATGAAAAAATTTGTACCACCATGTCATCCATGCATTTAATCAAAATACTATACTAGTACGAGTCTCACGATTAATTAGACCCTAATGACACAAACCCAACGACATGCCATAATTAAAAATCACAATAAAATATATGGTATAGAAAGGAAATACATTCAAGTATAGGGCTATATTGCAAGCATATGAAGCCCCCATCCCCCCTATGCGACTATATATATATACACACATGCCATGGCACCAATGCTTAACGATCCAAAGCCATAAACCATCAACATATACCATGGGAGAAGTCAACCCGTCATGCATCCTTTCAGAGGAACACAGGCCCAAACATGTCATCACTGAAGGTGAAGGAATCCCATTGATCGATCTCTCTCCAATAACCAACAGGGAAGGGTTATCAGCTGATCCAAATAAGGCAGTGGAAGACCTTGCTGCTAAGATAGGTGAGGCTTGCAGGACTTGGGGGTTCTTCACTGTGATCAACCATGGCGTGCCTTCAGGCATCCGGAGAAGAATCATGGAGGCGGCACGGGAATTTTTTGCATTGCCGGAGGAGGAGAAGAAGAAAGTGAGCAGAGAGGACCACAACACGGCAGGGTTTCATAACGATGAACATAGCAAAGACTTTAAGGATTGGAAAGAGGTTTATGATTTTTATGTTAATGATGGGATGCTAATGCCGGCTTCCCATGAACTTGATGACCCTGAAATTGTTCCATGGTTCACTCCATGGCCCGAGAACCTACCCGAGTTCAGGTAAAAGTACACTAACGATGATGAATAATTCATATTGACAGTCTGACATGTAATTGTGACAATAAAATATCACAGTTCATGATACGTATATAATTCTTGTATAAAAACTAATTCAGATTTTGTGGTTTGTTGAGATCAGGGAGACATGCGCAGAATACGGTCGAGCATGTGAGAAGCTATTCTTCATTTTGTTGGAACTTGTCAGCCTCAGCTTAGGCTTACCCCCGAAGAGGCTGCATGGGTACTTTGAGAATCAAGCAAGCTTTGCCCGACTCAATTACTACCCTCCATGTCCCAAACCGGAGCTTGTTCTTGGCACCGGTGGACACAAAGACCCTAGTGCTCTAACGGTCCTCGCTCAAGAAGATGTCGAAGGCCTCGATGTGCTTCGAAAATCAGACGGAGCATGGGTTCGTGTCAAGCCTGTCCCGGATTCCTTTGTCATCAATGTTGGCGATGTTCTTCAGGTATTATACAAACAATTACGACTTTGTGTGGATACGACTATCTTTTAACTTAGTGGAGCCTGTTTGGATTTTTTTGGCAGGTATGGAGCAATGACCTTTACGAAAGTGTCGAGCATCGGGCCGAGGTGAATGCAGAAACAGAAAGATATTCCATCCCTATATTTTTTCACCCTTCTCATGATGTAACCATGAAGCCGTTGGATGAGTTGGTTGATGAACAAAGCCCGGCCAAGTACCCCGAATACAAGGCAGGGAAGTGGCTGAATTTGAGGATGTATAATAACTACAAGAAACATGGCTTCTATATGCGGATGACTGACTACAAGGTTGCTGCTTAGTTAGCCCCATGGATATATGCTCCAAGTGGCTAAATCTGGGTGTTTCATGCATGCCATCATCGAATAATCAACGCCTATATATAATATGTCAAAATAAAAAGGGCTTCGGCTTTGTATGATTTTCAAGTTATTTGTCTTACAAAATTAAAATAAAATGAACTGAGCTTCAAAACTATTGAGCTCACCAAATTGGACCCTGAAACAATGAGGACACTTATGAGGGGGCATAAACATTGTCTAAATTATACATGCGGAAGTATCGTCCTAATCTGATTAGAGTCACTAATCACGAAACGATTAAACTGTAACTATATACAACAAAACTCAGAACAACTACTTCGGTTCAAGTTAGGAGAGTCAGACGGGTTTATGGTTCCATGGGTTATTGAGTTCACTGCACAGATCTAACGAAAAATCTGGCTTTCTGATTAAAGAAAAGAGCAAACTAACTACTATAATGACAAAGGAAATTGCTAGATAATGGCAGTACGTAAATAAAGAAAACCGGTAAGTAACATAAACAATGACCCTCATAATATGTGTTCTGATTATATATAAACTTGCCTCTCAATTTGCATTAGAAGAACTCATACTAATTTCTACATAATACAAAATTTCATTTGCAAGAGAACTCGTAGATCAATATATATATATATCTATATGTGCACACAACTTGTCTGGGGTTGCTCGCTTGTGAAGAATATATACAACATTGACATCTAAAGTGATTACTTACAGAAGGAAACGGGTGCAAACTCTGGGACAACCTGTTGGAACTTTCTGCCTGACAGAAGGCACCAAAGATTCCTTGGAGTGATCTGCCTGTTTGACCTCTCGACATGTCTTAATTTTAAGTTAGAGATGTTGCTAGTTTCAAGAACTGAAGTGCAATGACCTAATTCAAAATAAAATACCATCATAGCTAATTAAGTTTCTTTTGTCTTCGAGTTCTTCTGGGAACCTGAAATACGCAAACAGAAATTAGTGTTATACATAACCAGGGATATGTCAATAAACACACACATACAGGGGACGATATTTTCTTTGGCTGGCAGTTTGCTAAGCAAAATTTGGAATTTCCATCTTCGTAGATGTTTGATTAATCGAAGTGTGGGGAATCAAATCCAACACTTGAATACTGTGCTCTAAAAGTTTTGTTTGGGTAGCGATGTTTATTAAATATGACAAGAGAAAAGGAAAGTGGTTTATTTACCAATAAAAGCAGAGGAACACTTATTCAAAGAATTATGGAGGCCATTTAAACGAAGATTATAGCTTGTAAGAGTTTAAAATAGGGGAAGAAAATACGATTCTTTATAGGGAATAAGAAAAATTCAAACATAATTCACTTGGAATTTATTGTACCAAAACATTATACAGAAAAAAAGTACGATTTTAACGTTTATCATGAAAAATCAGACTTGGGAGTTATATTATCTAAACAGACAACGTTAGCTCCTAAGAAATTATTCCACTTGGTTCCTTAAAATATAAGAGCAAAGTGAAATAATAACAAGGAAAAAATATTGCAAGCCTTACAGCAGCCTCATTCGTATCAGTAATTTCTGATGCTGAGGTGTCCACAGAGGCTTTCCTCCCCACCTTTTGTTTCTGCTGCATCCAAAACTACAGAGTTAGCCACAAGATCATTGGAACAGTGCAAAGAATTCAGGGTGCAACTTTCAGACTTCACAAGCAAACATTGCACACCCAAAAAGGCACAACAACTTTCATGCTAGTTTAATGTTGTCAAATTGTGTTTATACTCCTGGGTGGTTCCAGGCTTCAAGCATGCACTGAAAATTTTAATGAACGCTGAGTCAATTAAATATAAAAACTTTTTATGAACGATCAGTTTATGACTAAAACTGAATTACATGGAGGTGAAATTGAAATTTTTATCAAAGATTTCAACAGTTCATTTTTTTTTTTTTTTTTTAAAAGTTTGTAAATGTTAAACTGAAGTTCACATTTGCAAGCTAATAAGCATTCATAGTATTTCACCCTTACCTTTTCCTCCAGTGAGCCATCACTTATAGTTTCCCAGCTCTCACTTGCCAAGCATACCAATTGAACATCTCCACTACTATCACATGTGATCTGCCAAAAGGATGGGAAATTAAGCACGATGAAAAAGTGACAATGGATGTGCAATACTCACATGCCAAAAATAATAGTAACAGGTTAGGAAGGATGTATTTTATTCTCTAAAAAAATTCCACGTAGTTGCTGAGCTACAGAAATTGTTGTTTTTGAAACTACTCATATTTATTCACCTTGTGTGTGTTGTTTTGAGAATTATAACCATCCACTGTACCTGAATAAAAACTGGAAAAGAAAAATCAAATACTGTTATAAAGAAGGGCTACAACAATGTTGAAAAATCATATCTTTCATTGGAAAAATGCTCACCATTTATCTACTGGAGACAAAAATTTGATCCGTTGCCCAACCAATGCCTCAGCCTTTTTACTAATTTCCTACAAAATTCATACAGAAGTGTTAAATATGAAATACAATTTCAAGTTCATTGACCGGGAGAGCTTATTCTTACTTTCAGGCTGCAAGGGCCCTTCAGCTTCGCTCTGGGGTGATTGGAATGCTCCACATCAATGGTATTGCTTTTGACATTCTGGATTGAGACATTTGATCCACCTAGAGAAGATATTGTAGCTACAGAATCACAAGATGAAAGTATTTCTTTTTCCAGACTAGTTTCAGATTTTTTAGATACACCACTTGGGTAATCGTTATTAGAACAATCATGGAATGCAACTGATCCAGGACCACTTGGAGAGAGAGCTCGTTTTCTCCTACGTCCTCCTGTACTGTTGCCTTCTTTCTCAGGTTTTTGGGCTTCAGCTCTCCCATCTTTGGACAAATTAACCATCTTGCAAGATGCTAAGATAAGTTTGTTGTCCTTGACAACATCAGCTTGTGTTCTATCCTCTTGACACTTACGCCCACGTTTAGGAAGTGTACTAGCAGGCTGGAAGGTAAACAAAGATTTTCCGACGAGACAAAAATATAAAGAAAAATTTAGACAATCCTGGGGCCACATAAATTTCAACAGTAAATGAAAAGTACAGATACATACCAAAGAGATATTAGATTTAAATATCTGAATTACTCTTTTGACAAAGTGCTCGTCAAAACATGACTGAGTAAGGGATCTTGAATTAGACTGCAGACAACAAATAATAAAAATGTGAAAAGATGTGGAACATTTAAATAGAACATTAAATTTTCTTTCAGCCAAAAGATAGAGAAAATAATTTTGAAATTTTCTTCCAAAACAGCTCACACTTCTATTAGCAATACTCACTTTGTATAAGGATGATGGTAACAAAATTTGCCCAGGAGCATGTGATGCGGAGAGGCCATTATGATTTGTTAATGTCACAAAAGAGTGTCCAATGTCTGCTAGAATGTGGAGCTTCTGCATTGTAAGAAAAACCTCCTTCCAATAAACATACAATGTAAACATAAAGTGAGAGGGGGAAAGCTATTCTCTGAGGGAAAATTCTTACAGGAGTTCTTTCAACATCTATAACATCCTCAGATCTCTTAATTGCACGGAAAATGCAGATCAAATACAAGACAGAATCCTTGACAATATCCAGGGCACCATCAGCATTACTAGCATTGATTAAAGCCTGTAGTAAAACAAACAATGGACTGCAAAGAGACATAATCCAAAGTGTGTCACCATAACTGCATTCATATCCAGTACTAGGAAATCTGCAATGCGATTAAGTCAAATGGATCTTCATACCTGCAAAACCGAGCATATGTTTCTTCATCTAGACAGTCCACAGGTGGGAAGCTTGTATCATGAGCAAGAAGATGGATCAAGAATACCACTATGTATGCTGGAAAATCAGTGATTAATCCTTCTTGCACTCCAGAGATTTGATGCAGTTGAGCTTCTCTACTGTAATCCTTGACAAACTCTGCCATATATTTTAACGACTAAATTGAATGGTATTAGCAAACATTACTTGATATAAGTCTACAGAAATAACTGCATAGATAAATCATATTTAGCATACATCATCTTGCAGATCCTTGAGGCAATCTGAGGTGGCCATTGCAAAAGCACATGCATATCTGCTAGGTATAGCATGCTCCTTCAGTAATTTGTGTGCTTTATCAAGAAATAATCTTCTAACCAAAGGAGAGTCATCCTGGAATGTGTCAAGAGAAAACAATTGTCCATAAAAACATAATTACATGGAAATTTACTTCAAGAGTGATAATGAAATCAAATGGAAATTCAACTCAACTCAACTAAGCCTTAATTGGTGATTAATATCAGATGCATGTGTCAGAAATAATGCAGGATTACCGACACCATCTAGGGACATTATTTTATTTTTTATTTAAGTGCATTTATTTGACCATTTTTCAATCAATCTATGAATGAGACAACTCGCTGGAAGACACAGTAATAATACTAAGTTAGAGCTACAGACACATGTAAAGCTATAAAACCACCATGAAACTCCACAAAACTAAAAACTCATCAGGACTTTGTTTCCATTGCTTTTATAGGAAACGGAGAATTTATATATATATATATATAGAGAGAGAGAGAGAGAGAGTCTCCAATAAGTATTTTATGTTAAGGATTGGTTACATACTTCTAATCTTGGCCGTTGGATTGCATTCATTAAATGTGTTGGTAGTCACTTAGATGCAATCCAACGGCCGAGATTAGAAGTATGTAACCAATCATTAACTTAAATACTTATTGGAGAATGCCCATATATATATATAAAGGAAACAAGAGAAGTTGGGGCAAGAAGTCCATCAGAGTGAAACCTAGAACAAAATTGTCTTCTCAAAAGGAAATGGTATTCCCATTCCCAATTACAAACTTTGATAAGGCAGAGAACAAATAGCCATGAAAATACGTATTTTTTAGGCCAACGCTAGGAAACACAAAGCAGAACCAAACAGACATACCTTTGCCATTGAAATTGTAAAGTGAAAGATCTCTGGAGAAATATGGAAATCCCATCTTCGAGAAAGCCGAAGAACAGACTTTGCAGCAGCTAATCTAATACAAGCTTTATCATTTTCACTGCATGAGACAATAAAGTAAAACCAAATGAGTGGTATCCAAAGATACTTTTCACAAGCAAGTCAAAAGTAAAACATAATTCAATGAAGATAAAGATTTTAAAAGCACTGCAAATTGTAGCCTCTTTACACGTGTGTATCCCTTGCCTCAATACTGCCAGAGTCACAGTAAAAGCCCAAACAGCCAGTTGAGAATTTCCTCTGAATGTGAATCAAAAAATTTCTTCAAAGTTTCTAAAGCATCCCTCTTCCCGAACTAACATAAGTATGGGAAAAGAAATTGTAACAATAAACGTAAACCACTCATGCTTCCAAAAACAAAATATCAGCTTTTTAGTTGTTTTATTCAAGCACCACATAGATGCTGGACAAAAGCCAAGACATCTAGTATAAGATAGAAGACACAAAAAAGCCTCATCACAAAAACAGACATACAAATAATTTAAATCATAAAGCTTTAGTCAACAATTTAGTCATTTTATTTTCATCTTCATTTTCACTTTCACTTGAGCTGACTGGAATGAAGAATTAGTCCCACATGAAATTTAAAATATGAACTCTTCCAGTGTTAATTTTTCATTTGATGAAGGAGTCTGAAATCATACCATGAGGTGATACCCTCCGCAGTTTCACCCTTTTGCAGCATTGTTGACAAAATGTTCCAGAGTACATTAATTTGCCGTTTGATCTGAGTTCCCCGATGTGGCAAGAAGCTCTTGACAAGTGCTTTCAGGCCATATATCTGTAAAATAAGTGATTAAGCCATAGAAATCACGGAGACGTCTATAAGAAAGGAACGATTTCAACACAGTTAAACTCAAACTTATATAATCACCGGCAGTGATTTTGGACCCTTAGCAGGTTGATCCTTGCTTTGACACAGAGTCAAGCACTTTCTTTCACATGGGCCCCTAACAACAATTATTAATTTGTTCCTTAACCTAATTAATCATTCAGGCCACGAATCAGAACTCCTGCAAACTATACCAGTGCGAAAGCATTTAAAAGTTCAAACAAAAAACAAAACAAGCATCCATTGAGTCAACCAATTCACTTCAGTAACCAAAAGTTGTATGACATACTTGCTTCTGCTCCAAGTTATAGTAACATTTCTCACCAAAAATTTAAATAAATTAATTTTATAGGAAAAAAAAAAGGACAGAAATTTTACATGTGGAAAGCAACTCAATGAACCACTAAATTGTCCACCTTCTCTCATAAAATCCCACTCACAGCTCAACTCGACTCAAGTTTTTGCTTATACAAAAAGCCATGAGAAGAAAATACTTTATAACCTTCATTACTATAAAAGTTGTTCTCTCACATTTATTCTTTTATGCATACCCAAACTTTAATGGTAAACACCATTAACAGCCGAACCAAAAACTAATACACTCAGTTAAACTATTTGTATTCAGAACCCACCTTTAATTTACAAGAATCACTACATCCGGACGCATCATTGAATGAGTCTACAAAATCTGAAGAGCCCACCTACACAAAAAGTTTACAAATTTTAGTAATAAAACCTACTACATTCTGGCATGCAACAAAGTTCAAATAGAGTGAGTTCATATCTATCTCACAGCAGATGTCAATTACTTGGAAAATTTTCTGGTATATACAAGGAGTGATCTCTCCATCTTGGCTTTCGAATGTTGAAACAGAATACTGTGCAAGACACCCCAAGGACTGTAACACTGTTGGTATGTTCTGCCCACCAACTAAAGAATCCACCAGTTCCTAGACATGACAAACATAAATTGATTCACTACGGGTTAATAGGAAACTTCCACGAGAAAGCTCTAGAATTATTTATGTATGCCTGCAAGTCATGACTTTCAAAGGGACCCAACTGGGGGTCACAGTACCCCAGGGCATCCTACTCGGCCGAGCATAAATTCATACGGCATGGAACAGGAATTTTGGAGCATAGGGACCCAAACGAAATTTAAGCCAAGCTAACGCTTGATTTAATTTCAATTCTAATTTTTTATATCTATATTAATGTTCTTTTTTTTGACATTTGATTCCTTGACCCATAATACATATGATCCTTAACCATTTAAGGAAAAAAAATTTAAGTATGCATGAAAAATAATCAACATAAGTACATCCAAGTAAACAGATCCACACATGGATATAACAAATGGTGGCCAATACAGCTAAGGACTTATTAGGAGGCAAATAAAAACCAAAATTGTATGTGATTATGAAAATATAAATTGACTGTATCTACAGCACATAGTTTATATGAGGCTGAAAGATATATAACAATAAATAATGAAAATAGAAATTCTAAACTCCAAAACTCAAGCTAAGCATACCTTGCATAGACTTGAGAAAATGAATTGCTTTGAAGTATCAACTAATGCAGCAATCGCTGAAACAGCATATTTTGACTGAATGCGGTTCCCCTCCAGACAAACCCTTTTCAGAAAGGGGTAGATTTCACTACAAAGAAGAAGAAGTTGAAGCCACTATGAGAGTACATTCGGAAAAACTAGGTTTCGGATTACAAAATTCTATATATTGAACAAAGGGGAGGAGCTTTAAAGATGAAGTCCGTAAAAAACATCCATAGGAGAGAAAATATGACTTGGAAAGAAGTAAACTAGCAGTACTGTTAACCATCAACCTCAGTTGTTTGATCATTAAGTATATGGACCACAATCAAATAGTCGATCTTAATCTACTAATGTCTATTCATAAAAGTTACTTGCTTCCAATTTTCAAGATAAGCCTACTAAGGATCGAGATGAAAAACATCTATTTATATTACGATCTAACTATTGCAAAAGGAATATAACAGGGGTTGGAAGCTCAAATACCATAGCATGCATATGAAAGCTTGGCATAATTTAGCAATTTAACCAGTTACTGCTGTCAAATGTGTAAGGAATAGTTAAGCACACCCAGCAGAAAATTTACAAACTTGATTTTTGGATTCCACACATATGTTAGAGAATACAAATCCTTCAACTGAACATGGCAAGTACTTAGCTCGTTTATATACTTAATCAATTGTGTCCACCATGCACAAGCTCTTTCTAATATTTATTTCACAAAAAACAATTCTGACAAAGAAGAAGCATACCAAATTAACATAAGAAAAACAGATAAATGGGAGACCCTACACAATGTCTCCATTGGAACATGAAACTCCACCCTGCTCAAAATGTACAAGAATCAGGACTGCCGAAATTACCTGAGTTTGACAGATATGTGAGTGCCTGCTTTGGCTAACACTTCAATCAACTTCTCATTAATTGGGTCGCTCTCCTCTAATAACATCTGAAATTGGCTTTCTGAACCTCTCAGCAAGACAGGGAAAAAGCTGGTAATTGCCTGAACCAGGTAAAAAATGAAAGCAACTTCCAATAAAAAAAAGTGATAATTACCAATTATGCTTCTTTACAATAATGCAAGACAAATTCAAATGGCGAAGGGACAAAACTTCTCCCCCTAGATACTGAGATAGTAGTTGGTCATACATCTAAATTTGAATTAATCCTTCCACACTCCTCTCTTTATTATAAAACATAGGAAGGAGGTTAAAATCATTAGAAAGCTAAATTTTACTTATGTATACAAAAAATTTAAACGATATCCCATCCTCTTAAGGAAACTAACTCATTCTCTCAAGATTTTCCCATCAGGGCAATACAAGAAGCCAATTTAGGTCAATATAGTGACAGAGACCAACAGCCAACCATACAACCAAACCACAGCCTTAAGTGAACTGAAACTCATTCTAACACCTGGCACTCTTAAATCATAAAATTCAGGCCTTGAGATTCGTCCAAGCCAGAATTAAATGCAAACTGTGCTTGCCAACATTGTTTCTTGGTAAACACAGTCAACAACAACAACACCGATAATTTATGGCCATTGGTCAAGTTACAAACTATGATTGTGTTTTTGAGCTCGGCCAATTATAAGTGTCAACAGAAGCACACAAACCCCTCCTGGCCATTCCCTTGTATGGTTGACTTAGTCTTTTTGAGCACACAAACTCAATCTAACTTAAATGTTCAGTTTCAAAAGTTATGCTCTTCTGCTGAGGAAAATTACTATTCATATTCACCTGGCAAACGATTTTCTTACCAGAAGAAGTCTGACAGAAGCAGCCTCCAAATGCTTGTTTACAGGACTCTTACTGGAAACATCATATAGAATACATCGAACATGCTCTGAGCTGAATATATTATAAGAGCATTTTGAAGAGAGTGTTCGTAAGAACTCAAAATTTTGATGTTTCTCCCCAATCATATTCAGGAATGTGTCCTGAAATAAGACAACAAATAACTGGATAATACAATTTCATAACAAAGAGAAAAACAAAAACCAAAAAGTAAAAGTATTATAATTTTGTTACTATCAGGTTTCTAAATCATAAAGAAGAAAAACACCAATGAAAAAGGAAGACCATTGTTTGACACCATCTCATTAGTAACCAAATTGAAATCCAAGTTAGCCCCACCACAATATAAAACAACTCCCATCAAAATTTCAAGGAATCAAATTAAAGAAACAAAGCCAGTTTAAGCACACAAAAGCTGATCTCCCTTGACCTAAGTTTTTTCAACCCAGAACTTCTCATGGGCTTAACCACCTAAGCCTTTTAACATCCATTCAAATGCTTCAGCTGAACCCTAGGGACATGTGGGACCTCACTGCTGAAAGCTTAATTAATGGACCCAGGACTTTAAAAGAAGAGGGAGGAGGGACAGAGAGGGCTGGGATGAGAGATCAGGGTGAACTTATACTTGGTTTTAAAATATATTTAAAAAATTCTTTGAAATGGGGTGGCCTGTAGCACACCCAAACCACCACTTGGATCTGTAGCTGCCTCTTGCACAGACGATTATGAGTGGAAATTCTCTTATCATGGATAAACAAGTGGTCTTCACATAATTTAGGGTATGACAAGAGAATTTGAGAATGTGTTTCTGGGTTTCCAGAAAAGCATTGGATGACTCCCCCATACTACCATAGTTGCATGATTAAACTAAACCCCATTAAGCCTTTATCTCAGAACATGATTTTTCTATGTAAATCAAGTTCTGCCTCTCACAATATTGCTTCATCTGTTAAAGTTTCGCGTAAGTTAAAAATTGAACCATATAAGTGAAGCGCTGTGCAAAGAAACACACACGCACAAACATACATGTGTGTTCCCATTATCATCTACTCAAACTTTTCCACAACTTTATTTTGGTAAAGTTGACGAGTTTTTTGGTAAAAAAATTTAACACACGGAACAGCTGAGAGTTGAATGACTATTATTTCTCGTTCAATATAAAACCACAAAATATCTAATGGCAACATCTGATAACCTCAATGCACGCTGAAGATGATGCAGAAGTGGTTAAAAGAGGAACAAGGGGATCCAAGGGATAATTTAATTAAAATTAAGGGTAAATATACGCACTCTGCTGGTCAGGGCATCTGTAAATTGTAGTTCATCCAATAACAGCGCCAGCGAATTAAAAATGTTATTATCTTTCATTTGGTTCAATTTGTGAAAGCACTCTTCCGCTTTTGAAGGGTCTGCAAAGGAGACTGCCATTTTCAAGAATGAAACTTTATATCTCTTCTGCATCTCTTCTGAATTATTACCCTGCAACATAAAGGCAACTGTTTCAATTATTCAAAACAATTAATAGATAGTGCACAATGCATTCACAAGCTATATATCAGCCCTACTGAGCAAGTGCGATTTTCAATTATTGTACCTTCTCTTTCTTTCGTATGGCTAAATAAGTTCGCATCTCACTTTGTAACCTATAAAACATTTGCACCTAGTAAAGAAACAGGGTAATCGCCTCAACCTTAGCAAGAGCAAGTTAGGGATAATACCGTTGTTTCTGTGATAAAATTGAGTTCAAAGCCTTTATGTGAAGAGGGGTGAAAAGAGAAAACAAATGGATCCAGTGCCGTGTACGTTCCTCAACTGAAAGAACAGCTGGAAATAAATCTTCTGCAAGAACAAGCTCCATATTCTGGGACCTGAAGTAAAACAATAATGATAATGAATGATAATAGATAAATACAACTTTGTAAAGCATTGATTTGGGTTTTAAAAAGCTATAACATGTGAACAAACTGACCTGAACTCCATACAATCTTTATCAAAGCAGAGCATCAAGATTTTACATGGAATCTGTTCAAAGTGATCACTTATTGTCATGTAGCCTTCAGAACATTTGTTACAGTAATCTCGATATACTTCCATCATCTTCTGCAGCGCCTTCTTTCTAACAGGTATCTGCAAATAATGCAAACAATTACAAATACAAGACAGTAACTGTAACTTAGCAAAATGAAACTATTTGTTGTTGAAATACCTTCTTGTCCCGAAGTCTTTCAGTGGTTTGAGATATTAGTTTTGGAGGAAAACATCTCATATTATACATGGCAAGATCGCAGGCAACAATCACTGCCTGTGTTCTCACTCTATCATCAAAATCTAGTAGTCGACCTTCAAGGGAAGCTGCTTACATAATAAAGAGTATAAGTAAGGTTCCAAGAATACAGAACTCATACAGGAAAACATATATGTTCCACAACTTACAGAGAACTTCTTGTGATTCTACTCCAGAGGGATTGGTCATGTAGCAGACTTTAGCACATTGTAGAGCACTAACTCTAACTTCCGCAGATTTATCAGAGAATCTTTTCAAAAACTCTATGAAGAGGTCCTGATACCTTTGGGCAATATGGTGATCAGGAAGTGTAAAGAGTTTCCCAATTAAATTAACAGCTTTTAGTCTGACATCAACCTGATCAGTCTGCAGAAATAATCAGAGTCAAGTGGTATTTAATGATCCCTCTCAAAGTGCAGTAAGCCAGGAGCACAAGAGAACTATTTGAAGAGAGAAAAAAAAAGCCTATGCCAAGAGATGAATTTTTTCATAAAAATTTTTTTAATGAACTTAGCCGAGAAGACATACCAGTAATTCTTGAGTCAAATTTGGGATGACAGCAAGAAGCATCTGAGGAGCACACTTAAAAATCTTAAAAATGATTTCATGGTAAAATTCCTTGAGCTCACTTCCTACCGCATCTCTATCTAAAATACAAGATGTTAGAAACCCACAAACAAAGGACTCAAGTTTGTCTGCGCAAGTTTGAATCACAGAAACTGCAAGTTGAGAAGAAGCAGAGTCTGCATCCTGTAAAACATAACATAGGACTAATTTATCATACAAAAGAATGTTTCTAGAATCAATTTGAAGCATACACTCTCTAACACTCACCTTTCCCTCCTTCACAAGATTCTGGAGAACCACGTCCAAAAGTGGCTGAGAAGCTTCCTCGTTAAGTATATGAACCATTACAGACAAAACATCATTGATCAAAGTCTGTTGATGATGTGCCCTACAGGGAAAAATTAAAAGCCATTATGGTTGATGCCATCAAAGTTAGGCCCAAACTTACATAAATTAAAACATAACAAATTGGGCTTAATAAATTTCATGGACACTCAAATTTCAGATACTTATAACTTGGTAAAACCTACAATAAACCTGTTCTAAGTTCTAACCATCTAAGTTGCACGGCAAGCATGCAGTTATAAATTTCTTTTTATTCCATGGAAGTGGATATCTAGTTGCACAATGTAACAGGATAAGCGTTGATTCCTTCACAATTATCAATTAAGAATAGCCCAAATCATCAAAATGCACTATAGGGTTAATTAGAAAATTAAAAGTGAAAAGTAAAGAAGTAGCAAGAAAAAGTCATATACTAGAAATGCAGATAAAGGATTGTAACCTCACAACAGAGAAGAAGATATTGAACATCTCGAGAACTAGATCACTGCAGTCAATATCCAACATGATCACACAACATTTACATCGTGCAACAGTCTCTACTATCTTAGCCCTCCTTGAAAATAGTGGGCTCGCGGTATCAGCTAGCTCCGTGAACGTGCTGAGAATGAGTTTAAAAACGTCCTGAACGAAATAAGTGTAAAACAACTTGCAATGGGGAGTACAAAGCAAAATCTGACATGGGCAGACAGCAGATAGACGCAGAGAACTTTACCCTGAGATGCTTGTCCACAAAAGGCGGTTCAGGTGCCATAACTCGAAACATTTCAGTGACGCAGATGGCCACCAGAAGCCTGACATCTTTATCTCTATGCTGAAGCAAGCCATGAACAATAGCTTCGGTCAAGGGCTTCAACTTCTTAAGAGCTTCTGGTGAAGAAGCCTGTTCTAACTGTGACAAAGAACTGGCAGCTTGCTGTAAACCGAAGCATACAAAACAAGCAAAACCAAATGATCAATCGCAATTGCTATGCCAACGAAATAATAAACAATTCAAACACAAACCCACGCAAATAAACAGAGCTACATGATCAATTTCCATTGCTATGTAAAGTAAAATAACTTACTCGGAGCGATTTGACAATGAAATCCTTGTTTGGGCGAGCTTGACGGCGGAGATTGGTGCCGATTTCAGAAACGAGTTGCAGCGCGGACTGGTCCATCGACTCAGTGAATCGGCGAAAAACCCTAATGATTCAGTGGAGGAGGTTGAGGGTTTTGGCGGTTATGCATTGCACGGGCATTTGCTCGAAGACGAAAACTGTGATCTCAAGTCTAGAGAGCGAGAGGGAGAGTGAGAGGGAGGGAGAGAGAGAGAGCTAACAAGAAGGTGAGACTTGAGAAAGTGGAGTGGGCATAAAGTGGGGGAGGCTCCCGCCCTTGGTGCGCGTGAAACAAACGCGCCTAACCTGCAAGTGATACGGGAGTTGGGGGTATTTACCGCCTAATGAAAATTGGTGGGCTTTGGGTTCTATGTCTACCCACCTCGTCCTATTTTAAACGGGCTATGGGGTTCTATATACACCCACCCAGTCTCTCAGCCTACTGCCTACCCTGGATAAAAGATAAATTTTCACCGAAATCTCTCAGCCTACCCCCAAAATCCCTCGTCGCCCCCCCCACCCCAAACCCCCCATTCATACACCACCTGTTCTTCGATCCCGCCATCAGTCTCTTACTCTCTCTAGTCTTCACTCCACTTGTAGAAGCCTTTTCTTCTTCTCCAATCCAGCCTTTCGGCTGACACAGGTTCGTTACTTCTTCTATTTTTCTTTTCTTCTTCTTCCTCTTCTTCTTCTATCTGTTCTCTTCCTCTGTTTTCTAATCTTCAGCTTTTCTTATTCTTCTCCCCAGCTCTCTCTCCCTCTTGTCTCTCCACCAGAGCACCAGAGACTCAGCAACCCAGGTAATCTTTTGTTTTTGAATTTGTAGATTGTTTTTTCATGATAAACTGGAAGAGGGGTATTGAAGAAATCACATTTGGGGTTTAAGTTTAATTTATTTTCTCAATTACAATTATCCATATGGGCTTGTATTGAGTATTTGTGATTGAGAAATAGTGTTACTCTAATAATTACATTTTTCTCTCTAAATTCTGGTTCATATGTTTTTGTGTGTGGTTCGTATGTTTTTGTGTTGTGCACTTGAGCATGATTGCAGATATTGGTATTTAATTTGTGTTCAAGTAAATTTAGAGTTGTTATATATGTGCATGTTCTGATCATGTTGCTTGGTGTAAATTTTTGTGTCTCTCACTAACAATCTCACGGATTAGGCAGTTACTTGCTGTAAAAATGGTTGCATAAGAAGAATGGAGCATCAAGTCATCAGTCAGGGGTCTTCAAATGAGGTATGATGTCTTTTTCTTTATATGACTGTAAAGAGATCAAATGAAATTTCTTGGTTTTATTTGTTCAATAGTCGACTACTAACTGTTGTTTATGCCTATTGTTTCACTAGGAAGACACTTCTACTGGGGGCAGTGGTGCTGGGACAGAATGTGTGTTGGACTACACTAATGAATTCACAACTGATGAGGTTTGTGCAAATTTAAATGTTGGCTTGTGACTGACTGTTTAAGTTGGACAAGAGATAATATTTATGTTTTTTGTGTGTAGATATTTAAGAGTAGAGATGCATTGGTTGAGTGGACTCGTGATCGAGGAAATAGCAACGGTTTGGTGATTATTATCAAGAACTCAGATGCAGGAGGAGCTGGTAATAAGAAACCCCGAATAAAATTCTGTTGTGAAAAGGGTGGTGTTTATAAAAGGAAGATTGATGAAAATGTCCATAAGAAAAGGCGTCTTAGGAGCAGTGGTACGAAAAAGTGTGGATGCCCATTTCTATTGAGGGGTGTGAGCTTGGGTGATAATGATGAGTGGAAATTGGAGGTGGTATGTGGAGTTCATAACCACGATGCTGCAAAGTCCAATGCAAGGAGATTATCCGAAGAAGAGAAAGCATTGTTGGTAGATATGTCCAAGAGTTTGGCCAAACCCAAGGACATATTGCGCACAATTAAACAAAAAGAGGGACTCAATGAAACAAAAATGAAAACAATTTATAATGTCAGACAAAGGTTGAAGTTGAAAGAGAATGTTGTGAGATCGCAGATGCATGTTTTGCTAAGTAAGTTATCTGACCACAATTATATTGAGTGGCATAGAAGCTCAGATGACAGTAATATTGTGAAGGATCTGTTTTGGACCCACCCTGTTAGTGTAGACATCTTACGTGCATTCCCACAAGTCCTGATCATGGATTGCACGTGCAAGACATATTCTTTTCCGCTTTTAGAGATTGTAGGGGTGACATGTACTAACATAACCTTCTCAGCTGCATTTGCTTACCTTGATGCTAAGAATGAAGACAATTACATATGGGCTTTGAGTAGATTGAGGACCATGTTGGATGAACATTGTCTTCCTACAGTCATTGTCACGGACAATGACTTGCCACTAATGACTGCCATCCATAGTATTTTTCCTAGTGCCCGACATTTTTTGTGTAGATTACATATTAGCAAAAATGTGTTGGCGAAATGTAAAGGCATGTTTGAAGGTAAAGATCAGTTGGAGAAGTTCATAATGAGTTGGAATATGTTGGTGTTATCGGAGACGGAGCATGAGTATCTGAAACGTTTGGCTGAGCTTGATTATTATTTTGGTAGATATCCACATGCACTTGAATATGTGAAGAACACTTGGTTGAACGAGTATAAAGAGAGATTTGTGTCTGTATGGACAGATACATGCATGCATTTTGGTCACACAACATCAAATAGGTAACTTTCTTGTTCACTTTTGTTTCTTGATATAAGTCATTATGTACTACTAACTGTGTTGTATGAATAGGGTGGAAGGTGCAAGTGCAAAACTGAAACAACTACTTGGCAACAGCCGAGGTAGTTTTGAAACATCTTGGGAAAAGATTCACTCCTTGTTAGAGTTGCAACACTTAGACATCAAGGTATCACTTGAGAAGTGTTTGACCATCATCCAACGCAATTTCATGCATGATGAATTGAAGGAGTTGCGAGGATTTGTATCTACCGTTGCTTTGAATATAATTGTTTGTGAGTCGAAGAAAGTCAATTCAGTGGGGTTAGATTCTTCGTCATGTAGTTGCACCATTCGACGCACACATGGGTTGCCATGTGTGCATGAGATTGCAAAATACAGACAGACTAGTCGCCCTATTCCTCTTTACTGTGTTGATGCTCATTGGAGGAAATTGGATTTACTGTACTCCCCGAAAAATAGTGACCACGCAACTGACATAATTACGCAAATGTATACGATCTTACATCAGTGGATGGATAGCAATGAGGACACCAGGAGACATATTAGTCTGAAGTTGGAGGAGATTATGAATATGGAGTCAATGCCCCTTACCAAGCCTAAAGAACAACCAAGTAGAATTGGCACTACTACTCGTTGCAATCTTTCTGCCTTTGAGTTGGCCTTGTCATGTCGAGTCAGTCATTCACCAGTTGACACAGTTGCTACCACATCCCACTCGGAGAAACCAAAGAGGCGTCCTCCTAAGATGAAGGTATGTACTAACATTGTTGAACTTGTATGAGGTATGAGGTATTTTCCAGTAATTAAAACTACCATATGCATGAATATGGCTGTACAGGTACATAGGATGTGTCCACTCACTTCATCTGAATTGAAAGAGCAGTTCCCTACTGCTTTGAGACCATATATTTCATCCATAAGGGATTTTGCAGGTGACGGTAATTGTGGTTATCGAGTCATAGCCGGGTTGATGGGTTTTGGAGATGATGCTTGGAGCAAGGTACGCAGAGATTTGTTGAATGAGTTGTGCTCTCATGAAACACAATATGAGAACCTTTTTGGGAGACGTGATCGGGTTGACGAGCTTATGCATACACTCTCATTCTTTGAGGAGTGCCCCCCGTATGATAGGTGGTTGACCATGCCAGATACGGGGCACATTATCGCATCATGCTATAATGTGGTCCTGATATATTTATCCATGTCATTATCTGCCACATTTTTACCAACCAGGACGACGTCATTGCCCTTGTTAGAGCGCCGTCACATTGCCATCGGTTCAGTCAACGACAGCCACTTTGTTCAGGTATCGAGTAGTATAATTACCGTATACAATTTGTTATGCTTTGTGGAGGTGATTTTCCGTGCCTAACGGTTGGCATGTCCTGTTCTCCATAGGTGTTTCTGTTTCCAGGGCATCCTATGCCCCCTGTTTCGGATTGTTGGCACCAAGTTTACCTACCAGATGCTGAGGGTTGGCAAACTGCCTACACTGAACGTATTCAACGTTTTAGAGAGATTGTTGGTTCAGATGTGGCTACCAGAGAGATGGCATAACTCAAAAACTAATGACTTTAATTGGTTGACATTGTATTTTATACTCATGGTCAGCATACTATATTGTGTATAGTTAGTAAATACAAGATGGACAAAATATGAAAGTACAAAGTTGTTATTTGGCTATTATTTTTCAATTTTTTTTTTTTTTTTAAAAAAAAAAAGGTGAAAACCCTAAAATCAAATGTTTCTGTTATTAAATTGAATAAACAATAAAATATAGTTAATATTTCTTATATCATGGCTGAAAAATCGAGGTTTTTTATTTGTTTTTTATATAAGCAATACTGGGAATTGGGAAAAAAAGGAATTTGAACTATACATTTTTTTTTGGACCAATGAATTTGAACTATACATAAGTAACTATACTTGGGGCCTGTTTGGCAATGCTTTTGGAAGGGCTAAAAGTGCTTTCTGATAACTAAAAGTGTTTCTAACAATGTTTGGCAGAAAAGTTTAGAAGCGTTTCTGGGTCATGGAAGCGCTTTCTGGAGAAGCACCTACTATGTGCTTCTTCAAGGAAGCACTCGCAAGTGCTTTTCCACGAAGCACTTTTCATGAAAATTCAAGATTTTTATAATAAAGCGCTTTTTTTAGAAGCGCTTATGCGTAGAAATACTTCCTAGAAAAGCAATCCCAAACGAACCCTTAATCACTTAAACTATAAACTCTTGCTAAAAACTGAGTATTATAATTCCAACATTTGTGACACTATTATGTTTAACACCAATAAACACAATGCAATTGGCAATTTGGTAAAGCGAAAATTAATACCAAATAGTAAATACCAAATAGGTGTGGCAGTGGGGCTGTAATACATGCGTAAAGCGTAGCTCTACAACTCTCCATTAGTAAATTGAATAGCAGATTTATTTTAGGTATTGCTCTTTCGAGAGTATATTATTTCCCTCTATTATTATTGTTGATGATGGCGGTAAGAGTGAAGAAGTTGTGTTTGTAAGAGATTAAAATAAGGAGGAGGTGTTTATTCCTTTTAACATGGTGTATAGTTCTCCTCGGTTTCATTTCCCTTTCTATTTTTCTTCTAGGGTTTGAAAGCTTTTGTAAAGGGGTGGCTTTGATGAAGCAGGGATTTACATGGTATAGCACAATGCAAATATTCCTAAAAATGATAGGCTTTTGAATTATATATATTTAATAATACAAATAATATTGAGGGGGGATGAAATCAAATTACCAAAAATATAATTCAAAGAGGATGCCTGAAGGAGACCAAGAGAATATAAACTCACATGCCCAACAAGCAAAATGGTTTTAGGCCCAAAATATTAGGCTCGGTCAAAAACTATTGGAAAAACGCAATCAGCAGTTTATATTCTACTCGGAATAGGATAGGATATTAGCCCTTCGATTTTTTTTTTTTAAAATCTCATTAGCTCTGGCACCGAATAGTGTCAAGTTGTGGTGAGAGAGCTATGGCGGCGAGGATAAGAAGGGCATAACTTCTGGTACGCTGTGACGTCATCCTTCGTCCCATGAGCATCAGATTCCAGACTGCATCTGCTTCTTCTCGTCGTTTTCTGGCTTTGGCTTTTGCCTCTAAAACCCCAGACGCCGCCTTTCCAAAAAACTTACTTGAAAGAGTTGAGCGACTGTCTGGCGGCGTATGGAGAAATTGGATCCGCTGCTGGGAAGTATAACCGTGCGGCTATACTCTTTGAATATATTTCAATATTTAAATAGTATAGCCGTGCGGCGATACTGTTTAAATATATTCGAATATTTTAACTGTATAGCCGTGCGGCTATACTTTTTATTACATTTGAATATTCGAAATCGTATAGCCGCGCGGCTAGACTCGTTAAATATATTCGAATATTTGAAATAGTATAGCCGCGCGGATATACTGTTTTAGTATATTCGAATATTTAAATAGTATAGCCGCCCGGCGATACTCTTTTAAATATATTAGAAAATTTAAATCGGTATCGGTCTTTCTCTCTCTGTGTCATCCACCTGCACTGTCATCATCCAATTTAATTGGCCTGTAGGTCAACAACAGAGAGAAGAAGGCAAATTTCTAAAGCGGCGTCGTGTTCGTCGTGAGCTCTGTGTGTTCCAAAAATGGAGTTCGTTGACAAGGCGGTGAGCGCTGCAACGAGAGCGGCGAAGAACAACACGGTGATAAACGTGTGCCTGGTAGGCTCGTTCATCGCGCTGAGCGTAAGGTCGGTGAAGCAGCAAAACGACATCAAATCGCTGGAGGCGGAGAAGGCGTCGCTCATAAAATCGAACAAGGGTGCGAAGCAGACCATGTGGGACTGGAAGCAGCAGCTGTACGCCGAGGCCTCCTCCACTGACGCCGCCGTTTTGGTCCCTCTCGCCAGACTCAAAGCCATTTACGGCGAAGCTCCCGTTGCCCAAATTGGTAATTTCACTCCTACTCTTCACTCTCTTTGATTTTGCGTTTGTTTTTAGTTATTGGACAATTTTTTAGGGTTTGATCCTTTGTGGGAATTTTCTCATTTATTGATTGATTTATTGATTAGTAGAGGCTGTGAAGGAAGAATCAAAATCTGCTGCCTCCAAATTTGTGGTCTGATTTTGGGACATTGGGTTGCTGCTTGCATTTGCAAATTGGGTTGCTGCTTGCATTTGCAATTTGGGTTGCTGCTTGCATTTGTAAATTGGGTTGCTGCTTGCATTTGCAAATTGGGTATTTGCTTTCTTTGCCTTGCAAGCTTGTAATGCAGTTGCAGCTGAATTTAATGATCAGGCTTTGAGTTCATTTTGCACTTCTATCATTTTGGTGAAGAGACAAAGGATCATTTCGAACTCATTCAAGTTTGCCATGGGACTGAATTTATTCATTTCTCTGTGTTTTTATGTGGCATTTGCAACAAATAAGGACTCTTACAATTGGGTCAATGAATGAACAAATAAGGGCACTAAATAACTGTACTATTGATCAAAAGTCCATTATAATTTTTTAGGCTTTTATCACAAGTGGTCTCTAAATTTTTTATAAGTCCTCATTTTAGTACTCAAATTTTCAAATCTATCAATATGGTCCTTAATTTTTTTGGTTTACACATCAATTTGGTACTTGTCGTCTCACTCCGACATAACTTTCGATAAAATTGATTATGTGTGGTTCGCATGACTGACTTTAAAAGGATATTGTCATGTAAATATAGGTCATTTTAGTCCTGAAACACATGTTTTTGCTCAACAAATCCATATTCTCTCCAATTGGAGTTTCCCATTGGGGTTATTAAAGAAGAGCAGATAGTCTTGCTGAGCAAAATACATGAGTTTGCTTTATGTCATGGATGTATAGGTTGCATTTTGACATAAATACCCCTTCAGAGTTGGTCATGTGACCAATTTCAACTAACATTTTGACGGAATGTAATGAGAGGGACCGAGTTGATGTACAGACTAAAAAATTAAGAACCAAATTGATTGATTTGAAAGTTTGAGAACTCAAAATGAGGATCACTGAAAAGTTTAGGTACCAGTAGTGACAAAATGGATTGTATTGAGTGTTCACTGTGGAACCTCAATGTATTGTTTGAATACAATTAAATTTTGGGACTTACCATTAGAAACTTCATGTTTTGCCCTACAGTGAACAAAATGGATTGTGTTACCCGCAAATCTTGTATGTCAATGGCTGTTTGTTTGATGCGTGTAGGGGCAGTGCATCAACGACTAGAAGTCGCCCACTTGCGCGAAGTTCATAATTGCAAAGATTTTAGGGAGTTTCGTCTGCATAAATCATAAACCTTGAAAGGTAATGCAGAATATGTAAAGAAGACCCTAATCAGAATTGGCAACCATTAAAAACCTATCTTTCGTTGCTACCATTCATGACTGTGAAAGACTAAATTGCAAGATTACCAAACTAGAATAATAATTAAGAACTGATAAGTATAGCTAGAGGCCATTAGTAAATGGACAACGACAATCCAACCTCTATTTACTGTCTGATTTTCAAACCAACAACATTTAGAAACACTGAAAAATTAGCAGGAGATGAACCAGTTGTTTTCGTAAGTAGATTTACGGGCTTAAATTCAAGATCGCAATCCATCTTTTCACAAATTTTTGGGTCATTTTTTTTCTACCGACTTGATCAACCTTCTCTTCATTATAGAGGGGGAAATGTCAAGAAATAAGCTTCAGTGGTCTTTGATTTGATTTCAGATGTGAAAGAGACCTGCATTTTGGCCTAAACTTGTACCCCAAGTAATTGATGTTTTAGTTCATAGCAATAATTGAGTTCACAGCATAATAGGGTGTACCAAAATCAGCTTGTGAACAAATGGCATATACATACACCATTAGTTTGGCTCTTATTCCGGTAGAGGAAAGAGATAGGAAAGAGATGAAGGGGAAAGAGAGCACACAAAATCAACGAAGGTCTTCTTATTTTGGATTTAACAAATGTCCCAAATACGTTTCGGTCTCTTTCATGCAATGAGGGATGATGACTGTAAGAACTTATTTTGGAGTGCAAATAACATTCGCATGGTGTTGTATGAATTCTCTAAAGACACTGAAAAAAAGTCATTGGTAAAAAGTGAATTGTTCCAAAGTACACTATAAACTTAAAATGAATTGCTTTAAAATGGTTTTTCAAATTCAGATATAGTGTAGCAACAAGTATTGAAAAAATTTCTTATAAATTAAAATGAGTTAAATAAATTTAAGCCCAATGTGTCGACTTTATGATTAATCCCAACCATGCCTAAGCTTGACCTTTTATGGGACTATATATCTTGGTCCGTACATATACACATCACATGTGCTTGATAGGATTCCATTTCACCCTAAAGATTTGACTCTAGAGCTGTGTGATCCACATCATGTGGCGCAAAGTTTGCAAGAATTTCTAAGGATTAAAATCAAGTTTTCTAAAAAGAACAAAACACGAGTAAAGATTTTTATTTATTTGTTTTTTCGGTGTGAAATCTCAATAACATATACTGGTTGACACGAGGACATTACTAGTCAAAATCTAATTATTTGCTATCAAAATTCAACTCTCGTCTTTTCCTTAATCAAACTCTCACGAGTTTAATTTAGTTTTTTGGTTAATAACAAAGGGGGAAATCCTCACATGCACATCGTAGTTGGAACACAAGAAATTATAATATCCTGATAATAATAATATTAAAAAGTATAGTTTTGCAGAATATATTCTAGTTATGCTTATAGTTGTCGTAAAAGATGTATCATTGGATGTACATGCATGAGAAGGGAGAGGTGGATCTTGTCGTTCATATGCTAAAAAACATAGGTGGGTCATACGCAAAGAGCCCAAGAGCATAATTTAGGAATATTATTTTGTGCTAATTAAAAACGAACAGAGACGGACTTGATGAATAATTGCTTTCAAATTTGAAGTCATAACCCAAAAAGTGAATATTCAGCAGGGTTTTGCTTTCTTTGTAATCGTCACATACATACGTATGTGAATAAATTACAATGAATCGATAACATCACGTGACATTATGACCATTATAATGAAGAATTACTTCTTCTTCTTTTTCACAATAAGGTTTTCTTTTAAGACATTTTATTTGATGTGGCTGATTTCAGGCAACATTAATGCAGTCATTTTCGGCCGGTCTTAATAATTAATAATAATTTTTTGGTCGCTTTTAGTTTTTAGCAAACGAAATTAATTAATTAAATGGTCAAAAAAGCATCCCTCTACCGCAATTACTGGGCCACACAAATCCATAATGCGCTTTATTGCACAGTTTCAACGTTACAAAAAAGGTCAATGTTGTTGGTGTCAAATTTTCATCATAAACCAACTGTTTATAATTTGACACAAAATGTTAGGTATCAAATTGCAGACCAGATGTTTAGGGACCCAGGACCATGTTTCTAATTTGATACCAAATGTTTGGTATGTCTAGCCAAAAAAAGGTTCTAATTATTTCTTGTAGAAAATACGTAGAATTAATCAATTGTTCTTTAAGTGGTGCTTCATCAACATTTAGAGAATAATTGAAAAAGTACATAGAGAGTCATTTCGCTTAGGAATACAACGGATATGGGTAAAACTTCCTCAGTAACCAAGGTCAGCTCTAGAGCTGAAATCATCTTAAAGGCAGATACGTTAAAAACAAAACTCGCAAACCGGCATAACTCCACTTAATATCACTTACTAATTTAGTTGGCAATCATAGTGATCAATTATATGATCATATCGATCACTTACTTAACAATTTAGTGACCTCAATTTTTTGATAGCATAAGCCGATTCCGTTAACAATTCGATCTTATCAATGACTTCATCAAATCAGCTTAAGTTATCCAAAAATTAGATTTCAACTTAATTTTTATTGAGTTGATCAATTATCTCAATCCAAACTTTTAAGTTTCATTTGCAAACTCGATTAAGGCTTCAAACTTTGAAGGCAGAGTCCATCCAAGTTGCACCCTTAATTATTATTGCAAGGGAGGTTCTTTTGGACATTTAACCAAATTTCTTCCCCTCACGCCAATTGGAAGGTTGAAGGAACATTCTCATGACAATAGAAGAATAAAAAACTGAGGGTTTTTAGATTGCCAGCATTTTAGACATGAACTGACCAAATGGTAAAGTCACAATAATCACGTATTAGTCTAAATCTAAACCTCTTTTTTCAAAATAATGGGCCCACATGAAACTCATAACAGAAACAGAAAATTCTTGTTATAAACCAAAAAAACAAAAACAAAAAAGGAATAACCGATTCTTATGCACTTGTAGCATCTTTGCCAACATGGTCTCGATAATTCAAATTACGCAATGCCGAAAATGAGATACCGATAAAAATGGCATTTTGGTGAAAATAAACAATAAATTTGGCATTTTGGGGAAGGAAAAAAAAACCCTTGTACTGAAGAAACTTATTAACATTTGCTATCTACCATAGTAAGTGGAAGCTATAATTTAGTTGTACATTAATTGCTATATAACTAGTTATTTATTAATGCAAAATTGCAATGTAATGTGATCGTGGGAGAGAGTTTACACAAATATTTATTGAGTGTTTGAGATTTCGAACATCTGCCCACATGAGTGGAAGTGGAAGAGCTCAATCAATTGAGTTGTACCCACTGACAATATCAACTATCTCTTTATGAAATGTTATTTTAAAAAAATATTTCATGTTTGAATCACCTTTCCCATTGAATTAATGTTGTGTTTGATTAATAGGAAAGATCGCTTGGAGATGGGAAATCAATTGTTTTCTCATGTTTGGTAAGTCTATAAATAGGCTCATGACAAAAAATAAGAGAAAGGAGGGGGAGGGGAATGTAACCCTCCTCCTCCTTTTAGTTTCATTTTCCATTCCCATGAGAAAGTTTAGGAAAATGGACCACCATTAAATGCACACTTTTCACGACAATTTTGTCCATATTAACAATTTATAATTACAATATAGCATTAAATTTTTTTTATTTATTTGATTTCATATTAGTATAATTGGAAAATTAAACAAATTTTGTTTTACATTCCTACACAAATTAAACATGGGAAAGAAAATAATATGGTAGTTCCCGATACTTTCCCATATCACCAAATATGATAAATGAATCTTTCATTTCTCATTTATGGGAGATGACATGAGAAATGATTTTCTATCAAATCCCTTTTGTGAACCAAATGAGGCATAAAAATATATATACAAAAAATACTTCATATGAAAAATGTGAAGGCTGTGACGGTTATGCCAACATAAGTACACATAAATTAATCTTTTAATTAAGGACAATGAAGAATAAACCCACAATGCTTAAGACATTTCAAGCAAAAATAACTGTTCATGTCTCTAATAAAACCTAATGATGAGAAGCTTCGAAAGTGTAGAAGACAAGCACTTGAGAGACTAGAGAGAAGCAAGCCCCAAATGCTTCAATCAAAAGAAACAAGTCCAAACCTAATAAAACTGTAGAAAATTCTGGTCAATGCCAAACCCACACCCAAAAAAAAAGTATATTCATTGAATGGCTGCGATTTCGTGATCCCTTGGACCCCTCCAAAACATAGGACCTTCTCGCACGTGGGACCCACAACCCAATTTATTTATTTATTTATTTAAAACTAGCAAGTCTATAACAACAGATAGAAGCATAACATTTCCATGGCGTGAGATAGTTAAAAACGTTTTAGGAACTCCCAACTTAACAAAATGGAAACAGAGGGACAAATCACATGGCACTAACACACACAAACTCAACGAGAGAGAGAGAGAGAGCTTAACCTCAATTGCACAACGTTTACGCTCTCATTTTCACTTTCTCAATTAGGGTTCTCTTCTATCTCTGATCTCCAATCTCTCTTTTCTTTAGCTGCTGTGGCCTGTAACTCTGTTTTTCCTCTGTTTCTGTAAGAAAATTCATCTGGGTCGCTTTTAGTTTTCGGAATTGAGGTGGGTTTTTCTGGGTGTTTGTGATCTGGGTCTCTTTGAGTGATCTGGGTCTGAGATGGAGGAGACTCGGCTGTGCCAGTGGAGCGTCATTCGATCTCTTTTGGCAATTCTTCAATGGTGGGGTTTCAATGTCACCGTGATTGTTATGAACAAGTGGATCTTTCAGGTCCTTTCTCTATGCCTTTCCCAGATTGTTGAATTTCGTTTTTTGTTTTTACATTTCTTTTCTAGATTTTTTTGTGAACTGAGGTGTGCTTAATTTTGATTTTTGATTCTTGGGTATGTAAAAATGTTCAATTCTCCTATGTTGCTGCCTTAATTTTTGTATTTTTAAGAATTCGTTTTGGTATAATTGTGTACGTGTGAGTTGGGTTTTACATTTTACGACTGTAGCTGAAGAACGGTTTCTCTTTTGATTTTGGAGTTGAAATTTTAATTCGTTATCATCTGATTTTCTGCTTCCTTCATATTTCCGTTACTGCCTGATATAATGAAATTCTGAAAATGATCGTGACTCTTTAGAATCTCATGAGCAATAGTAGAAGCAAGATGGTCTTTTAACTTCATGCAGTTTGGAGTCCTGTAGCTGTTTCATTTGTTTACATTTAGTTTCACCTGAACATCATTTGCTTCTCATGGTGGTCATCATGGTGTCCCTAATTTTGAAGTGTTTTCTTTTGTGCAGAAACTGGATTTTAAGTTTCCTCTAACGGTATCGTGTATTCATTTTATATGCTCGGCCATTGGAGCATACACAGTAATCAAAATTTTGAAGCTTAAACCACTAATAACAGTTGAGCCTGAAGATCGATGGAGAAGGATATTTCCCATGTCGTTTGTATTCTGTATTAACATAGTGTTGGGGAATGTGAGCTTACGTTACATTCCAGTTTCTTTTATGCAGACAATAAAGTCATTCACTCCTGCGACCACAGGTCAGTTCCCGAAATTGCTAACAGTGTTAAATATTGACATACCCTATGAAAAATGTTATACTGTGTTGTAGCTTCATCTGATCACAAAGGGTTTGAACAGTTGTTTTGCAGTGGCTGGTTTGGAGAAAGTACTTTGACTGGCGAATTTGGTGTTCTTTGATACCAATTGTTGGAGGAATTCTTCTTACTTCTGTTACAGAGCTTAGTTTCAATATGTTGGGATTTTGTGCTGCCTTGTTTGGTTGTCTGGCTACTTCCACAAAGACCATCCTTGCAGAATCTCTGTTGCATGGATACAAGTTTGACAGGTAGTATCTTTGTTTTTGTTGCTTTGGATCCTCATGTGTTGTATTTCATTGTTTTTTTCTGTCTTTACTTTTTCGAAGTATTCCCCATATTTATCTTTTCATGATTTTTTTTGCCAACTTTGCTCATTTTATTTTTGTAGTTTTCATAGGTTATTGTATGCCTGACGTCTGCATTAATATTTTGTTTAACTTCCAGATTCAGTGTTATTAGATTTTTACTATAATGATAATGTTTGTGAGCATATATATAGTTGAAGATATGAATTTACAATCAGGTCATATGCTAAACCTTTCCATATCAGTGTGTTGAAACTTGAAAGACCCACCACACCTATAGCTGAAAAAGGACCTCCATTATGCCAGCTCTAACTGATATGAATATCCTGTTGACTTGTGCATTTCCTCATTTCAATGGATTTTTTATATAATTAATTTTCAAATAAGAATTATCTTGACTGATTGATTATAAGAATAATATATGACACAAAATGGTTCTTTGCATTCTGGTGAAAGCAGGTTATATTGTATGTGCAATCCATTTTTCTTTGTGTGTTTTAGAACCTTTTGGATTGCGTTAGAATCCTTGTGAGGAATATGGTGGGGTTTAGTCCCGCTGCAGTGCAAACAACCCAGGATTTGCTATTTTTCCTTTATCTTTTCAGAAATTAGAGCATTAACATCAACCTTTTTTCTTCATCCATTTTTTAAAATCCCCAACCCTCGCAACCTTTTTTTTATTTTTCTCAGTTTTCTGCTTGGAAACCCTTTCATGTGGGTTCTAACATTAGGGGTCTTTGTTTTCATAGTGCTTGCTTCACTCCAGTCTAGAAGGGGTTGTTTTTGAGACTGTTCTACTTTTATCTGTGTGCATTAATTTATAGCTACAGGATTCATTCTGATATACTTCTATTGATGTTTTGGGTATACAACTTAGCATAAACACGGTCTACTACATGGCACCTTTTGCAACCATGATCTTGGCTGTACCTGCAGTAGTACTTGAAGGTAATGGGGTTATTGAATGGCTTCACACTCATCAGACTCTAGTTCCATCCCTCATCATTATATTCAGCTCTGGGGTGCTGGCATTCTGTCTCAACTTCTCCATCTTTTATGTGATTCATTCCACGACTGCCGTAACATTCAATGTTGCTGGAAACCTCAAGGTAATTATTAAGCAGTCACTTGCCTTGCAATTCTGATTCTATGATATTAATATTGTTCACCTTTGTGGCGAAGTAAAGTATTGTTAGGTTTCATAAATGATGCATCCCTTGACTGCGTGTAGTATAAACTTCTTGTCAAAGTCATGTCCAGCTGAAAAGCTGCTAGTGCTTTATTCTTCCTTATGCACACATATATCATTGAACTTTTTGATTCACTGAGTTCAGGGCTAGATTTTTCCCAACTATTTTAGTCAATCCAGCCTTAATCCTTTTGGGGCATATGAATACCTTGTCAATGGTCACATTCTCATATTGGATTGTGTTCAGGTTGCCGTTGCTGTCCTTGTTTCATGGATGATATTCAAAAACCCAATTCCAGCTTTGAACGCTGTCGGATGTGGAATAACACTTGTGGGATGTACATTCTATGGGTACGTGAGGCACCTGCTCTCCCAACAGCTGCCTGGAACTCCTCGAACACCCCGGACTCCACGGGGTCGGATGGAGCTGCTTCCCCTTGTAAATGATAAATTAGATGATAAGGTCTAATGATTCAAATCATGAATGAGGTTCCTGGCAGTTGGAAAAACAATTTATAGGAGACATCAGTACACAGAACTTACTATTCATTTCTTTGCTATGTAATCCTGCTTCAGATTGCTTCAAATTTTAATATATGGTTTTTTGCCCCCTGCCAAACCAAAAATATCTTCAGCTTCTTCTTGTGGGTTGCCATATTCTGGGTGAATATCCAGTCAATTCAATTGTAGCCTTCCCTTGCAACTAGACCTTCATGACCTAAAGTGGCTTTCTTAGGTACTTTGGGGGGTCCCAAAGGACGCTATCACTGGCCAATCGTAATGACACATGGGATAGCTTTTTCACATGTCATTGCATTATTGGCCGGAATAGTAAAATAGTGTTATCTCCGTTACAAGAGAGTTTTTCTACTCCCAAAGGCCCAGAAAGCAAATGCTAAACAAGGTCTAGAAACCCCAATTTTGCTGTTGCAGCCCCCAATTTTATGAGACCTGTAGCCATACAACTTCTAAGATTCCAAGTTGTTCATTAATAAAACTAAGACAGCCTCTTTAATAAGTAACTTTATGATCTGAAGTTGACTTTTGCAAATGGATCTTTGATTTTGAAGGAGATTGAGTGCACTTGACAGAGAATCCTACTACTTTAATTGCACATCTTGCATGAACATAGAAGGGATAGAGTTTTATTTCATTAATTAGTACATAGAAAGCTCATCTAGTTAGTAGTTAGATACTAAAATTACAAGCTAATAACCTATACTTAAATTACTTATTATGACACTAATGAGATTAGATAATCTTATTAGAGAACTAAGCCAAGAGCCAGAAATCCCTCTGCCATCTGGTGTTGATAAGGTAGCCACCCACACCCCTGCTCTGCTTCCTCACTCCAATTGTCAAGCACTCTGCATTGTTGATGCAATGCTCCACAAAGTCCTCAGTGCTGCTGCTTCCAAATAAGCTGCACAAATGATTTGAGAAAGAAAAAAAGATCAACCCAACAAACATTAACAGGTCAGATTTAGGATCAATAATAAGTTTGAGATGCAAGATGGGAATTTTGTGAAATTGGACCCACCAGCTGATGAGGGGAGAGGACTTCTTCTGACCCAGCACTAAAACTGATACCTCTAGCTTCTTCACCTGGCTTATCACTGTGCCCAGTCTTGGTCCTTGGATCACAAGTGCTTCCACTTCCACCTGAATTTTGTCCCCAACAAATAAAAAATAAAAATATATAAAAAATTATAAGCACATGACTTGATAATTGTTAAGTGACAGACCAGAAGCCCATGTCCCCTCTCTTTTTCTGGGAAAAAGGCAAAGCAACTGAAAAGTACACACTGAAAAGAAAAAGGAAAAGAAGGAAAATATTGAGAGGGAACCTGTCACTGAAAAAAATCATTACCCTTCTTCTCCCTCTAAAGAAGAGAAAAGACAAAAAAGAAATATTCAAAAATTAAAAACCAAAGAAAAAGAGGGAAAGAAAATTAAAATGAGCTGAAGCTGAAAGTTGTCCCTCTCTTCACAAAAGCACTGCAAGGTTGGGGACCAGAAAAGAACAACATTCAAAGGTAAAGGAGAAAGAAAGATCCAGTGGGATCTATCAAACACAATGAGAACAATCCCTGCCTTTTACAACTTTTAGGATCTATCAAATAGAGCATAAATAATAAAAACAAATAAAAATCCACGGAGCCCATTTGAGCTCCCACTTTGTTTGATCTGTTAAAAATTCTTGGAACATAAACTATAATCCTTAGAAAAAAAGAACAAAACTAACCTCAGGCTTGCAGGCCTTGCAAAGGGAGCCAAGAGAGTTGGCAAGGTAAGGGGAAACAGAAGAAGAGTCATGAGAAGCAGGGATGATGTGAAGGAGAGTGAGCAAATCACCCTTGTTTGCTACATGGGTGAGAGCCCACATCATAGCATGCTTGGAATGTGATGAGTCATCCACCACAACCATCAATCTCTTCCTCATTGCCAACCCACCATTGTTATTGTCACTGCCATACATGTTAAGCCCTTCCATTTGCTTCAAGCTTCCCTCAGAGCGCCCAACACCACCACCACCACAAGAACTGTTATTTCCACCAACCCACCTCTTTGATGTTGATTTCCAAGCCTCCCTTCCACTCAATTGCCTTAAAAATGAACTTGGTCTTGGCATTTTCACTTACTCCTCTTGCCTAAACGTGTCTATGGACTAAGAGTGTACCACTAGTACCACAGAGAGAGAGAGAGAGAGAGAGAGAGAGTATATGAGGTTTGGTTATTATAATGAGGGAGAACAGGATATGAGGTTTGGTTATTATAATGAGGGAGAACAGGGGTTTGTGAGAGTGAGAGAGAGTACGTGGGGTTTGATATTTAGGGGTTCTTGGTTATTATAATGCGGAGAGAGAGAGAGAGGAGAGAGAGAGAGAGAGAGGAGAGAGAGAGAGAGAGAGATGATGCAAAGCCATGATGTTTTATCTTTGTGCAGGATAAAGTGTCACGGGAACCACTGGCTGGTTGTGACTTTACTCTGCATAGAAATGTAAACAATCACACTGGTTTGTTTTGTTTGATATCTGGTGATGAAAGCGAGTATCTTTTGTACAATCTCTAATAAAAACTATTCAGATTCTCCAGCCCATTTTTCTAATTTCTTATCATCATCATCTGTATGTTCTGAGTGATGGCGATTAGATTTTATTGGTATTATTACTCTAATTTAATATTAATAACTAATACATCCATGTATTTTATGTCATTTCATACCACAAGTTGCACATGATATACAGGACTGGTCCAACTTCAGAATAGACTTGTCCAGACCCCTCGATTGTTTTTGCAGCACCATTTATGTGCACGCACCATTTTTGCTTTTCCTTTTAGGTCATCTTTCGTGGGTTTCACCCTTTCTTGGGTGATGATGCCCTAACAGTCTTCCCAAGCTTCTTTTAAAGCTTCTGTACACGTTGCAAGGGAGATGAATGGAAGATGCACAAAGTTTAGTGTGACAAAAGTCAGTGTATTCGAGGAATGAATTATTATTAGAAACAGGGAAAAACCGTCTCAATTGTTCAAATCAAATCAAATAAGTTCGGTTTGTACACATTTTAGACAAAAACGGAACAAAACCGTAATTAATTCGGTTTAATTTAGTTCGACTTATTTGAAAACCATAACCAAAGCAAACCACATATACTTATAAAAATTAAAATTTTGATAATTGACATTTTCTTGTTGGTCTTGCCAAGTTACATTTCCGTTTGATACATGTGATAAAATATAAAGTATTTGTATAATTACTTGTGAAGGGAACTAGCCCAACCAAATCAAATCAAATCATTTGACCACCAAAAAAAATCAAATCAAATGGATAGGTTAGGTTTTTTTTCTCAAAAATGGATAGGTTCATTTCAATTCTGTTGTATTATTGCTCGCCACTTTAACCCAAAGTGTATTATCATCATCATTCTCAACACTTACACGTATCCATATGCATAACAATGGTTCTATAAATACAAAGTAAAAAGTTAAACATAGTTATACCTATGACACACATCTCACATATTAAAAAGAGTAGTTATGATATATCTTGGGTTAAAGTGGTAAGTACAAATATTTCCTTAATTTTAACTGTAGTGTTAACATTAATTCAGTTGCCAATTAGGTCTAATTAAACTAGAGCAGACGGAGTTTTTTATTGGCTGTGTTCAGTAAGGTACTTGGATTCCATAAAATGACTTCTCTCCTGTTAACCTCAATATTATGTTTTAAATCAGAGAGTTTAGACTAAGATCTTAGTTCAGGCTTAAATTAACAACTGGGAAATTCGACCAAAAAGAAAGAGAACAACTGTAAAATGACTAAATCTATCACATTAATTATTGATAAAATTAAGAAAATTAAGAATGCAGGAAGCATTTAAGATCAATTTCTGCCCCCCTTTCCCCACATCTTTACTTCACTTTCTGGTTCTGGTTCTGATTCTGGTTCATTGACATGGAAGAGCTCATATAAACATAACTCTGTCACTGAATAAGCATCCCATTAAATGTGCTTAGCTGAAAATCAATCCATCACATTAATTATTGCATTCTGGGGAACACATCCAAATGCCACAAATTGCATCTAGGAAATAGACTTTTCTATCCCTGCATAATTGTTATGTTATGTAGAGCCTTACATAACAAGGAATTTAGGCCTTAATTCTAAACCCTCTTGTAGGATTCTTTACTTGGTCATGCACCTTGTCGCTTGGCACCGACACATTATTGGGGATGTGAAAAATAAAGGGGCGGAAAGTGGAGTGGAGTAACATAACAAAGGAATTTAGGCATTAATTATTAAAGTTCTGCTACAGTTAGTTGTCCACATACGCATGCATGTAAAAAATAATATATATACTACGGATTAATGAATGTTTTAGTTATAATTTATCACGTTATGAGTGTTGCAGACACAATAATCTAATCACTATATTACGTAAGTTTTACCTCTCACTTGCATAACACGATTTATAACTATTGATGCATTATGAAAGTTGCAACTTATCAGTTAAGGACCAAACCCAAACAAATCCTAATCGATTGGGGAAGGATCTTTGTTTTGTGATTGTGACCAACACATTATTGAGGCAAATGGGGGTGATAAATTCAAATGCAATAAGTGAAGAAGTAAATGGGTTACTTGTTTGGTTTGTGCTGGTTCACTTCCCTCAAACTTCGTCACTGTGTCAGTTTGCGAGTCATCTCATCAGAGTAGAGCACAGGAAAAGAATCCTGCACGTCATACTGACTTGCTTAACAGCAGACTGAGACACAGCCTATAATAGCCTCAATATTTGTTTTATTTCATTATAAAAATTTAATTAATTAATTAATTAAGCGACTTAAGGATATGTCAGAAATTGGGTCCATCGTGAATTGGGATTTTTTTGGGGCCATCGAGTCAGAAGGTCGTACTTTCAAATAATTGCTCCCGGGCAAATCGCCGAGCCTTTAATTGCCTTGAAGTTACCATTATGACCTTCACCTTTAACTTATAAAATAAATAAACACACTATGTTAATGTTTGGATGCTTCCATTTAGTCCTTGATTTCTCCAATTAGCTTCTGAAAAATGGTAACAAGCTTTTACTATTTACCCTCATCCAATTTTTTTTTCCTTCATTTATTAAAACTCTTTTTTCAAATTATTGCATTTTTTTCTTGTTAGTATAAAGAATAAGAGCATCCACAATATGAGGGTGTATAAGGGAGTGTATGCTAAATATACACATTTTGTTAAATTTATTTGGAAAAATTAAATAAATCTAACACGCACAAAAATTTAATTTAAAAAACTTACAAACAAAAAAAAAAAAAAAAAAAAAAAAAAAAAAAAAAAAAAAATCACAAACAAATCGAATACGCATATTTGAATTTACATCGTTTCTCATTGGAACAAAAAACGTATTTACACTATTTGGATGTGTAAAGGGGATATAAAAGTAGTTTTACATCCCCGAAAATACACCCCCCCACTGTAGATGCTCTAATACTAATTGCTAGAGAAAAATATACGTACACTTATTATATGAGTTGATCAAGTGATGAGTGTTACAGAGAAAAAGAAACATGTATATCCTCTTATAGTTACGTTTTTTGGCATGATCATATGTTGTTACGACCAATCTAATCTAATCTAATCTACGAATAACTAACACATTTCTAAGATAGATGGAACCTACTTAAAAGTTATAAGGGCTCACATGAGAAGGCCTAAAAATGATTTCAAAGATAATTTTATTGATACTTTGATAGATGTGTGATTGGTTTCACTCACTTTATGTGTTTGTTGTGTATATAAATCTCCAGAGTTGAAGCCAGGCAAACTACCCAGGTCATGATTTATGGGAACTTGGGCTGCATGGTAACAGATTAAAAACATAAAAAGAAGGTACTTTAACAAGTAAAACTGTAAAAGAGCCAAAACCCAAAATTTATAAAATTAAAAAAAGAAGAAGAGAGTGAGTGTTCTGCAAAGATTTAGAATAGAGACGAATTAGCATTCAGCAGCGGCCTCCCTCCTGCTTTGCATCTCGTGAAGTCGTGTTTAATAATAACCACATAACGTAATCTCCTGCGGGGCGGTGTTCCCATGTGCTTATTAACTTTGTTTTTTACTTATTACTTTTTTAGATTAATCTAACATTCTTTTTTGGGTTTTCACCGCTGCGGCTGGTTTTTGAGTGGCCCGGTTACAGAAACTTTAGGTCACCCGTACGATCACACACGCACAAAATCACAGGATTTTTATTTATTTTTTACTTTGGTCCAATCCGGCCTATAATGGTTTTTGTTTTTTGAGTGTGTTACCGACTTGCCATATACAACAGACGCACACAAGAACTTCTCCCTCCGGTAGGGTCTGGGTTAATTTAGAAGTTCAGAACCTATCCTCCATGGTGGGTTCACTTCTGGTGGGTTAGAAATAAGTTTCCTGCTTTTAGGTTGATACGTGTTGGGGTTTTCGTTTCTGTAAATTGGCATTGGGTTTTACCTTTCATTCTTTTTTCTATTTCATTAAACTCGCTGCTAAGTAAATTGGAGGAAGAAAAGTAATGAATATGTTACTAAGGGCGAGTTTGACATTGATGTGCTATGAAAATAAATTTGATATGAGATAAATCAATTGTGAGATAAAGCAATTTGGCATTTGATAAACTTTTTATTATAAGTGTAGCAATTTTTAACAATAAGTGATTTTTTTTCATAATTTACCAAACGAACTGGGTTTTCCAAATTTTTTTAAAAAATCACTTATCACCCCATTGCACATGATTAATAGTCTAAAATGCTCTAATGTACGAAAACGAAGATTATACTCATTTGCAACCATGAAGAAACTGCCTGACTAATTGGTCTAACTCACATACATAGTAAAGTGGTCAAACTTGTGAATTGTAATTGGAAAGTGCACCTCTGCAAATCATAAAAAGAACAGAAGTACAGTATTTAGAGCTGAAAAGGGTAGTCAATAATTGAACTACGTAAATGTTCATCCATCAGTGTGTAGTCAATATCTACACATTGAATAAAATTGAAAGATTTTTCGTAGTAGGAAGCTTTTAAGTTCGATTCCTGCCCCTTCCCCACATCTTTCAGTTGCAGGTTCCTTGTGTAATAATTGTCACTGTATAAACAGTATCCCATATTCCCATTAATGAGCTTGGATGAAAATATATCCATCTCCTTAATGTTAATAATAATAACGCTTATCAATCCACAGGTCACACTAACCCAAGAAAGAACCAAATATGTACTTGGGTAATTTATATAAAATCTCCCACATAAATTTATGTACACCCATTTTGCTCTAACTCATGACACGGAAGAGTTGATATAAGAATTGGTGTGTGTAGTATTACTCGATATTCAACCTTTGATCAATATTTTGGTATTACCTTTTCAATTAAATATATCTTTGCATTGAATACAATCAACTTAAAATAATAATAAAAAACTTTACAATAATGGGAAGGAATCATATTCCAACTCGAAGGAATTTACCCATGAGCTCTTACCTGTATTGTAAGGCAATGCATGCTGATGTTGAAATAGGTCAAAAGTAAATATCAGTGGTTAAAAGTCCACTCAAGTGAATGGCACCATCATGAAATTCAAGCGTCCATAGGATGATGCTTTACCAGGTTTTTCGGAGCAGCCTTATTGAGCCAATGACTGCATCTTGAATCTTGATTGAACCAGTAAGTTACTATGTTAGTTTTTCTTAATCTAAAGTTTCTATCTGAATAGGGATGCAGAATCCAATCAATTGATCGACGAGGCTTTCCTGAAAACATCATGCTGATCAAGCAACGAGATATGTTCAGGAGCCAACATCAGTGCACTACTACTTAAGTAGTGTGGAGCAACCCTCCTCCTGCATCAGAAAATCATGCAATTATATTAACTTCTGCAAGGGAATTGACAATCTTTATTTGAAAGGCTGCAAGGAAGTCAATTTGACGTCGAAAGTTCATACCTCCTCCTTCTGGTGGTCTTCTCAAAGCCTTGTGCTAAACGAGAAGTTTCTGATCTTGAAATATGGCGCAGTGAAGAAAGATACTCATGGATTGCACCACCTTTCAATGTCGAGTACATTCTGGAAGGTACAATGGACTGAACAACATCAACTACACCTGACTTGATTTCACTGCATTGCAAACACCAGGAGTAAATGGGTATCAGTGTATCTGGCATGCCAAATGTATCTTTAAATGTGTTATAAGACAAATGTTTACAATTAATGCTACATTTGATACCGAGGTTTTGGTTTGAACAATCTATGGATGGTATTGTAGAGACTAGGTGCATCTATATACAACATACTTGAGAAGTACTACGATATGTATAGAGAAAACGGTCACGAAACTTGACTTAATTTCTTTCATCTCTTCTTCTCTTCAATAGAAATGGAGATAAAAGAAGAAGCCCTTTTAACTAGGTAATATTGATAAGGAAATGAACAAACGGAAAGTTTGAAGCTGTGAATTTCAAAACAATTTAAGAGGATGACTAGTAAAAGCATTTCGAAACGGCATTGTATGCGTACTGGTTTTCATACAGTTATCAACAGCAAGGAAGTTGAGCCAAATACCTCGTCACATTTGGCAGGGTCCTCTCTGAATTTCGTCCAGCATATGAAGTCTTACTTGTTCTCATCCCCTGCCCAATTAACTTACCTAATGCCATCATACTAGCTGTGTTAGCCAACATCTCCGAGGCTAAATCCACCCTCACACAACCTTCTTTTGATTCTACAGAAGAAATGCCTTTTGCATAGAAGCAAAACCCATGTTGCCCAATTGTGGATGCCAGCCGTAATTGCTCATCATACCAGCTGGATGCATCTGACTCCTCCAAAGGGATCATTGATGGTTCCAAAGAATCCTGCACAAACAATTAATTGCCATCATGACCCAAAGATGCATAATACAAATGATCAAATATCCAACCAAAAAGTATTGACACTTACACTTATTAGTGATTGGCATCTAGAAAACAATACATCAGTTTCTGAGATCAAATTGCTCATTCTATAGGCAAGCATAACAATCTGACAAGCATCTTGTTGTTCTAATGCAATATACTGCCTTAGCTCACTGCAAGAGCCACGAAGTTTGTCCCATGAATCTTGTACAAAATCAGTCACCACCAAGGAGTTTTGCCCCTGTGCAAAGTTGGAGCACTTAATAAAATCCATACGGCTACACTCATCCATCACCTGATAAGCTCCTGCAACAGTCTCCGTATGTTCATTCTGAGAATCGTCCAACTCCTGATGAGAAGATTCTGCAATTGCAGCACAATTATTTCCCCATGTATCAAAATTCCTCTGTAATCCTAACTCCAATTTATCAAGATTATTTCTTTCAACATGAAATTCCTCACATGAAAATATTTCTTTTATGGTGTTGGCAACATGGTCAGAAGTTACTGTGTGAGAAGATAACTCTGTTCCATTATCCATTTCAGTTTCAGGAACATAAGTTGATTCTGGCACACAAGATATATCAATTGAGTTGCACATCTCACTTATGTGCATTTCGTCTGCAGTTTCTAAACATTGACAATGTCCTTCATCTATATTAGCCACTCCAGAACAACGTAGCTCCTCAGATGAGGGATTAACTCCAAGGACGTCGTTGTTAGTATCTTTATCTGTAACTTTAGGATATCCATTGTTGATAAACTCGTCTTCAGAATCAGAGGACATTACAACATCATGCATTTTCCGAACATATCGCCGACAGAAGGAAAATGGGGCACCTGAATTGTTGGGAAACTCAGAAGCATCATCAGTTTGAGCTTTATATTCACTGGAGTCATGAACAGAGCCATTCCTGCTCAGCATTGCTACCTTCTTGGCCTCTATGCTTTCCACCTCATTACAAGGCATGTTGAAACTGTATTGCACTTCTGTATTGTCAAGTTTTTCTTCAACTACCTTCATTGAGCTTGAACTTTCTTCCATCATGGATAATGCCTTGGTTATCTCTTTCTCTACTAAATCAGATAACTGTGAAGGTATATCCCAGGGTAACATTTTTGGCAGCATCAGATGGCCAGCCTCAACATCGAACAGCAGGGACCCATACATCTCTTCCATTTTTGTATCTGCATAGACAAATCTATGATTGTTTTTCCTTTCTATATGAAAACTCTCAAGAAAGAAAATTATATTGGCCAAAATAATAAATGGGAAGAATCATGTGTATGTCTATTAATCTGTTACAGCAAATTCAAGTGTCCAACTTATATTCTAAATAGAGAAATTCACTCAAGGAAACGTCTATTGTCTTGAATAAATGGTGAAACCAACATACATTCACGTTTCATAAGTTTGCTTCTAAATAAATTAGAGGTGAAAGTCATTCTTAAAATCCACCCCCTCCATTTTCCTTATTTGATACTCCTCGATCACTTTCTTTGCAATAAAACCAAATCTAGAACTTGTCTATCCTTAGCGAAGGGGAGGACTGTGAAGTTACTAGTAGAACTAGTTTCTCTAAGGATTCTAGACAGTAATGTAATATATTGATTTAGTTCTTCTTGAGAAACTAGATGTGGTCAGCCCATAACAGGTGGATCCTCTTTTTCCTCCTAACCTTATTATCTTGTCTCATTCTTCTATGTAGATGTCATCTGTATAATAAACAACTCATGTCAAGTGCTACAGAAGTTAATTCATATGCCTAAAAGTTGCATGGCTGTTCACAGAATTCTACAAAATCTTAACAGAACAGTTTGAAATATATAGATCTAACTACAAGTAACATTGTATGTCTAACCTTTTCTAAAACTTCTACCCTGGCACCAGAACTGAAGATGCATAATAATTTTTCGTATATCTCCCCGACAGCACTCAATAAGTCGCTCAAGTAAATAAGGTTGTATGTTGGCTCTCTCCGCAGCACAAACCTGCAGAACAATAACAGAATGAGTTTAAAAACATATAGATTTCAAGAGTTCCACAATGGGAAAGTTGATCCAGCAAATGAAGCACATACCATATATGCATGGGAATGCAGCGCCTTTGATGATGGCAACATGAAATGCACTTTTAGTCTGTCAAAATTGTCTGGCAGGACCGGATTTTGACCTAGAATTACCACAATTACAATAAGCCCCCTTATATTTCAAAAAAAATAAATTCAAGGAGTGCAACTCTTTCAACCAGTAAACCCTCTTACTATTGCTGGTCAATATTATAGGCCCCTTGGCTGTTTTAGCTATCTGTTGAATTGCTGCAAGAAAACCACGATCTTCAAGAAAAGTGATGTCTACATCCTCAAAAAGTATAAGATGTTTAACTTTGCTCTGATCCTCCTTATAGTCAGATTTTACAGAGGTTTCAGTAGCATCATGAGAATCTTCATCTGATATGGGTATCAATTCAACGACCTCATCATTAAACTCAAGGTCTGTCATACCATTAGCCTCAACAAACAGAGATTTCACAATATGTTTGTTCTGTGAACCCATAGGATTTGCCACTGATCTGAAAGAAAGAAAATTATTAATTAATATTTTTCAAATCATCGTCAACAAATAATGATGAAGGCCAACTATCAACATGATTTACAAGCAAAAGTTCACAATGGCAGGCAATCTCTTATTAAAACATATTTTTCTTTCTGACTAAATATATCAAATATATTCTGAAAAGATACATTCATTAAATATGCAACATAACAAAGAATTTCCAGAACAGACAAGAAGCTAATTTAGGAAATAAGAAAGCCCAACCACTGATAAGACATCGTAAATGCCCTCAAACCAAACTGAATGTTTTCAAAGGAAAAAGAAAGAGTACAAGCATCGTCACTACTTCCGACAGAAAATTTCTAACTTGTTAAGAGTCTCCCCCAAGCGAAAGTCCTATTTCACAAATCAAATTATCAAAACGCAATGCCTTTGTCAATAGACTCACTCTAAAAAATCAGTTATGACGGGACAAATTAGTAAGAACTCTATGTAAGGATCTTCAAACAAATATATCAATCTCAGTGGCAAAAAACCAAAGGACACTGTGATCACCACCAAAGACAACAAAGTGGTGAATTTTGCCACTCCTATTTTGGTTGATGAATAATCATACAGATGCAGTAGATAAATTTGCATACTGGGCATTAGCAGCTTTGGAGTTGGAATTTGGAAAGTAAGCTTTTCTGTAGGATTTATGAAGGACAACCAGACAAGCATTTATTTCTTAGTTATCACACTCACAAAGTTGAGGGCAATCAAGGCTTTAGAATATAAACATCAAAGGGTGATCTTAATGGTTCTGGGACTGAAAAACTTCCTTGGACATAAGAAACATGGAAATCAAGGAAGTATATTGCTTCAATAAAAGGCAATCATCCAGCTAACAAATGTGCAAAACGAAAAAGAAAAATAAGTAAACAAGCACTTCTAAACATAAAAAGGCAAACCTTCTAAGATGGCGAGATTTCAAAGCCTCTCCAAACCTCTGTTTCACAAGTGCTCCATTCCGACACTCTGATGCACTGAGCTGGTATGACAACATATAATCAAATATAGTGTCAAAACTATCAAAATACAAAACAGATAGTGTCTTAAACACAAGTCATTAGAGAAGGTGGAAAGGATGAGTTATCAATAGGATTATGAAAATATATTGTCAAGTTCAACTGCATGTATTAACCAAAACAGAAAAAGAAGAAAATGTCTTGTGAAGGCAGGATGAAACATTTAGGAAATTTCCCCAAGTTCGACATACATCAGCCAGAAGGTTAATTTCGTTGTTTGGATGGGACGCTAAACTTTCTTCTTCTTTTTTGTCTGAACAGTAAACTTTACTTCATCGAAAAATGACCTAACCACAAGCATCATTGTCACATGTTCTTACATCCGACTGACAGCCATCTTGATATATTTCTAGATATAAAGATGGTTAGTTTATTATAAGGAAAGACAAATGGGGTAAACCAAAACCATTAAGGACGTCTTCTCTCAAAATCCCAAATTCTAGTCATAACTCATCCAATGATCCAATCTTTACAATTAGATGTAAATCTTACACTTAATTTTGGGACTGGATATCCACAAACTGACATTCCATGGTCAAACATGAAAGTGGCATCTAGAAAGCGGTAAGAACCAATGAAACCTTAAGTATATGACAAGGTGGTCAGCAGATTAGATGAAGAGTACTTTAGGCTGACTTGACAATATGCTATTGTTTATCTCTTATTAGTACTATGGATACCACACCACAACTAACTCTCTCTCTTTCTCTTTTAATCAGCATGATTATGATAAATTATCACAACAAAATCTCGGTCCAATCAACAGTTAAATACATGCCAGGATATGAAAAATCAATAATAGTTTAATAATGGAGAACTGCACTATCTTCAGCAACAAGCATATTTAAATTTTTTTACCTCCAAAACCTTAAACCCTTGCTCTTGTGCGCAAGCATAGATAGCTGCAGACTTTCCACTCTGCAAGATGAGAAACATACACTTTACCCACAAAAATTTAACCAAAAAGCATCAGCATAGAATTTGTCTTTTTTGTATGCTTAATGAGTTTTGTGATGGTAGCAAAGCCACCTCATGGCAAATGTTGAGGGTAAAGATGAAACTAGGATCCAGAATAAAGATGCTAGCCCCCAAAACAATATTACTAGAAGGATTATCCGCAAAGATAATATCAGTTCAGACACAAGAAAAGATGAATTAATTAAAGGCCCCATAATGATGCATTTGGATATTCGGTGGCAAAAAATCATGAATAGAAACAAGAATTAGGTCACAAATTTCAAGTGGATCAATGGGATAATATAAATTTGTATATACCCCAATTGGCCCTGTAACTAGGAGAACATTATTTTTCTTCATGCTAGCCTCTTCATTTTCGCTTTCTAAATCAGAGTCACTTTGGGAACATCTATAGTCATTATATTGCCTGTCACAGTTACCACTACCAGTGGGATCTTCACTGGCTCGAAAATCTCTTTTGTACCAAAGACGAAGCCACTCGCTCAAAAAATTCACAGATTCATCGTTACCACATACCTGCAGGATCATGTCATTAGAAGATCAGAATCAGAGTGATAATGGGAAATCGAAGGGACAAAGGCATTTTCTTATCTACATTTAGGAAGAAAAAAAGAAGTCTGACAGTAGAAACTTTAAAGTGAACGGGACTTGTATGTCCATAAAGAATATATGGGTCCCAGATTTCTTACATCCCTAGCCTTCATTGGACGGTACTTGTATGTCCATAAGCAATCCTTAGGCTGATTACCACAACTGGAATAGTTTGACATTACCCTGAAATTTAATGAACTAATAAAGTGAACAAGATTGCAACATATATAGATAGGTTAATCTCAAACTAACGCACAGGTTTTGAATTGATATTCGTATTGCCTCTAAATGAGCAGGTGCAACTTGAGACAACGGAGCATAAAGATATTGGTGAACTAAAAATATCCCAAGCATAGTGAGGAAGAAACCTTTATTTAATTATGTAACATTTCGATTTAAACAATTACTACAAAATTCTAATTCATAATAGAAATTCCAAGACAATTCACATAGGAAACCTTCAACCTTTCCTCGAGAATACTCTGCTGCTCAATATCTGACGTGTTCATGTAAGCAGTATGTTCAGAAAGCAAACCAAGTTTAACGACCCCATTATCCTGACAAAAGTAAGAGAAAATTGAATTGGAATAGAGTTCCTTAATTAATGTTATTCAGATAGGTGGTGAAATATGTACCTCCTCTTCCCTTGAGTGATCTGCTTCCTTTAAGTTCTGATAGCACATCACTTGCCCGTCAACTAAGAAGTCAGGGACTGTTGTTGATGTTTCATGTGCACATTCTTGTTCAATGAGACACTGATCTAAAGATACCGTGTTCCGAAAAGTTGATGCTTTACAGGGTTGGAAAACAGTGGGAAGCTGGTCAAATTTTAAGCACTCAACAGAGCCTTCAAAAATTGAAGAGGGCATATATTCCAGATCAGGACTACTTTTCATAGAGGGTTCCTCACAAAATGTCCAGTTTCTCCAATCAAGGAACACAGCATCATCCTGCATAGCAGAATTTTAAGGTTCATCTTAGATGAGAAAGATAGGTACAAACAATAAAACCCAAGAACAGCTAATGCCATATCTACCCCATATTGTTATACAATGTGCACATGGATAATCCAAAAGAACCGTACCTGAGTCCTTTCAAACACGTGAATTGGGCCACAAGTATTCTCTTTATCCTTACTTCCAATGAAGCTTGAATCACCATCAACTTCAATTGCCTCCCGATTTTTCTTGCTTGCTTTACAATATGAGAAAAATGGATGTATTTGCTTCCCTGAGAATATCCGTGACGTTTCCTGATCAAACATAAAAAGGAAGAAACTTAGAGCGACAAGCCAAACACCAAAGCTGGCACAAAAAAGGAGCTACTAAGTGCTTTTTTCCAGTCACAGGCATAGCTAATAAGCCCAATTTACAATGGAACAATCCAACCACTAAAATAACAAAGATTATAAATTTAAGGAATTAGTTGGGGTTTGATGCTGATTTGAGTTGAATGGATAAAATTTAATCAGGAAGAGCATGAAGTAAATTGTAACTGGCAGAAACAACAGAGCAGTTAAGAAAACTAAATAGTACTAGAAAAGAGACTCATTAAAAACAAAGAAAAAGAAAACAGAATGACTGACCTCGGCTTTCAATCTAGCCTCCAACCTCAAATCAGGGATTATTACTGGAGCTGCAGTTTCACTCTCTACCTCAGTTGCATTCTTCTTCGGTGTACTATTCGCCGAACGCTTACCGTTCTAAAATTAAAAACAATCACGCCAACAATTTGATTCATTAAAAGAACTATTAACCTCAAACTCAATCAAGCAAGGCAAATAATGTACCATACGAATCAGAATAAAGTTCAACAAGAACCAAAAATTGCACATAATTCACCTTCTTAGGAGCTTTAATTGGAGGCGTTTTCTTTGCCTTTGACTTCCTCTTCCTCTTGCTTTGACTCCCACAGAAATCCTCGTCCTCGCCGTCATCGTCTTCACCATTACCTCTCTCGGCCTTCAGATCGCCGTCTTCCTCGAGCTGTTGTTGGGGTTTGAGAGGGAACAATGTGGACTGAACCAATCTCCGGCGAACGACTCGCCGTGTCGGCGTCGAAGGCGGGGCGTTCTGAGCTGAATTGTCCATAGAATTGGAGTGGATTGGGAATTTGGGATGGTGGGTGAATTGGGGTTTTGTGGGGGGGTTTTAGGGATTTTGGAGAATACCGGTAAGAGTCTATGTGTGTAACGGAAACGTGATCTTACAGTGAGGGAAAAAAGGAAAGGCAAAAACAAAACAAAAAATTATGGAGGGAAAAGGAGGTTGTTCCCGCCTTTAGAGGAGGGATTTGGGTGATCACGCTTAGATATTTGATATTTAATTTCATTCAAATTACACATTAAATTGTTGTTACAATTTTTTTTTTTAATTAAATTGTTGGTAATTAATTCTCATTAAACAGTAAAAAGATTGTGGTTATTGTCTATGTTGGTTAGGCAAGTTGACCATGATAATAAACGGGTCTCCTTGAACTAAAGTTTGAATCTCTTTGCTAACGGATTTAGTTTAGTAAAAAATGGTATTGATTTGCAAACTAGTGGTCTAATGTTCGAACCTCCATGATACCGTGGCAGCGTGTCTGTTTGAGAAACCCCCCTTCTCTTCTAATTTAGACTATCGTTTGTACTAAAAAAAGAAAGTTATAATCTTTTTTTTTTATTTTTAAAGATTATATTAATTAATCTAATCCAAACTATCGTTTGTAATAATCTACAGTATAATATGACTTTGAATTTCTAAGTAGTGACCTTTTTTGTCTGGAAAACGAAGTAGTGACCTTTAGATTAAGGTCAAGTCATGTAGTATTTTTATCTAAAATGCCCTTAATGTATAGTTGGGAGGGAGCCATTACACTGTAATTTTTTTTAATTCTTGCCATTAGATTTCAAAATGTACTTTGGCTACTACATGACTCGTTTTCAATTGATCCAATTAGAAGATTGTTGGAACAAATGATTACTTAATAGTATATAATATGTAAATTGTTATTTTTTATAAATTAGTAGAGACAATGAAGTATATGAACCATTTTCAATTATTGGCAATGAATATTGGTATTTATTACTTCCATAATTATTTGTAGTTTATTCAAATTGTACCCCGTTTCAAATGTTCAAAGATGCATTTTCTTTTGGTATGGTATTTCAAAATTGCATACTTTTTATATTAACGGTGTCTCTTTAGTTCGTAATTGAAACAATCGTCTCTATCATGATAAAATAAGAGCACCTGGCTTTGCCTATTTACAAAGACTTCATTTTAAGACAAATTAAAAACCGTTTCGACATCCAATTGTATCATACAAAATTAATGAATACGGTGCTTCAAGAAAGTAATAAAATTTATATAACACAATTGAGTGGTCAAATGATATCGGATTCAAGTAATTTTTTGTAGGGATGATATTTGAATGATTATATAAAACATAGACGGTTTGGATTAGTGAAATACAATGCATAATTGGCCCTACAAGGGTGTCCCTCAAATAAACTAATTTGATAAATTTCTCAATAGAAGCTCTTTATGTGTGTGTGTGTGTATATATATTATTGCACCATAAACCCTAAACTTTCAACATTTATTCACCGTAATGGTATACATTTTCAATGCATGTTTGTACTTTATTATTATTACTACCGTTTCGACATTTTCAATACCCTAAACCCTTCTGCGCCTACGAGAGGTTTTTTAAAAAATAAAATAAAAAAATTTAGAATAAAAAAAGATAATGAGTTGTTGTGTTCCATAAAAATAGGATCCATCATTTAATTTTTCTTTTAATTTTAATATAAAAAAGTGTGAATTTACCATATTATCATTATTTAATTGATAATTTCAATTTTTAATGTTCTAATGACATTTTATGGTATTTTGAATGTTTTACCATTCTATGACTTTTACTTTATATATATATATATATATATATTAATTTTTAAAGATGGCTATTATTTTATATATATATATATATCTGTGCAAAAGACGATTCACGGAATGTTCACTCAAACTCGAATACTCTACTTTTTTATTTTTAAATTAGAGTATTCCACCATTAATATTTTATCGCATGGTGTTCATTAATTTTTAAGTTGTGAGATTGGTACCCCGATGATAATAAGCAAAAACTACTAACATTGCACCACATATATACCAGCTACAAAAATATATTAGATACGATGAAACATTTTATACTTAACCATAGAAGATTAACCAAACTGTGTAGATTTGAATTTTCAAAATCTATTTTTCGTTTTTGGGTAAATTAATTTCAAATTGGATTGATGCTTTCATTGACGATTCCATAAATAAAAATACATGAGGCCCCAGTGTCAGCCTCAGGGCTTTCATATTTTATTGAGTCGCGACAAGCAGGCTCAAGGCCCACGACCCATTTAATATCGGGTCGGTTATCCGATCCAGATATCAACCATTGATGGACACGCGACTCACAAACACGCAGAATATGAAAGAAACTAGCCGATCCAATCACGTGAAACCGTGTCTTACACGTAACAAAATGCGCGTACATAATAATCCATTCCAAGTCCAACCAGCAAGAAAAGAAAACCAGAAATTCTTTCACTCATGTCTGAAAAAATGTCTGAAAAGCACCGGATAAAAACTCCATAATACAGGACAGTGGGGTCCAGTTGGATGCCAATAAATCTCAACAAGGGAAGCTGGAATTACCAAAAGACCCCCAATACTACAGTCCAAAAGTGGCGGGAATATTGCAGTAGTGGACAACAGCAGGGGCAACGATGGTAAACGAACGGCAAGTCCTTTGACGGGAACGACGTCGTCTCGATTGGCAACATTACTTTGCAAAAGGCAGAAAAATGGAGAAAAATGGTAGGTTTGACGAGGACAAATTGGTCCAGCAGAAAGTTATGTCCCAGGCTCCCAGCTCAAGAATCTGACTTGTGTCTGTACACATCACTCTATGCTTAATAGAAAACAATTGTCTTCTTCTCTATCTGTCAGCTTTCTTTGCCTCTGTGAAAACAACTTTCCCTTCTCCATCTCTCTCTCTCTCTCTCTCTCTCTCTGAGCTTCAGAGAAACCCAAAAACCCTAAACCCAGAACCAGAGGCCAGAAACCTACTTGAATATCCTTAAAATTTTCAGTTTTTAACCACTTTAAACGAAGCATTTTGGTGTCCAGCTTCCGCCATTGAAGAACCAGCTTTCCATTTGTTCTTCCAAGTATAAAAAAGTTAAGCGAAACCCAGAAGGAAAGACCCTAGAAACAAGAAAAACGCTTCTTTTTGCTAGTCGAAGCTTCATTCTTAAACCACTGCTAAACCCTTTTTCTCTTTTGCTCTATTGAGAGAGATAAATCCCAAAAATGGTGAATCAAAAACCTTTCCACAAAACCCACATCTTACTTTCTCTTCTAGTCTTCACCAATGTGGCTCTGCTCGTGACCTCCAAGTCCACAATCGAGCCCTGCGCGAACTCAGACTCGTGCAACGCCTTGCTCGGCTACACCGTTTACACCGACCTCAAGGTCTCCGAGGTGGCCTCGCTCTTCCAAATCGACCCAATTGCTCTTCTCACCGCCAATGCCATCGACATTTCGTATCCTGACGTCGAAAACCACATTCTCCCTTCCCAGCTCTTCCTCAAAATCCCAATCGTCTGTTCCTGCGTCGATGGAATTCGCAAATCGGTCTCGACCCACTACAAGACCCGGCCTTCCGATACGTTAGCCTCCATCGCTGATTCGATATATTCGGGTCTGGTATCTGCAGACCAGATTCGGGAGGCCAATTCCATTTCGGACCCTTCGGTTCTGGATGTGGGGCAGACTCTTGTGGTGCCTCTGCCCTGTACTTGCTTCAATGGGACTGATAATTCGTTGCCTGCTATCTACTTGTCGTATGTGGTGACCCCGGTGGACACTTTGGCTTGGATTGCGGCTAGGTACTCGACCACCCTTACTGATTTGATGAATGTTAATGCCATGGGAAGTACGGCCATTAAAGCTTCTGATATACTTGCAATCCCATTGCCTGGTAATTTCTGTTTTTGCTCATTTTATCAAGTGTTTGATATTGAAACGTAGTTTAAATGGGGTTTTCTGAATTGTTTCTTGTTGAATTTTGGTATGTTGAGTTGATTATGATGCTGCAGTTTGTGGGTACTTTGTGTTTTTGTAATTTTATAATTGTTCTGTTCTAATTTGGTGGTATTAGTGCTTCATGGTTTGATTACAATTGTTGCACTAATCGGGGAGTTTGTGTATGATAATGGGTTTTGATTAATTCAAAGTTCAAACAAATAACCGTATCATGAATTTTTGAATTTTTCCTTTTGGGTGGTTATGGTGAACTCATGTCTTGTTTGTCTGGATTTTGTTCCTCACAATTGCAGCTTGTGCATCAAACTTCCCGAGATATGCTGCAGATTACGGCTTAATCGTGCCCAATGGGAGCTATGCCATTACAGCAAGTCACTGCTTGCAATGCAGTTGTGGGCCTGGGAATCTCAAGTAATTGAGTTACTTTCACATCTATTTGCTCTCCAACTTCTCTGTTGATCTAGTGTTAATCACTTAATTGTGTTTTTATTTCTACAGTTTGTACTGCCAGCCTGCTTCATTAGCAGTTTCATGTTCGAGCATGCAATGTAGAAACAGTAACCTCATGGTCGGGAATGTTACAGTCCAGCAGAGTGGTGGTGGTTGCAATGTCACTTCTTGTAACTATGGTGGTTTTGTGAATGGCAGCATAATCACAACGTATGGTTATCCTTTCCGATTGTACTTTTCTGTCTTAATATTGTCATTCTGAAATGTATGAATTATGTTTTCATGTCAAACTGATTCCTTCCTACTTTGCAGGTTGTCTACATCTCTCCAACCCCGCTGCCCAGGTATGATGATAGATTCTGCTTGGCTAATTAGAAGACACATTAATATAGATATGACTTGCAATTTAGGTTTATGGATTTCCCAAGAAATATGAACGTGTCTATTTGGAATTGGTTCTCGTACTTTCTTAAACAGAACAAAGCTTTTTACCCTGTTTCTTTGTGAATATTTGGTGCATGCTTTTGATTCTTTTCTTTATAGTACTGTTAAGTGTCATTTCAAATTATGGACTGGTTTATTTATAGTTGGTTTTAAAGTGTTTAAGCGGATTGTGTATTACTTTCTATTTAAAATAAGGGCATAACGGTTCATATTAGAGACAGGAGAGTGATTTCTTTAGCTGAAAAAAAAGCTTCATGGAGCTAGAAATTTTGTTGTGATTAATTTGTAACTCAAGAAATGTACTTTGAAATGCAATGCAGGTGCACAGAAATTTCCACCACTTATAGCCCCACCTACTTCGGTAAACCGGGATACAACCTTTGCACCCTCACCTGCTCCCCAATCAGATGGCGCCGGAGGCACGGGGGCACCCAAGTCGTCTTCATTGGTACCTTCAACAACCAGCATGCTTCCAGGATTGGCCCCAATAGGTGGCCCTGCTGGGAGTGCTTCTGGGAGTGCTTCTGATGCCTGCTCCTTGATTAATCCATTGGCCAATTTTCCAACTGCAGTTTTGTTGCTTTTGTATGTCAAGTTCATGATGGCCATCTTATAATGATTTCGGTTTTGTGTTCTCGATGGTGGCTTCAATATTTGACGGGTGTGATTAGTCCGTTAACCTTATATTTGTTTGTACTGTTCAAACTGATTTTGTGGATGTGGCAAACCATCATGGGGTTTCAATTACTGATGGGTTTTGTTTTGCTCAACTGCCAGATTATGAAGCACTATGGGGTACTGGCAGTTGCCATCTCTCTAATCTATTATTGTTTTCACTTTCTAGACCCTCAAGATTTGCCTAGACTAGTTATCTTAAAAGTGAGCAGAAAAGTTAGGTAATTTTACATGTCCTAATTCTGACCTATTTTTTCACTCTTTCTCACCACCACAGCCTATTTTTTGTATGCACATTATTATTTCCTTTTAACTATTTTTTCACATGCCCCTAACTCATTTTTTTCACTCTTCCTCATCACCATAGGCTTAAAACAAAATGTCTAGAGGTTATAATCTTAGTTAAAAGGAAATAAATGCTATATATTTTGCATGAAAGATTATCTGCTTATATATATAAAGAATTTTTCTTTCCGTATACAAAGGAGATCCAATTAATGTATGCCTTACAATACTCTTCCACGAATGAAGAAGAAAAACAAAGAACCTAGCTAGCTACAATATATTGAACATCGTCCTTGTCACAAAAGGCATATGCGAGAATGAGCACAGTAGCTGCAAGAGCTTGCAAAAGAAACCATAACCAATACGCTATCACCTCTCTCTGCCAAGGAAATCCACGAGACAGAACCTTTGTCGCAACGGAGACGTCGTACTGTGGATACAATAGGGTTTGGAAAGCCGGATCGAAGAAGTCCTCAACCCCATGAACAATGAGTCGTCCGTTGTTGTAGACATCCCATTCAGTGATTTTGACTCGGTTAATAGAAGCGTATGATGCACCCGTACGGGTTGGTAAGGAAGTAACAACGAGAGGATGACCGGGCAAAAGAGTGCGAACATTGGAACCATGACCAACATACGCCTCTATTGTATCTCTATCGAACTTGAATGGCACAATGTGATACTTGAGGAGTGTCAACGGAGGCTGTGGATACTTGGGGTTGAAGAAAGCTTGGTCTCGAGGACAAAAGAGGGTAAAGTGGTGTTGGTGTGGTTTAGGGATTGTATTGCTGGCATGATCACGGCCTCAAGAATGGTGTCTAGGGTTAGTGACATGGCATGATAGCCCTTGTCAGAGAGTACGGCTGATGGTTTGGGTTGGTGTGTTTGCTCTACAGCTTGACTGGTACTGATAACAAATAAGAGACTTGAAGAGAAAACAAGAAGGAGAAAACAGATTGAAAACTTGATGGAAGCCATAGGAGAAGACAAAGCAAAAGCAAAGGCAAAGCAATGTGTAATTGCAAGGGATTTTGGTGTGAATGGAAAGGCTGAGGCTAAGCGCATATATATATATATATATATATATATATATACAGTTTCCAAATCCTACCCTGCTTCTAATTGGTTTCCAAATCCCTTTAGGATTCCTTTTTCTTTGCCGAAAAATGGATCACCTGCGCTACTTGAGTTGAGATAATGATTTGGCCCTTGGCAGTTTCCTTTTTTCTTGGGGTTTTTTCTTTAAGGCCAAGTTACTTGTTCTTTCCTAAGCTGTGAAGGACTATCGATGCATATCCTACTATGTTGGTTTCATTTGTTTTGAGTTTCTCTTATTTTTCATTTTAAAATGCAATTTATAATTTGCTTTAGCAGTTTTTTAAATTAGTTTGTTATCCACGGAAAGTTGGTTTACAGATATACAAAAAATAAGGTCTGCCTATGTTATGCGACTAACTTAACGAAACGCTTAACATAATTAACGAAAATGACAAAATGAGACTTGATGATAAAATTCAACGATTTTTTATTTTTTATACATATAAAATTGAGTGAGTTAAATAAGACAAATTGAGCTTTAGGAGTAAAGTTAGATTCAAGTCATCCTAGTATGTATGTTTCTTTATTATTATTATTATTTTTTGTCGGAATCGAGTTTCATTAAATAGAAGGTCAAAGCCAGATTACATCAAAATGAACTCAAATAATTGAGTTCACACCAAATGCAACACAAACAGACATAGAACCCACTACAATAATAAAACTAACAAAATGCATAAAACACACATAAAGGCATTACGCCCACATGACGGAAAAGGCCCACAAACGGCAAAAGCCCACAAAACACAATACAACATTAGGAAACCCTAACACAAATAACATATATGTGCCGCAGAAACCAACAACCACAAGCCGAGCCACCAAAGCAAGCCGACAACCACCAAAGATAAATTAGTAACCAACAAAAAATAGTGGTGAGTAAGTCACCTAAGCTACAACTAGTAGGAATGTTTAGAATGGTTATTAGTTCAAGGATCTAAGCTACCACAATAAGGGGAGAATGTACTAATTTGATGATGTGAGATGCATTTGGATAAGTGCAAATTTACATAAATGAGAAATCGTAGTATGAGTGGCAAAACAGTAAGGGTTAACTGGTGATTTGACCCTAAACTTGTACTTAGGTTTTGATTTACCCCATATCCTTTTTTTTATTTAGAAAATTAAGAACCCGAACTCATTTTTTTTTCGCCAATTTGCCCCCCAACGTCAAAATATGCCACTTCCCATCCATCCTACCGTCAAGTTGGAGGTTACTTTTGTCATTTCGCTTATCTACCAAAACACCAACTTGATGACATAATGGATGGGAAGTGGCATATTTTGATGTCGGGGGGAAAATTGGCGAAAAAATTAGTTTGGGTCCTTAATTTTCTAAAAAAAAAAAGAAAAGATAGAGGGTAAAACGAAATTTAGGTACAAGTTCAAGGGGCAAATCACCAGTTAAGCCAAACAATAATTAACCCAAAAAAAGAAATTATACAACTCCCATCCAAACGTCAAAATATGCCACTTCCCATCCATCCTGCCGTCAAGTTCGAGGTTACTTTTGTCATTTCGCTTCTCTACTAAAACACAAACTTGATGACAGAGTGGATGGGAAGTGGCAGATTTTGACGTCGGGGGGCAAATTGGTGAAAAAAATTAGTTTGGGTCCTTAATTTTCTAAATAAAAAAAAGATAGAGGGTAAAATGAAACTTAGGTACAAATTCAAGGAGCAAATCACCAGTTAAGCCAAACAGTAATTAACCCAAAAAAAGAAATTATATAACTCCTAAACGTGATTTTGAAATAAAATAATAAACAAAATCCTAAATATAATTTCTCACGCCCAAATGCGACATTCAGCTTGAGATTGAAAGCGGTGTCGTTTGAGTAAATTCCCAATCGCCGAAGCCCAAAGTTCCGGCGCGAGGATTTAACCAATAACATAACATAGCACCAGTGATCAGTCAGTGCTCATCAGACAGCGTAGAAACGCACGCAACTCAGCTATGGCTTCTGCTCCTTCAAAGCTCTATGCTGGTCTCTCTCTCTCTCTCTCTCTCTCTCTCTCTCTCTCTCAATCTTCACGGAGGCACATTTCATTGTTAGCCTTTAAGCGTTTGATTGTGTTGTTGCAGATGATGTTAGCCTTCTGATGGTTTTGCTCGACACGAACCCTTTCTTCTGGAGCTCATCTTCCCTCCCATTCTCCGTGTTTCTCTCCCATGTAATCTCACCCTTTCACTACTAAACCCTAATCCCCTGTTGGGTTTCTCAGAAGAACGTAAAAGTTTCATTCTTTTTAAGCGAATTTAATTTCCCCATTATTAAATCAGGGCTAAGTGTATTTTCAATCCTTGCGATTGTTTTACAGGTGCTTACATTTTTGAACTCGATTTTACTACTCAATCAACTCAACCAAGTTGTGGTTATTGCTACGGGATACAATTCCTGCAGTTACATCTACGATTCTTCTACCTCCACGAACCAGGGTTCTGATAATGGAAGAATGCCTGCGCGGTGTGTTAACTTGTTGCAGAAGCTGGAGGAATTTGTGATCAAAGACGAGCAATTGATCAAAGAAGGCTTGAGAGAAGGGATTGCTTCTTCGCTGCTATCTGGGTCCTTATCAATGGCTCTTTGTTGTATCCTTTATGCCAGTGCTTGTTTTAAGTTTGGGTTCTTGGGTATCTAACTGAAAAAACCCCATTGTGTGCTAATGGCATTTGAGAATGCACTGAGTATTTAAGTAGATTTCTTATTTTAGAATGCTGGTCCCGTGGCAATGCTTATTGCAGATATAGGAATTGTGTTGGAGCTAGTACATAATATCTGAGCTATTTTATTTTGTGGGAACATTTAAGTGCATCCACGCAAACTTTGTTGACTTATATTTGATGGGTAGATATACAGAGAGTTTTTCGATCTGGACCGCTTCATCCTCAACCCCGGGTGAGTATCATAGTAGTTTGTGTATAAACTATACAGAAGTTTCTTTGGCTGGTCAATGGTGCATCATTAGATAATTCTCAAATGTATTATCGGACTATGAAATGTAATTGTTTTATTTTTCTTGGATGACTTGCATTATAATCTGGTTAGTACTAAACATTGATCATGTATTGTAACTGCTTTGCTGTATTTCTTACATTTGTCCTTGTTAAGACATTTTAAGACCAATCAATTTGATTCGTATTTCTCTGTAGCTTGTTCAATGTAGTTTTAGTGAACTTATGTCCTAGCTGATGCATGATAATTCATCTTTTTTCCTACCCAAAATAGTTCTGCAATATAAAGGAGTTCAATTGAATGCCTTCGAAAACACAGGTAGGTGCAGATGATCAACATACTTGCAAGTGAAACTGTTAATAACCAAAGCACGGGCTAAATGCAAATCTCTAAGCACATTAGGTGCAAATCATCAACATAATTGCAAGACGTGGATTAAATGAAATTCTTGTTAGATGGTGGCTATTGAAAGCATGTACCTATTCTCTAGATATTAGACTGTATTGTGAGACAATCTTCACTGTTCCCTTCAAAGATATCAAATCCTCTATATTTTTGGTTATTTCTATCAATACATTAGAGTATCCTTTGTGAGATGTTGGTGATTCTGACAAGATGAAACAGTTTCTTAGTGTCCAATGTTTGACATCATAGGAACTCATCATGCTATCATTTTGGCTTGCAAAATGGATGTATGCGGCAGTGTATATATATTTTTATTATACTTTAAATTCCTTTCACAAATGGATTAGCTTTTAGTAGTGTTACTAATATATGAGATGCAGATTTTATGCTTGCAGGGATCATCGGATGGACCTGAACAGTAAGTTATTTCTGGTATTTTGCATTTTTTGTGTTCTTTCCCACCAAAACTCTTACAGAAGTTTCTTTTAATGTCCTTTCAGATATGTTGCAATCATGAATGCCATATTTTCTGCACAACGGTCTATGGTATGCAGTTGATCCTTTTCCTGTTCCTGAAAAGCATATAAATTTTTGTTTTTTTGTTTTTTGGTGGTATACTATTCTTCACTGTCAAATGCGTCCTTCTAGTGATGATTTTTGGAAGTTTGTTTTCGAATGATTTGCAGTTGGTTTATTTTTGTGATCTCTGTTTGCGGTACAGACTTTTAAGAACTTTCTGTTTTCCACTATGAAAACTTGTAATTTCTTGGACTCTTGGCATTTATTTTGGTACTTTTTAGTACAAGTGATTTGTCTCTTACATCCCTTTTGATAAATTTTCTGAAAATGAAACAAGTATTAGGTGGCCATTCTTAATTTATCACTAATGCAGAGATGTAACTTAGTGCCGTATATGCTCTTTGTATCTGCTTCTAAAAGATGATTGTATACAATCAATTGATTTGAAATCCAAATTTTCTCTCCTGTTTGGAGGGCAACAACAATGATCTGTAGCTGTTTGGACAAATAACCCTCTGGCATTGCCTCCCAATCTCTCTCTCTCTCTCTCTCTCTCTCTCTCATCATTAGGCAGTTCATTTGAATAAAATAAATACTTACTTTCTTCTACTTTCCAGAAATCCAAACTTTGCCTTAAAAGTTATGATTTAGTTATTGCTTATCTACTTTCCAAACTGTTCTCTGTTACTAGCAACATTTGGTTCCGAACGTCAAATGTGTCATTGATTTTCTTCCACTTCAGATTCGTATAGATTCTTGCTATATGGGCTCTAGCAACTCTGCCTTCCTACAGCAGGTAGCTTGTCTTTAGAGCATCTTTGTGATGGATATTTTTTTGTAGAATTTGATAAGTGTTATTATCTTTATTCTTCTGTTTGCTGTACTAAAATGCTTCTGATGGATGAGTAACAGGCTTCATACATTACTGGTGGTGTGTATCTGAAGCCCCAACAACCGAATGGGCTGTTCCAATATCTCTCGGTAGGTTAAGAACTTAAACTGGTTGATGTGGAAACATCTTAGCCTTGTGATTTTACTTGTTTGTTTCAGTATGTGGTGTTTGGCTAAAGAAAATTGATTTGGGGGTCACTATTTTCCATTTGGTATTATTCACAAGGCTTTTCCTTTTTGTTTCAACTTCTAGAGGCTAATGCAATAATTTAATTAATATGCAGACAGTTTTTGCAACTGATTTGCATTCTCGAGCCTTTTTACAACTTCCTAAGTCTCTTGGTGTGGACTTTCGTGCCTCGTAAGTAAACTTTTTACAGTCATCAAATTATTTGTCTTCATATTGGATTTTTTTATTAGAAAAGAAGAAAACAGGTTTTCTGTAAGAGTTCAGCATCACTTTTAAGATTTAATGCCTATTTCTGGGAGCAAAGAGGAAGGGTGTATCTAAAATTTGATAATATTATAATGGGTGAGAGGCTCCTTTCTATTGAGCTACTTCAAGCATGATTTACAGGAAATGAGAGAGCCCCCGTATGATATATCACATTTCATAAAAAAATAGAAAAATCTTGAATTAAGTACAATCTAGGTTTCTAGGCCGTTCCTTTTAAAACTCGTGTATTTTACAAAGATCAAAATCTTGATTGGAATTAATTGTTTGGATTTGTATTTTTGGGGTCAATCTGTATAACTTTTTGAACGAGGGTTTGCATCAGGTGGTGGTTCCCTACTTTCCTGAGCTCCATTAGGACATTTGGTTAGATATTTGGTAATAGTTGAGTTGACCTAGTGGTGTTACTAGCTCTAATTCTTCCGTAGATAATTTTTCATCTACTTGTTTTTAGTGGCAGTCATGTTAAGTAAATGATTTGAGTCTACATATAGTGCTTGGATTAATGTGAAACCAGGAAAAAAAGGACAGAAGAAAATAACAATTTTCAGGCCTACATATTCTGTGTATTGTCTTATCTTTTGATTTCTTGAATTTTGCAGGTGTTTTTGCCATAAGAAGACGATAGACATGGGCTACATTTGTTCCGTATGCTTGTCCATATTTTGTAAGCATCACAAGAAATGTTCAACTTGTGGGTAAGTTACCTCCTCTATATGCATACTACATTATTAAAAGTAAATTAGTCGAGCCAATTTTCCTCTGCTGTCTTTAGTTTTTGATATGCTTGTCTTTGAGGACAGTGGTGACCTTTGATTGCCCTGAAAATCAGAGATCATATCATGATGATAAAAAAATATTACAGCTACCACATTTCTTGTTTAGTTAGAAAACTAGCCGTAGATACCCACAAATATTATTTACACAATATTTTCAGTCAATCCTATAAATGTTAAATAATTAAGATTTTTCAGAGAGACATTGTGAAACTTCTTCTGGCAAAACACAAAGGCAATGAAACTTAAGTAATAATTATTACTTTTAATTGAAAGATAATTATTCATTTCATTGTTTTTTTTTCAAATAAGCTTGGTAGATATGGAGGAAAAGAAATAAGTCACTACATTTTTTTTAATGAGAAACAAACACAACACCATGCCATGGTTGACAATCAATGCCACAGAATTTTCTCTTGCATAGTCAGAAATTCATTGTTTTGTTAAGAAGCAAGATTTACTGGGATCCGGAGATTCTTTTACCACCATCATTTCTTACCTCTCTTGATTGATGCAGGTCAGTATTTGGTCAAGCCCAGTCAGATGTTAACTCAACATCCAACAAGAAAAGAAAAACTCCAGAGACATAATGTTAGTTCTCTAAATGCATACTGTTCTATTTTTAGTTTGTGCTCTTCCATATCATATTTGACCGTTCAATGTTAGTGTACTACTAAATTGTTTTTGTTCCCATTTACTGGCAGTGAGTTCTATGAGAGCTGTCTGGGAACCAGGTTTGCCGAGATACAAGTGTGCCTCTCCTCGTAGAATTTTGGCACCATAGCTCAATCGAAGCACATATCACCGGGTGTGTTTCATGATGCCAACAATTTTGCGGAGTGAAAAAGAAGCCTAGCTGGCTGATTATACAACTAAGGCGAGCTGATGGACCTATTTATGATTTCTTGTATCTGATCTCTAGTGTTTAGAAAATAGAGAGTGGTGGTTATCCCGAATGGTTATTAGATGGTAAAACATAATATAAAGAAATTACATGCATGCATGGGGTGAGCACACCACATGAAAAAGAATTACAGATTTGCATTTATACAGAGTTACCACATTTATCTGATTATTCTGATTGCATCCGTTTTTGTGCTTTGGTGGCAAATTCGACTTTGGTTATTTTCATTTCTCGCAATTGCAGCATTTAGAAACGATACTTTAGAATCAATCAATGGTTCAATTCAATAAATCAGTCACTGAAATCATGGCGCACGCTCAAGAACAAGCACTATTTACAATTATTTACATCAAATGGAAATTCTTAGAAGAAGCCAGACACACTATTGTACAGTTACACTTTGAGATTTTCTTTTGCAGCGGTGGGGCATAAATCCTCACATTGCCCTCATAATCACTTTGCTTGTTGTATGCACCCCCATTGCAGCAAATTTCAATATGGCACGGCTCCTATACAATCTGCAACACAAACCAATGTGATAATCTTAAGTCTTGTAGAAGCCATTTACAAGAAAGTAGGAAATGAGATACAACCTAATCTAAAAATGTCTTTTCCTACTTTGACAAAACATGTCATACGAAATATTCCAGGCAAATTTACATGCTATCTCTTGGATACCAGTTGGCGGGAGCAGTGTAGGATACACGCATTTGTATGGCATTTTATAGCCAGAGGATAGCAGATAATCGCGGCTAACATTCTTTAGAGCATGCTAACACAATATTAAGTACGGCAAGAAATGCTCACCCGGTTAGAGCAAGTCCCCAGGTGGACAGGGCATAGAACAACTTCCCAGCATGCCAAATACCTAACACCTTCTCCAATTTGCTGACACCACCCATCGCCTTTGCTACAACTGCAAATTAGAGATTCACAAGTCTGGGTTTAGATAGAGTCATTCTCTTCCGCCCACTAAATCATAGAGGAAGACACTGAATCTTCAAAGTCATGCCCAAGAATAATCATAATTGCAGAGATCAGACGTAGAAATGAATATCTAGTTTCCAAGCTATCCTAACATTAGATTGGAGACACCAAATTTCTAGAACGAAAGAAACAACAGAAGTTTACTCAGTTCATACATCTTATCCAAGCATAAGATAGTCTAGGCAATAATCAAAATGGGTAGCAAACACAAAATATTGGCAATCGGTTTTTAATATCTACCAAAAGTATAGTTTACAAAATAGGTTGTCGATCATGTAGAAACATTTCTATCCCATATAAAGAGATCAAGTCACATAACCTATTAACAGTTTGGGGTTAAGAAATTGCAAGCAGAGAGAGTCAATTCAGAAAGGTGTCCAAAAAACTTACTTTTCTGCAGCTCCTCTGGTGTCAAATTCTGCAATTTCAAGGAAGCAAAATTACTTGAGACCAAAATGAACATTTCAAATAGCAAAAGCAAAAAGCTTTGAGTGGATAGGTACCCGAGCTTGAGGGTTTGACACAATACACTTAGCCATAAAATTGGCAATCCCATCCACCACATGCTCCTCACTAACAAGAATATAGCTTTCATTGTCAATTCCACTCCTTTCTTCAACTTTACCCGGAAGCATATCTTCCGTGACCCAAACCCACCAACTGGGTTCTTCATGGTCAACATTGATGAGAATTTCAGCTGCCTCCAAATCACTTCCTAAAACCCAAACATGGATTATAAACAAAGCTCAATGCTTCAATGGTTATATGGGCAAAATTGAAACAATTAAAATACCTGAGGCCACCTTGAAAGGAAACTGATTTTCAGATTCCTGCTTTAGAGCTCTGATTCGCGTCAAGAAGTCGTTCGAATCTACAGTAGCTACTAAGCGAGCATACAACTGAATACGAAAAATCCCAAACATACCCATTTTAGTTTGTACATCAAAATTTGAAATCTTTTCACAAATTGATCAAAAGGGCATCGCATTGAATCGACCAAAAATTTGCTTACATCGGGAGGACAATCGTTCAACAAAGAAGGCGATTCGGATAGGTTTTCGAGGAGCTTGAGATTCTGCTCCAGCGAGTTTCTCAGTCGCCGATTCTCCGCTCGCAGAGCCTGCAATTCTTCGTCAGGCACCACGCACTTGGGTCCCTCGTGGTCCTTGTGGTCGGCGTCGTGGTGAAGGTGGTGGTGGCCGCATTCCATGGCGGTCCATGCCACGTCAGCAACCTCCAGGACCGTCTTGGCCACCTCTATAGCTCCATGTCCTCCCATCGCTATTTCTCACAAAATTGAGTTTTTGGGGTCGCAGGGTTTGCTTCGCGTTATATCAGAGGAAGGTAAACGCAACCGGGAGGGTCTTTGCTGGACTTTGGAGGCAAAGGGTAAACTTGAAATTTCACCTACATGCTCTTTTCAATTTGGGTTAATTTTTTTTTCTCAGGGACCAAATTACAATTTCGTGTAAAATCCAGTGGCTGAAAAGATATTTTAACTCTTTCTTTCAATTATTTGCGTTATACGCAATAAGTACCGTATTGCGGTGTCCGCATATACACGGTACACAAACTCCTCACTCTTCCCCTTCCTTCGCTCCTTTGGCCCTCTACTCGCACGTTTTTAGCACAGAGAGAGAGGGGAAGCTCTTCTTCTGATACAGAGAGAGAGAGAGAGAGAGGGAGTTTGTAGTAAAATGGCGGAGGACGCGCAAGATAGCGAGAGCCCTGTGAAACAAGTGAAGCAGGAGGCGCACGATATCCAGTCCCAGATTAAGGATGCTATGCGCTCACGCGTCCCTTACTTCAAAGAACAATCCGAGTAGTCTCTCTCTCTCTCTCTCTCTGAATTTGTTTTCTTTTTGAATAAATTTAGTGAAAATAAATATTACTGATTTTTATTTATTTATTCCAGAAATGTGTTTATGAGAACTCTTTAGGATTGGTTTTCTTTCTACTGCAAGCTTGTGTATGTTTTTAGTTTTTAATTATGCGTGTTATGGATTTGATTAAGGGCCAGTGTGTGGATGCAAGTGTTTCTAAGTGTATGGTGCTGTTTGCAATGTGTTTTGTATTCATAGTGCCTGTATGTTCAGTTGTTTTGTTTAGGGTTTTGAAGCTTCAGAGTGTTCTACACGCTCTATGCTTTATTTGGGTCATAGAAAAGCAAGTCACCGGTGAGAGGCAAACTCTGCATTTGGGCAAAGTGAAGCACACCTTACACTGACATATTTAATCATTCTCTTAAAAAACTACACAAAGCAAAATTATTTTGTTTACAACCGAGAAAGCAACTCAAACAGAGTCAATTACTTCATCTGCCTACCAACATACCACAATCCGCCAATGTCATAATCCAACTGTAAGAGTTGTTCCAGTTGTTTCCCACTGCAGTGATTATCAAATGCTTTAATGTCTTTTGACCTAATTTGTATGGTTCATACTTGCCTTTCTTTATCAGATTGAAACCCTAACCGTTGAAACCCCAAAATGAGTTCCAAGAATTCAAATTCGCAGTGTTTTTTTAATTGTTATTTATTACTTATTTTCAACCTGGGTAGTGTCAAATATTGAAATAGGTTTGATTTTTTGGGTAACCCCTTGCTGTTCTTCATTCGCTTGCTTACCTTGTGCTCAACTTCTATGACCACATTGCGAAATTCCTCTTCTCAATCGCCACTTGATTGCAATGGTTCCCTCATTGTAAATTTGATCGAAATGGTTTCAAAGGGAAGCACAAGAAGCAATGTAGTTCCCTTGAAACTTCAAAATGAAGTTGAAGTGCTTGTACATTTAGGTTAGATGAACTTGTGGATTTAGGGTTTACTTACTTCTTTTAGGTCTGCATATAACCCAAACATCAGGTTTTCTTGAAATGGTTAATGGTTATGTCATTAATGCATTTAGCAATTTGTTCAGTTATTTATGTTCAGTAAAATTGAAATGGATGAATTTAATTTAAACATTCTTGTTACTCCATCATTGGTGGCTTGAGCATGTCAGAGCTGTCCATGGCCGGATTATTTATTACAATTTTATTTTGAAACGCAGTTCTTTGACTTTTGAGGGCGTCCGAAGATTGTTAGAGAAAGACTTGGGGTTGGAGACATTTGCATTGGATGTCCACAAAAGATTTGTCAAAGAACACTTGGTGGAGGTAATATTGAAGCTCATTGTTCTCATTTACTAAGACTATTCACTGTCTTGTAAAGTTTTCGATGGAAACGTTTTCTGGATTGGAAATATTTTATAGATGTTAAGTTTCTTCGATGTTTGTTTGAATGGAATTTTTCTTTTGTAGAAAACTTTCTGAGATTCATGAACATTTAGTTTTTCTCAAGTATGTTTCTCTGACCAAAACAGAATAAAAAAAGTACACTAGAAGTTTACAAATTTTGGGAGTCTCTGCTTGTTTTGACAGAAAAGTTTTCCAATATGGTAATATACTTTTTTTTGGTTACAAAAACTTTAGTCACTAATTTTTTATGTTGTTTGGTGTGTTCTACAAAACTACCATGTGGAACACATTTTTCCTCGATTGTTTTGTTGATGGCTTTAACTCAATTTTCCTAACAAAACTAAGGAAATGCTCACATGTCTGGGAAGTTTCATGTCGGAAAATTTGTTTCAGTTCAAATAAATGTCAGAATTTTTTTCTGACTCAGAGATTTTCTTTAGAAATACCTTTTGGGCCAGCCAGGCCCATTCAATCACTAAAACCAAAATTTCCATATTCCCATGAGCTCTGGAAATGCTATTTTCCCTTTTGTTGTGGTTTGTATACCTCTTCTGTTATTTAATTTGTTTTATTAATTGTCTAGTAACTTTTTTTTTAATCAGAGTCCAAATATTTCTTGTGTTCCAACATGCATTCTCTTCATTGAATTTATTCTATTTGAAATGCTAGTGCTTAGAAGGTGCTGGTGATGACAATACCTCAAAGAGTTCTGGGGAGACTGATGAAAAAAGTCTAATTAAAGGGGAAGCAGCAGAATCTCCTGAAGGGTACAAGTCGAATAAAGATGTGAAGGAAACTTGCTCAGAAGATGAGGAGAAAATGGAAGACTCTCCTGTAATGGGCCTTCTAGCAGGGAATAAAACAGCCAAATCTGGAACTGAGGAAACTAAAAGCACCAAAAGCAAAAAGGCTCCAAGTGAGACTGTGATAAAGTCAGCCCTTAGAAAAGAGTTTCTTATATCAAAGCTAATTCCGAGTATGCTGCTTCTTCCTGTGAACTGATTATCAGTTATTGCTTTCTATTGCATTAGTATTCTTCATGCATGTTCTTTCTCTTTTTTGCTTTTGATTTGCATTGGTGTCTATTTGATTTGTGTATTTGATGTTAATTTTCCATGTGATTATGATATGATTAAGTACTCATAATTTATCCCCTCTCTCTCTCCCCTCTCTGCAGGAAGATTACTATGGCTGGACTTCGCAGACTTTTGGAGGAAGATCTTAAGCTTGAGAAATATACTCTTGATCCCTGTAAGAAGTTTATCAATGAGCATTTAGACAAGGTGAGATAAGTTTCTATTGAGGCATCATGAAATTCTGGAAGTGGTGCATATATTCATTGTTGTTGTCCTTTTCTACAAATATCTTGTTTTTCAGGTTCTAGAATCTCGTGAAATTTCTGAACCTGCGCCTGTCAAAAAAAATGTTAAGAAGAGTGTTCAGAGAAAAGCATCTACCAAGGTCAGAAGCAATGAGAGTTCTGGCTCTTCGGATAATGAAAGTGACGAGGAAGAAGATGAAGTAAAACCTAGAAACAAAAGTGTTCCAAAAGGAAAGATGCAGAACTCTAATGATCTGAAGAAACGGAAAAGAATGGCTAATGAGAGCAATATCTCTGGAAAGAAGCGCATCAAACCTTCTGAAACAGAACCAGAGGACAAAAGTGATGCAGAAGTCAGTGGCAATGTCTCTGAAGATGATCGGTCTCAGTCATCTGCGGAAAAACCTGTCAAGGTAATTACTTAGTATGTTTCTGAACCTTAAAAGTAAGTTTTATCTTTCATATATTCTTACTGTTTTAACTAATTGTAGAAGAAAGAAGTTTCAACAACTGCATATGGGAAACGTGTGGAGCACCTAAGATCAGTTATTAAAGCATGTGGAATGAGGTTTTTCATCTTTGACTCTCTATTTATAAAACTTTCACCTTGGTCATTGTTACCATTATGATTTTTATGTCTGTCATACAGCGTTGCCCCTTCAGTTTACAAGAAAGTCAAGCAGGTGCCTGAGAGCAAACGTGAAGCTCACCTGATAAAGGAGTTGGAGGAGATACTCTCTAAAGAAGGATTATCTGCACATCCCACTGAGAAAGGTGAGTATTGAAATGTAGCCTTTGGTGGTGATCCTTGGAAACTGTGGATATGACTTGATCTAGTTTAGACATTCAAGATGGTACAGCAAGGAATTTTCAGTTGTTGAAGTTCGGCAGCTTACCTAGGGGTCTTTTCATCTGGAAATTTGGGTTAGGGGATTAACATGGGTGTTGTGATACACAGTGCTCCTTCAAGTCTTTGAGAGGGACGAATCATAATCCTTGGTTAGTCCTTATCATCTTTCACATGTATGGCAATGCGGTTCCCATGGATGGCATCGGTTTCCGTGGATAAGGATGAGCTCTGAATGGGTTAAGGACTGATAACATAACGAACTTGCATATATTGATTCTTGAGTAGACAGGAAATATGATGAGTGCATTCAATATCATCTAAAAAACTTCAAATGTATCATGGGAAGGGAAATTTTGTGGTCTTAGGTTTTGTGATTCACTGTGATTGTTACTACTTCCTCACTTGCTCATACTTGTAAAGATTGATATCTCCTGTCCTCTTATTTCAGAAATCAAAGAAGTCAAAAAGAAAAAGGAAAGGGCAAAAGAACTTGAAGGCATTGACATGAGCAATATTGTAACTAGTTCACGTAGAAGGTCCACAACTAGTTTTGTACCTCCACCAAAGCCCAAAATACCAGTTGATAGTGATTCTGAAGATTCTGAAGATACAGATGATGACAATGACGAAGAAGTGAATGAGGTTGAAGACGAGGACAATGGTAATAGCGATAACAACCATAGTGATGAGGGTAAGTGTTAAGTTCCTAAATTAATGTCATACGCTACCTATAATAAATGACAGCTAGGGCTATGAGGATGAAAATTTTCTAATTTACGGTGCTTCTGCAATGTTATCCATGCAATTCATCACACACTTACAGAGATCAAAGCATGGGATATATTGATTATAGACTACGCATGCAGAGAAGAACTACATTTAACTGATTAAACTTTAGCAAAAGAGGAAACTTTAACCCCGTTTTCCTTACATTGGGCAGATTAAACTTGTATCGGAAAGTCATAAATACAAGTTTAAATGTTTATCTTGGTGGGATTAGTATATGTTGTACTGTGCTGTCGATCTATTATATGTTAGTCTTTGAGTTGATTTCTTTACCTAACATCATGGGTTTCTGACCAAGTCTTCCCTGTATTTATGCAGATGATGCTGATGACAGTGATTAAATTCTGCATAAGCAGATTTGCAGAATACTAGCACAGGAGATTTAGTTTTAAATTATTATTGTACAATGTAGAATCAATATAGCTTTATGTGATATTTTTTAAGGGTGGGGGACTAATTAGCAGTGATGAAGTGGCACTGATAACTTTCAGTTAAATTAGCTATCAATAGTTGTGCTGTCGGGAAAATGGTATTAGTTGTGTTCTATGTTTATTAATTTGTTTGCTGGCCCCATTTTGATTAGACTTACCACCAAAACAAGTCCTTGCACACAGAAGTAGGGATTATTATCTCAGCAAATTGGTGTGTCCGGGTGGTTGAAAAAGCCATCCATCTTGCTGGAGTTGCTAAAGCTATTTTTTCGGAGTTGGATGGATCGTACTTGAGGAGCATCAAACAAGCTTGTTTGGCAACATCATCTGCGTGTGATGATATGGATTTGACTTCTTGGTTTCCCTTTGATGGTATTTACACTTCTGTAATGTTCTATTTACTGTATTTGAATTGGAATATTGATCGTTACCAGGGTTAATGTGAAATGCAAGCTGTCTGATTTACTTTTAGCTTTGATTCTCCATGCTAATGGAATGATTGACCATTTCCAGTTAATAAATTTCGCATGGACACTGCTAGGCCTGCAGGGGGCTTGATGCAAAACCAGAGAGTGAGTTCATGGAAAGGATCTTTTTCTCCTGTTTGGGATTTACATTAGTATCTAACAGTGTTACTAGGATCAGAAACCCCAGAAGCAAATGACCCAATTGACCACGTTGGGCAGGTTGTAAACTGGTGAGATTGGCGGCTGTAAATCGGTTCAATACATTTCGAGTTGACATACAGACGGCCAAGTGAAACGCATATCCAGTAATCTATTTGTGAATAGAACTGTCGCACTGTCAATTTACACTCAAACGGGTAGTGAACCTTGGCAACATAGAATTGAAATACGTTCACATTCTCATGGTCCATGGGAACCCTTCAAGCTAACTGTCATTCTCATGGTCCATGGGAGCCCTTCAAGCTAACTGTCAATCAACAGTTTCTACTAATTGGATGACTCCCTTCACGTCTAACAATTCAACATGAACAAGAGTTTAGAAATGAGTAATTGAGGATGATGGATATCACAGTGCCATCCAGAATTAATCAACAAGGGCTACACAAAAAATCAGTTTCCTAACAGATTCATATAAGAATAATTGCTCTGCTGGAGGACCTGTGAAATCAATACGCTTCTTTGTTCATGGCTTCATGTTGAAGCCAGCTCCCTCTCTGAAAGGATGCGCCTCACTTCGCTTGCAAGATCCATTACATGAGCGTCTTTGCATCCTGTGGCAGGAAAAATTAGAGGGGAAAAAAGGCGAGTGAAGAAAGACAAACTTATTTTGATGAAGAGTAGTATACAAAACTAAAATGACTCGGGCACCAAAATAACCTTACCAAATTGAACAAGGGCCTCTTCAAGTTGGAACAGGTAGTCTCTATTAGGCCCCGAGGGGCCTTCAGCCTGAATAATTTGTCTGCAGATATATGGGAAAGGGTGCAGTGTGGTCAATGCCATATTTTGTTACGATTTAAACTCATTATGGACTTAGCCATACAGATAATTACTTAATTAGCTATCTTCATGTCACAGTAAATATTAATGTTATCTGATAATCCAGAATTTCAACAAAACAGACTTCAAATAAAAAGCTATCATAATATAGAGGCAAGATGCTCCTAGTTCCATTTATGCCTTGAGTTTTAGAATCAAAAGTTAATCAAATAAGGGCTGATAGATATTTTCTGCTACATCAATCGAAATGCGCATGAACAGATGAAATTTACATACTTGGCAATCTCTTCAATGGACGCAGGGCCCAAATAGTTCACATTATGTTTCTTGTCTGGAGAGGCAATGTATCTACATAGCGACAGTGTCAGTTCTGATCTGGTTGGATTAAACGCAAATACAAAACATGAATGAAGATGCAGAAAGTTCTTGGTCACTTTTGCTACTTACACCATTACATCTGAAACAGCTGGAGTTGTAGCATTTGGCTCCTGAAATAAATTCCAGTATGTTAACAGACAAGAATGATAAAAATTCTAGAGGACACACCACTGATCATAAAGGGATCTCTATCTATTAGACTTACGGTGAAGAAATCAAGATAAGCCTTCTTGTCATACTGCTTCTCCCTCACTTCTAAATACTGTGAATTGGAACGAAAAGACAAAGCGAAAAAGCATTGGAATCTCGAACAATTTTAGTAAAGTAAATGCAGTCACACAAAAAGCATAAGAACATACACACGCACATCACAAAGAGAGCAACAGATTATGAACTAGCACAAGAACCCAATTACAATCAAGATAAATTCTTTAAGATATACGACTCTACCGTTATAGCAACTTCTTGATCTTCCTTATTTGAGATCCTGTAGGCAACTCCCCACTACAAACTCACAAAACAAAAGAAATTAATAATAAACTTTTAAGCTTGGTCTCATTTGATAATTTCAAAATCATATAATGAAATCACTACAGCATCCTATTATATAGGGAGACATGTAAAACAAGCTCTGATTTTTATGATCATATCATTGATCAGCAGACTAATAGAAAATTAAAATGACCAGATTGACAAAAATCTGAATGTGGGTATTGGAGTTGTTGAAAAAACTTACACAAACTTCTCCCTCTGCAGGTTCCAAAGTCACTGTTCTGCCTGGATACTCAGGCGTCCCTCTGTGGTCCGTACTGCCTAACAGGAACAAACCCACCAAAGAAAACATGAACAGATTGAAAAATTCATCAACTCACACTGTCACAAACACAGATAGAGAGACCTTGGTAGAAGACACGGCGATAGCCTTTGATGAAGCCGACGAGGCGCTCATCGTAGTTAAAACCAGCCTTCCAGATAAGAGAGCCATACCCAAATACCCACATCACCATTTTTGAGCTTTTCCAATCCAATTTCTTTCTTAACTCTTCACTTCCTCCACAACAGGAGTGGGCCACAGTGAGTTGGGTCTTCTCTTCTCTAGAGAAAAGCTGATGCGTTTTTGTTTTTGTTCTGTTTTTTGGGGTAAACAAAGCAGATGCGATTGGAGAGCAGAGTGGAGTAGGAATAAAGAGAGACCTGGTTATTAGCGCCTGCGCCATGTTGTCTGTCTACTCTCTCTCCAATCTCATTTCTAGTTAGCCCCAATTGAAAATTGCCATGTTCTTCTTACACATGTCATTTTGTATATAGTATGTTCTAATATATGGTATGATGACAAAATCAATTAACCAATGATGACATGACAAGTGCTCGCAAGACTTGCGTGTGTGCGTGAGTGACTGTTGGTTACATATGTTATTTTGTATGAAGGCTGTTTAAAAAATGATATTAGGAAATTAAAAAGCAAAATCAAGTAATCATATCATAACATGATAAGTTGTGCCAACTATAGTATCCCATGCGTGCTAGCGACTATTGTCAATTAGTAATGTATTGTGAGACTCACTTATATCGGCTGACAACTCCTGACACTCTTTTAATCTTCTCCTTTCATTATTGGCCACTTAGGTTTAAAACCTTTCATGGTAGGCCGCGGTTGGCCAAATTTTGGAGCTTCAATTAGGGTATGTGTGTTTGCGTGGTTTTTGCTATATATTTTTTCGACATGGGCTTCAATGGTCTTCACACCCTTAATTTCACCATACATAAATTAAAGACTTAATTATTGTTTTACCCCTTGTAATGGACGCTTGATCTCAATTTACCTCATGAAATTAAAATTTTCTTACTTAAGCCCAAGAATTGCTTAAACTTTCTCACTTTACCACTTCCGTCAACAAAACCGTAAGTGTGCTGATGTGGTATGGACATTTTAGTAATTGTAGCTCTTCTATATTCTACGCCTCTCTCTTTTCCTTGATCATCATCATCCGATTCTAATTTAGTTTGATGGGCTCAATCCACCATATTCAATTGGGTTATTCTTTTTTATTGAAATTGAAGGAAAGTGAAGAGGGAAGTGGGGGCAGCGAGAGGGGGAGGGGGAGTGGGGTGGCGGGGCTGGGTTGGGTGCTTTGGGGATAGGGGTGACGAAAGAGGGAGAGGGAAGATGGAGGTGAGGGCTGGTGAGCTGACAGGGAAGAAAAGAAAGGGAAAAGGAGGTTTGTTAACCCAAAAAAATTATAAAATATTTAAAATCTGTTATTTATATTTAATTTGAATTTTAAAGTTTTTTATTACAAAAAATGCTCGTACAAATTCAGCACACTTAACGATTTGTGGACATAAATGGACAAAAGTGGTAAAGTGAGAAAATTTCAGCAATTTTTAAAGATTATGGGGGTGAGAAAATTTCTATTTTAAAGGGTAAAGTGAGACCGAGCTAGCGTTCATTCTAGGAGTAAAATAGTAATTAAGCCTAAATTGAATATTTAAGGAGCAAAACAAAATGGCGAAAAAAAGATCAAGATTAGCCTTAAAGCTCGAGCATATAGATTGTATTTTGTTTTTTGACCAAATAACACTTTTAATCGATACAGTTTGTAACGTTTTCTACATGTCTTTATGGTTAAAAACATGGTTGAGCTTATCCTGTTGCAATCCTTAACCTTAACCTTTTCAGGTATCATGAGCACAAACTCTTGGGAGATAAACTAAAACAAAAGAACAAATTGAAAGAAGATCTATTAAAAAGAGAGTTGAAGAATAGAGGCAAAGATGTAGGCAAACATAGTAGTAGTAGGATATACATATATATATATTTCTCACATTCTCAAAGGTACAGTCAAAAAGTACACAAGTCTCTCATTTGTTTTTATGAGGCGATTTGATGGTAAATCCACCTTTTGTTACAAAGGCGATCAAATCCGAATTTTATCCCTTAAAATTACCTTATACAAATTCCTGACAGCGGAAAAAGAAAAAAAAAAAAAAAAAAAAAAAAAAAAAAAAGAAAGGAAAAGAAAATACAGACTCACTTAATGAGATCTTGAAAATTTTAAACCTCTGCAGGAATTAATCTTGGACATATTAGCATGATTCTTGTGCTTTAATTGGAACCTTGATGAAGTCCCCTGGAGGTCCAGTACCATCAGTTTTGTTATCAACAGTGACTGGTAGTTCAAGAGCAACAACTTTCTCATCTTCGATCAACAGTGAGGAGGCTGTGGGATCTTTGCTTTTCCCCCAAACAACAGCATAGAGGCCAATGACTATGAGAATAGTTCCAAGTATACTGCACCACAACAAAATAATGCACCATTAAGCACAAGAGAGTACATAATATTTGCCCTAAAAACCCACATGCATGTATTGACGTATATATCTATACCTTCCAAGGTGGATTTGCTCGGCTAAAATGATGGCGGCTAGGGCGGCGGTGATGATCATGGCCAACGGGCTAAAAGCCGTCACGAAAACTGGACCTTGTTCCTTCATCACAATACCTTGCACGTAATATGCAATTCCAGAGCAAACCACCCCCTAATCACAATATAATAAGATTCATTTTGTCAAACACCTTTCCAAAAACCCAATAAGGGAATTGCTTGTATTTATTTAACTTGTTATAAACACTTGTAATAATATGATGAAATATTGGTACTCACAGAGTAACCAGCAGCAATTAGCCTGGAGTCCCAGCCTATAACCCAAACACTCATGTTGTGTTCAAGTATGAACGTGGCTACGGCACCTTCCAATGCACCCATTAAGCATATCAAAGCAGTGAGAGAGAGCTCTGCTGGGTATAGCTTTAGCGTAAACGACTGCACCAAACACAAAAAATAATATTCAAATTAGTTCATATTATGAACATTTGAGTCTAGCTAGCTGGCCAGCCAACTTAACAATGAGGTGCTAAAAAATACACAATCCTTTGCTAGATACTCACTTGTAGGATGAAGAAACCAGACCAACCACAGCAACGGGCTAGGAGCATGAAAGTGCCGGTGATCCAATGTTGTTCGGTAGATAAAGCGGTGGTGTTGTGGTGGCCTTGTGTTTGTCCCCTTATGATTTCGACAATAGGACCTTTGTACCATGTCATCACCATTGCTCCCATGACCGTGATTACAGTTCCGATCACCTTTGCTACACTCGGGATCTTCTTGAAATTGATTTTTTCTAACCTAAATAATGAGAGAATGATAAAGTGATTAAATTAATAATCTATGAAAAAGGTAAGTCATCTCAATTGCATTCATTAATTGAGTTCAAGAGTTCAATATTGCTAGTGCATATGCCTTAGATGTATATGAGATGAAAGTATATCAACTTTTACCTGAAAAGAAGTGCAAAAATGAAGGTTATGGCGGGGAGAATATTAGCAGTGGCAGATGCAAATGTTGCTGAGGTGTATGTCATTCCCACAAAGTATAAATTCTGAGCAAACACTGGCCTGCGGGTAGTGATCACATTTAAAACAAAAGTTAGCTATTACCTTAAACATATAGTCCACATGCAAATTAATATTCATTATTTTTTTTGGAGTTGCGTATAACAAAATGCTACGTGTTCTAGTGGCTTACTCGAGAAAACCAAGCACCATTATTCTTAGGAAGATCGGTAGGGTCAGTTTTGGCCTTATTTTCCTGCCAAAATAGTTGAAAACAGTAAGTTTAAATAGAATCATAATTATATATATATATATATATATATATATATTATACGCATGCATGTCTCTTTGTGGAAGAGAAGAGATGAAGGAAAAGAGAGAAATATAGAGACCTTTCAAGAACAAGTGCGAATGGGGCAATCACAACCACAGCAATCAAATGCCTGTACACAGCAAGGACAAAGTGGCTCATGCCACGCTTCAAACCAACCATGCTGATAATGTACATGCCTGCATACCCAAATTGCAAAGAGATCATAGCTAAGTAAGGCTTTATCTTGTAAAGAAATAGAGCCAATTTTCCCTTTGCAATTTGGTCTCCCATTTTCGATTTCTCTCTGTCACACTCTCTCTCTCTCTCTCTGAGCTTCTTCTAGTACTAGTTTTCTAACAATATACTAGTACTTGTCTGAGCTTGCCAACACTAAAATGAGAATGCCTTTTTATAGAACCCAAAAAGCAGAAAATATAAATTATGACAAGGCTCGCTGTTTCTTCTTTCTACATGTCCAAGAGCACTAATATTTTGGATTATCTTATCCATTAACAATAAATTAAAAAAACCCTAATCCAAGCAATTACAGTCGTTGTAGACTCTTATGTGGATTCCTATACGAAAATAGATGTAAGGGCTCTTTTTATTGGGGTCCTACAAGCAATAAGTCATAATTTGGATCCTTCATCTGAAAAAAGGTTGCCTACGTTATCAATCTTGTTCCTCAATCCATGGGAGAATTTCTGCGAACCATGACTAATTTGAATATCAATCTCAAATTGGGGTTAAGTGAAGAAATATATGGTAATTCCAATGCTTTGATTCAATTGCCTCCACATTTTTAACATTCAATTTTAGACCAATTCAATGGTTCATAAATAGGTCACATTTTGGATTTATTTTCGTGTAATATTTTGACATAATGGGGGGATTCATGTGACATGATGAATTACAAATTTTGTTTGATTCAATTTTGGTCCCAAGGGCTTGGATCTACAAAGTACAAACTGAGAGTATCATTGTCAGCATTCACCATGAGACTCACTCACTACACGTTTGCATATGGATTATGAGCTTATTTCTTTTTCTCTTTTTTTGTTGGTTTTTTGGCTTTTTATTTGTTTGTGGAAAGTGGGGATGCAAATGAAATATAGAATTAGTGGTGTTGCTTGATGAGGTATGAAAGCAAGAGGGTTTCCAATGTCGGGGTGGTGAAGCAAATGGGTGCTATTAAGAGTGGCCACCACTTGAAAGACATGGCCAAGAGGAGCTCACTGTTTATTTGAGAGTTAACAAAGTGTGAAAATTTAACTTGGTATAGATTGCTCATGAGTGGAGAACCACACATTCCCATAAAATTAATTAATCACCAAATCAAAGTGTTTTGCATAAAGAGATCATCTTCTAGAAATGTTTCGCGTGATGTAATTACACATGAGTGGTAATCGAAACAATCTTCTTCCAACTACTTCAATTAATCCTTTTATAAAAATAGTTTAAAATGGTAATTATAATTAAGATATATCTAATTATATATATATATATATCCATCTTTCTTTCATCATTGTGATTGAAAACTAAGTTTCTTATTGGCAATGTTTGTGGGCTGTCTATTCATTCTTTAACAAAGCATATACGAGCCCTTTGAATGGCTTCAAATACATGGATGATAAGATGTCTAGTGACCTTGTTGCTGTATGTCTCTGTGTGTGTGTGTGTGTGACTAGATATTAGGTAGGAATGAGAATATGAAACGAAAGCATAATTGTACTAAAACATTTTGGATATCATGTTTGTGCCATTATTTATTGTTTGTCTATAAAGATCATCCCATTTTTAACGAAACTATGCTTAACGCATGACGTGGTAGCGTGTGGGGCTGTTGGACCCGTCACATAGGTAATCTAATTCTGATACCATATTAGAACGTCAACATCCAACTCAAAACTAATTGACAATGGATGAAGAGGCTTGAAATCTCGTAAGGTCTTAAGCTAAACTTCCATCTTTCGATTTTACTAAGTTCATTAAAACAGATCCATTGTAAAGACTTTTTCTTCTTCTTCTTCTACTGTCTTTACTTAACGGTTGAAATTTGATGAAGGTAAGAATAAAAGTGAAAAAGCAAAAGAAATATGTGTACAATTTTTTTAGTGCTGTTGAATTTGTTTAATAGTTTACAACCAAGGACTTGGACTTATTGTCAATCACATAGAATACTGTTTGACTCTAAATAACGTTTGGATTTGTTTGATTCAACCTAAAGAGATTTAGATGTTTGGCAACTTGGGTTGTTTTTGTTTTGCTTCTTTAAAGATTGTTAAGTTTTAAAGAAAAAAGGACATACATGCGAATTGTGTGGAGGATGTGAATTCCCTCCTTTGTGGCCATATTGGTGCGGTAGGTGCGGTCTCTGGTCTCTTGTGGTGACGGTGGCTCGGTTTTATATTTTGTTTTGATTTTGTATGGGGAAGATTTGTTATTCTAGAATGTTCTGGTTCTTAGTTTAATCTTCCCTGCATTTGTGTTATTTTGTTTTCTGCATTGGCATTTTCGGCCTTGTATTCTCTATTTGTTTTCTTCCTATTTTTGGAATTTTAATGAACTTTGATTGGAAAAGAAGAAAAGAAAAAAAAAGGGACATACATGCATGTAAGTATATTTTTGGGCTACATTCATCAACAAGTGCGTTGGTGTGTGATTGTTGAAAGAGAAACGCAATTAATAAAAATAAAAATAATAATAATAATGATAAAATCGTGGATGGCATGTTTAGTGAATGCTTAACTACTATTTACCCATGAAATGAAATATGAAATTAATGGAAGGGAAACAAATTAATCCCAACAATTGGCCAAGTGGGTGCTTTCGTACTTGGATCCCAACAACAACTCAACCTTAGTGGAATCATGCCTCACAAATAGGAATTCAAGCACTCAAGTTTAAAAAGAAATGTACGGACAATAGAGGAGGGTGACTGTCTCAATCAAAAAAAAAAATCTTATGCGTGATGGTAGCACAGTATTCTATGTGTCTGACATGTCTGTATGATGTTACTACGAATTCATTAATATTGTTCGTCAAATTTAAGGTTTATTATCGAGTGTGAATATTTGTGAACATGTTATAATACTTTGAGTAAATTTGTACATTATACGTATATCAGCATGTCACGGAGTGTTGCGATCGTTTAGGAAAATGTCTCACTCGTGACAACGTGTTCCACTTTTGTTTGTAGGCTGTGGGGTTGTAAGCGCGCACAACAAAACACAGACTTTTAACGTGGTACTTGACGAGGACACATTGTACGGGAACACCACCCGATGCAGCGGTCTGCAGAAGCCTCTCAGCGAATCGCCTGATCTGAGGGTGCAGGAGGGAAAGAGCGATGGAGATGTGGCCACGTGGCAGAATGGGAATTGACTAAGACCGCTTCGTTCCGTGGTTTGATAAGCACGGAATCATACGGAACGATACGTGGCATTTATTTAATACTTCAATTTTCTCTGTCTACGCGGCGCAACTTCTTCTAGGAGTGCTTTGGTGGGGGAAGGAAGCATGCAGTGCAAAATGACGTAATTGCAATTAGCTAGTGTTTGTTTAGGTGAGGGCGCCTCCTTTGTCTTTTCCCAATCATTTCCAAGAATATTAATTTATAACTGAATGCACATGAATAACGTAATTGAAAAGTTTGAATCGAGAGTGATGACAAATTATACACGCTAATGAGATTATACTGGAAAAATTACATAAACGATATGCATGTGAAAATTACTAATAACCCAGAATATTAATCGTAATTTAAAATCTACTATAGACCTATGGAACGGAAGTTAAAAGAAGAAAACAAAACTTATGAAAAAGTTTAATAAGGAGATTTAAACAGTATTTTAGTATTATTAAAAGTTTTCTTATACCAACGTTTTTAAAAGTTTCCAGAAACAAATCCAGAATAATTGAGTGCGTTTTTAAATAAAAGCAAAAATATCCAGAAACAAATCCAGATGAAGGAATTTTTTTATAAATTTAATGACAAAAAGTTTATGGGGGATATTGGCTCTCTCATCACCAACGTCAGGGCATACCTACAACCTCGAGCCGGATATAAAGGATAATTTGGATAAAGCAGCATTAACGATTTCTTATTTATAAAAAGTATTTTTAATATATAAATTTTACTTGAAATTCTCAGTTAGGTTACCTTCCAATAGTGGAAAACGATTGAATTATTTTATAATTATATAAAAGGTAAAATAAGAACAAATAATTGTTCCATCTCCACTATATGCATAATGCATTGCAAGTGAAAGATACCTACTCCTCCCTTTATTTGATATGGCACTGTGAAAAGAGTAAGAAGATCAAGAGGAACACAAAAATAAGATGAACTAGGTCTATTATAAAAAATAAAAATAAAAGTAGCCAGCTCCCTCCACGCAATGAAGACAAATTCTAGCACCAATTTCCACCTTCACATGATGTCTTTTCATCTTTGCAACTCAATGCTTTGGCAAATGAGGGTGGCTTATATGCTGTAAAAGTGATATTTACAACTCTACACATATAAATGGGGGTTCATGTTCTCTTATAAACTTAGCTTGATATGATACGTTAACTATCGGCTCATTACGACCATCAACACTGATACTGTTCTTAATTTATAACCACCAACATAGTCCGGCATGTATGAGTGTAAAAAGACATTAATGTTATTAATAATAGAACTATTCATTACATGTTATATTTAATGTTATTGAATTTCCGTACATCCTTTAACAACCTACTATTTAAAATTATATGCATGACATCCGTTCAAGTTATATCACATTCCATTGTCAAATTATTCTATATGAAATTGATTTTATACTCATGGAACTGTAATCAAACTACCATTTTCCCATGTGATTCTATGGATAAGATGGGGTAAACGACCGAAAGGAGCTCTTTTGATGAGTCATAAACATGATCTAAAGCATGTGTTTAATAATGTTACATAAAGATGATTACTTGGTCACAAATTAAAAGCCAATAAATTGTATATAGTAATTTGTCATGTTGCTTTCTGTTGTTCCCCTTAATATGAGCAAGTTTGGATATCCATATACCATATGGCTAGAGAATAGTGTCCCTGCGCCAGGTCGCAGGTGAGATAATTTTCTTGCATAGAATAAGCATGGTCAGCTATTAATTATGGACTCGTTTGGGAGTGATTCTGTTTATGGTTTCTTCGTATCACTTTTTAAGTTATTTTGAGTGATTCTAGAGAGAAGCACCTCCCATGTGCTAGCTTCTCCATAAAATCACTTAAAGTGATACATAAGGAAATGATT